GTTTTGCTAAATTTCCGATATTCCAATTTAAGCCATGAGAGTCGTTTTATCTTAAATATGATCTCAATATGATTAAAAGTAAATCTTGAATTTGTTAGTGTCATTTAAGAAAGCAACAAGTTTTATGCAACCTGTCAATAAAGACATTTTTGGGAATTTATGATTGTTAATGTTTAACGTGAAGTGAGTTACTTCTCTTGTTCCTCTGCCAGTTAATTGTTCATATAAGAACGGGTGGGGAAAACCTCAAATGCACCGACGAACAAGAAAGAATCCACGACAGTGCTTCAAAAACGGGATATCCATGCAGAACGAGATTTTTGCATGTCATCATCTCCACATCGTAAGTCGACTTGGCAAGATAATTTATCTCGACAAGTTGTCATCTCGACTTCAGGAAGTCGACTTAGCGAGATATTTCATCTGGACAGTCGTTATCTCGACTTCGAGAAGTCAACTTGGCGAGATAATACATCTGGACAAGTCGTCATCTCGACTTCGGAAAGTCGACTTGACGAGATAATACATCTGGACAAGTCGTCATGTCGACTTATGGAAGTCGACTTGGAGAGATAATGCATCTGGACAAGTCACCAAAAGTCGACTTCGGTAGGCCGACTGGGCGATACAATTATGTGATTAAGTCGCCTTACTCTCGGCGATATGTCAACATGACGTGATAAATTATCTGAGTAAATAAAGAAGTGGATGGCACTCATGGAGCGCCGTACGTAGTACACAGTGGCTTTGAGCGGGAATTTTATAACGGGTGAAGCAGTATTATTTATGCCTTTATTTAACGTCTAAAAATTTGCGCCAGTTTTAGTTGAGAGAAAATCAACTCGGATCTATGAATTAAAAGATACCTCAGGTAACAATTTCACGGTTGTTGGCTCGGGTATCTTAATACAATATTATTACATTTTGATTAATTCATGAAATTGAAGGAAAAAAATATTAAAAACGTAGGCCTACTTATACTGGCCTATACAGTACACAATCAAAAGTTTTCTCGATATATGTATACACTTCCAAACATATTTTGCCATTTGCTAAACTAAAGTAATATATATGTTATATATGAAATTATAACTATCGAACTGTTAACTTTCTATTAATTCCTACCTATCACGTTGTTAAAAGGTCTAATATGTCTCACATGAATTCGAGTAAATCTGTTCCACATGTAAATAATTTCCTTGGAAAAGAATACCAAGATTTTATTATTAAAACAAAAACCAGATGACTTGAACGTTTGTTTCAGTGTATATCCTCCAAAACTGTTCGAATTGACGCGCCTCCAATCTCAATTGAGGCACAGATTTGCACTCTTAATCTACATTAATTCTGATCGAGTCTGAAGAACATTTTCAACATTTAAAAAACCCCAAAGATGATAGGCTGAGGAAAATATTTGTTCGAAAAGTTGTTTTACTTTTGATCCTAGCTCTCATCAGATATTTAGAAATGTGTTCGACATAAGAAAAAGGACAAAATACAAAAAAAAATCATTCCTACCTTGTAAGAAATACTGCAGTGAAAATAACTTGCTTGGCGACCATGGCTAATTCACATCAACTGGACGGCGAGTCGGCGACCGTTATAGTGAGCTGCTGCTGCTAGATCGCTGACTCGACTTAGCAGAGCGATTCAAATGAGCTATCACGTGGTCTGGACGTGGAATTTCTGCTGATGCGCATGCGCCATGGTAATATTTTTCTTTAAGAACGGGAATCATATTTCTATAGTTACGTTGGTGTGGGCGATGAGGTACATGTATGCATTGAATATACAACAATGAATATGAGCGGGAAACAGTCGCGCTTTGACCATGATCTCATCCATCTTAGACCATTAGAAAATATTTGCGAACATTATATTTCTACTACGACAAAACAAAACATGATGATGTTCGAAATTTCACGAGTTACATTAATAATGCAAGGCGGCACCCAAATGTGTAATTATTATCAATAAAAACATCATTAATTCAAACATTATGTTCACTACACATTCAGTACATCGTAATCACAATGTTTTTGTCAATGCATCATGGATCGTAACTACAACGGGATTTGCACAGCATAATTGCAACTTAAATTGCCAAAACACCTTTATAAAACGTTACAGCAACGAGAGGTTCACAACATAACAGCAACGCGCTGTGAAAATACCAAACTGCAATGTCACGACAACATGATTTTTACAACATTATGATAAGACTTTTATGCAACGTCATCATAACGTCATGAATGGAACATCACAGCAACGTGGTGTAAATTGCTATCTACAACGTCATGACAACGTGAGATTAGCAACATACCAATAACGTTGTGAAAGCACGCACATACAATGTTACAACAACGTCATGATTTTTACATCACAGCAACGTTTTGAAATGCCAAACTACAACGTTGTGACATCGTGATTTTCACAACTGAAAACAACGTTGTAAAATAACCTAGATGGAACGTTATCTCAACGTCAGGATTATAACCTCACGGCAAAAATTGTGAACATTCTAAATTACAACGTCCTGACAACGTATCATTGACAACTTAAAAACAACGTCATGAAAACACCTACATATAACGTAACCACAACGTCATATTTATTACTGTATTACAACGACCACTGTACAACGTCAATACAATGCCATATGATGACTTTCGTACAACGTTGTACAAATTACCGATATACAACGTTTTTACAACAAACAATTATACAGTCTAACATCGTGGCAACGTTGCTTGAATGTCATCGTGACACATTACCTAATGACAACATTTTCACAACATTGCGCAACGTTGTGGCAATGTGATGTGTTAGCTGGGAGCCCACCAAAGCCCATCAAACCCAACCATAACCCACATGGGGCCCACTTGGGCTTGCTGGCTGGGTGGCAACCCTTTGTCACAAATAATTTCAATGAGTAAGTTTTGGGTTCACATTTTAAACAGAAAACCCTAAATTGAACATTGACATCACTAGGCTGCAACAGCGCCCCCAGTTGTCTGGAAAAGCACGGAAATTTGAAATGTTTAAAGAAGTGCCCTAGCTTTTTAGTAAAATTAACCAACAAGCTTGGGATGTCATATAGTTAAATACATTTAAGAGGAGTAGAAAGGTGCATAATACGTGTTCTTCAAAAAGAAAATCATTGCATGGACTCTTTTAAATGTCTTTTATTATATTAATCGAATAATGATATCCAACATTTCAATACATGTAGTTTCACGGCGACCTGCATTTTGTGCTCCATTTCGTGAGTACGAGTATGACGAGTATGGGCATGATGGAATGTGATAGTGAATGTACATTACAAAAAAATACTAAGTAAATTTAAAACTTGTCATTGAGAAGCAAAAAGAAAAAAAATCGAATCAAACCAACCAACACTGAAAACAAATAAACTACAAAGATTACATACAACTACAAGTAGAGGTACATACAGATACATCAACAATTTCACCAATGCCAATAAATCGTGATTTTGATAGAAATTAGTTTGGAAAGGACTTTACCACAGGTCTCACATTTGAAAAGTTTTTTTTCCGAGTGTTCACCCATGTCTTTTTAGACTACTTTAACAGCAGGTCTATCACAAACAGATGGTTTCTCATCAGTATGTCGTCAGCGTTTTCACGAAGGGACCAATTAGGCCAAATAGTTTTTTTTTGTTCCAAATTCTTTTCCAGCCGAGATCATTTCAGTGAACAGCAACGTTTGTGAGGTTTCTTGATCAAAATCAATTTAAATCAACGAAATCATGACGGTCAATGAAGAGAAAATTTCACCTGAATCGTATAATACTTTTCACGAAGAAACAAATTCACACTCTATCACATGTGGAATTTAAGTTTTCACGAAGAGATGAATTCGCCCAAATGGTATAGGCAATGGGTATTGGCAATTTGCCAAAACAACAGGCCTGTGGAATTTTGAATTTTCACGAACAAACATATCTATGGATATTAATTACTCCACAATTAATTGTTCTATTATACTGTAATTGACCTACATCTTTTTAGTTTAAGATCTCAGCTTAATATCAAAATCGGTTTTTCTAAAAACCACTGTTCAACACCCTGTGGCCCAATTCGTCCCTTCGTGAAAATGCTAAACGATATGCTTCCTGTCAAGTTCGCCATTGTGCATCTTCATACATGTAAGTGTTTTAAGATGACTTCGCTGAAAAAGGGCTTTACCACAGGTCTCACAAACAAATGCTTTTTCAATTGTATGCGTCCTAGCATGTTTACGTAGATATCTTTGATAATCAAAGGCTTTACAGGTATCACAAACAGACAAACTGTTTGTTTTTCTCCTGATAGCACCCTATCATCTTTGCATAGATAACTCTGACAAGCAAAGGCTTTACCACAGGTCTTACAAACAAATGGTTCAAACAAAAAGTGCACCTTCATAGTGTTTTAAGATGAATTCGCTGAAAAAAAGGCTCGGCCTCTGGTCTCGCAAACAAATGTGTTTTTCCCCTCTTGCATGCATTCTTCCATGTTCATTTTGTGTACATGACTTTGAAAACCAAAGGCTTTACCACAGATCTCACAAACAAATGGATCTCACCTGGGTTCATCTTGATATGCATGTTAAGATCTCTTCTCAGAGAAAAGTTTTACCAGAGCTCTCAAACAAATGGTTTCTCTCCAGTGTGCACCCTCTCATGTCTGATTAGATAACTTTGACGAGCAAAGGCTTTACCACAGATCTTACAAACAAATGGTTTCTCACCTGTATGCACCCTCTCATGTCTGGTACGATTACCTCGCGTAGAAAAGGCTTTACCACAAGTCTCACAAAAACATGGTTTCCTATCAGAATGCACCTTAATATGCTCTTTAAGAATACTCCGCCGAGAAAAGGCTTTACCACAGATCTCACAAACAAATGGTTTCTCTCCAGTGTGAACCTTCTCACTTCTGATTAGATCACGTCGTGTAGAAAAGGCTTTACCACAGATGTCACAAACAAATGGACCTCGCTTAGACACGACTTGACCAGAGTTCTGACATGGTTTCTCACTACTGTGCACCCTGTCATGTTCATGTTTGCGCAGATGTCAAGCAAAGGCTTTACCACAGGTCTCGGAAACAAATGGTTTCTCACCTGTATGCACCGTCTCATGTCTGATTAGATCAACTCGTTTAGAAAAGGCTTCATTACAGGTCTCACAAAAAATGGCTTCTTATTAATATGGACCTTGATGTGCTCTTTAAGAATACTCCGCTGAAAAAAAGGCTTCACCACAGATCTCACAAACAAATGGTTTCTCTCCAGTGTGCACCCTCTCGTGTCTGAGTAGATCACGTCGCGTGTAAAAAGCTTTACCACAGGTCTCACAAACGAATGGTTTCTCAGCAGTGTGCACCTTGGTATGCATTTTAAGATTTTGCCTCAGTGAAAAGGCTTTACCACAGGTTTCACAAACAAATGGTTTCTCACGAGTATGCACCCTCTCATGTCTCATGAGAGTATCTCGTGTAGAAAAGGCCTTTCTACATATCTCACAAACAAATGGTTTCTCTCCAGTGTGCACCCGTTCATGTCTGATTAGAGAACTTTGACGGGTAAAGGCTTTACCACAGATCTTACAGACAAATGGTTTCTCACCAGTATGCACCCTCTCATGTCTGATTCGATTACCTTGTGTAAAAAAAAAAAAAATGGTTTGTTATTAGAATGCACCTTGATATGCTCTTTAAGAATACTCCGCCGAGAAAAGGCTTTACCACAGATCTCACAAACAAATGGTTTCTCTCCAGTGTGCACCCTCTCGTGTCTGAGTAGATCACGTCGCGTGGAAAAGGCTTTACCACAGGTCTCACAAACAAATGGTTTCTCACCACAGTGTACCTTGAAATGCACTTTAAGATTTCTCCTCAGAGAAAAGGCTTTACCACAGATCTCACAGACAAATGGTTTCTCACCTGTATGCACCGTCTCATGTCTGATTAGATCAACTCGTGTAGAAAAGCCTTCACCACAGGTCTCACAAAAAGATGGTTTCTCATCAGTATGGACATTGATATGCAATTTAAGAGTATTTTGCTGTGAAAAGGCTTTACCACAGATCTCACAAACACATGGTTTCTCACCAGTATGCACCCTCTCGTGTCTGATTAGATGACCTCGTGTAGAAAAGGCTTTACCACAGGTCTCACAAACAAATGGTTTCTCTCCAGTATGCACCATCTCATGTCTGATTATGTTACCCCGTGTAGAAAAGGCTTTCCCACAGATCTCACACAAAAATGGTTTCTCGCCAGTATGAACATTGATATGCCCTTGAAGAGTATTGCGCTGTAAAAAGGCTTTACCACAGATCTCACAAACAAAAGGTTTGTCATTGGTGTGCACCAGGATATGCTTTTTAAGAGAACTCTGCTGACAAAAGGCTTTACCACAGATCTCGCAAACAAATGGTTTCTCTCCAGTGTGCAGCCTCCCATGTCTGATTAGAGAACTTTGACGAGCAAAGGTTTTACCACAGATCTCACAGGCAAATGGTTTCTCACCAGAATGCACCCTCTCATGTCTGATTCGATTACCTTGTGTAGAAAAGGCTTCACCACAGGTCTCACAGAAAAATGGTTTCCTATCAGTATGCACCTTGGTATGCTCTTTAAGAATACTCCGCCGAGAAAAGGCTTTACCACAGATCTCACAAACAAATGGTTTCTCTCCAGTGTGAACCCTCTCATGTCTAAGTAGATCACGTCGCGTGGAAAAGGCTTTACCACAGGTCTCACAAACAAATGGTTTCTCTCCAGTGTGCACCCTCTTGTGTCTGAGTAGATCACGTCGCGTGTAAAAGGCTTTACCACAGGTCTCACAAACGAATGGTTTCTCAGCAGTGTGCACCTTGGTATGCATTTTAAGATTTCGCCTCAGAGAAAAGGCTTTACCACAGGTTTCACAAACAAATGGTTTCTCACGAGTATGCACCCACTCATGTCTGATGAGAGTATCTCGTGTAGAAAAGGCCTTTCTACATATCTCACAAACAAATGGTTTCTCTCCAGTGTGCAGCCTCCCATGTCTGATTAGAGAACTTTGACGAGCAAAGGTTTTACCACAGATCTCACAGGCAAATGGTTTCTCACCAGAATGCACCCTCTCATGTCTGATTCGATTACCTTGTGTAGAAAAGGCTTTACCACAGGTCTCACAGAAAATTGGTTTCCTATCAGTATGCACCTTGGTATGCTCTTTAAGAATACTCCGCCGAGAAAAGGCTTTACCACAGATCTCACAAACAAATGGTTTCTCTCCAGTGTGAACCCTCTCATGTCCAAGTAGATCACGTCGCGTGGAAAAGGCTTTACCACAGGTCTCACAAACAAATGGTTTCTCACTAGTGTGCACCTTGATATGACTTTTAAGATTTGTCCTCACAGAGAAGGCTTTACCACAGGTCTGATGATCAAATGGTTCCTCAGTAGTATGCATTCTCTGTCTCTTTAAACTTCCTCACTTAGAAAAGGCTCTACCACTGGTCTTACAAACAAAATATGAATCCTCTCATATAAGAGGATATATTTTTGTGTTATATTGGCTTTTACGAACACAAATCTAATAAAACGCCAGAAGTTTCTCTCCAGTATGCATAATTCTCAGAAACAACTAGTTCCTCACCAGAGTGGACCATGGTACTGTTTTCAGATGACTTTGCTGAGAACAGGCTTCACTGCACATCTCACCAAAAGGTCTCTTACCAGATGAACCTACCCTCCTATGTTGTCTTAAGATTACCAAGTTCAAGAAAGTCTTTCACACGTATCACAGGCAATTGGTGATTCACCAGTGTGTATCCCTTAATATCTGTTTTAGTGGTGGGAGAAATCAGAGATTTCAAAAACCTGGCTATCGTAGTTTTTATAACTGAATAATGGTTATCTGATTTCACCGGTTATCTGATTTCACCGGAAGTTTCCAGCCACGTGCAGTCATGCCAACAAAAGGTGACGAGAGGGGTGCCACATGAAATGCCATCAGGTGACTTGGTTTAGTTTGCAGGATTCAATGACAACTGGGCATTTACAAAAGCACTCCAGAGCTGTAATTTGAAAAACAATAAGAGATGGGAACTCTCTGAAAAGTCGAAGGGGCAGGTTACTCATACACTGAATACCAAGACGACCAATAAGAAGTGAATGCGGTGACCATTAGAGACCGTACAGCAAATTGGGGACGTTGGTTGTTTTCTTCCTCGAGCAGAAACGGTTGTACTACAGATCTCGCAACCAAAGGGTTCATCTATCCAGTGCGCACCCTCTCCTGAAAGTTCGGATTAAAGCTTGATGACAATACTTTCACTTTCATGTCAAGCTTTGTGAAGTTCTTCAATTGATGGGTGATATAGTTCCAACAAGTGTAACAAACACCTGTCTGCTGAAGATCATGGGAGCATAAAATTGGTCACATTAGCTGGTTGCTGATCTTCCTGAGGTCTGTCAGTGATCGGATCTGATTCACGAGATTCCACAAGAGAGTGCTTTAACAGTCAGCGTTGGCGCATAACAGTTATCTGAAATAAATAAAAATGAAACAACAAGGCTGCATATATATTGATCCTTGTACTACGAGTGCTGTTTATTGCAAGTCAGTTGTACATTTATGCCAATGCACTCCTGCAGATATTGGAAGGCTGTGCAAAAAACATGGGGGAGTCACTTTCATGGGCGTCGCCAGGATTTTTTTCTAGAGGGAGGCAAACAAAATTTCTGCCAAAAAATGCTTGTATTTCTCAACACATTCTCGATTTATCAGTTTTAGAGGGGGGCAGGGACATTTTGCCCCCCCCCCATTAAATTTACACCACTTTGTCTTCGCGCCTCTTTTTTTTTTCTTCCTTTTTTTTTTTTTTTGTTGCTTTTCCGGGGGGGGGAGTGCCCCCCTTGGCCCCCCACGACGCCCATGGTCACTTTTTACAAATATTGCAGTGCCTCGGAGTGTAAAACAAAGGCAGGGTTAATCTACAAGCTAAAAACAAGACAAAAAATGTTGCATTTCTAGACATAAAGCCAGTGTGTTGTATTCTGCAGAACACTTTTAACTTCACACACGTTTCATTTGCTTCATGCTTCATTCTGTTTGATATGATTTTATGAAACTGCATTTTCCATACCATATTTTACAAAAGAATTGTTTTTTTTTTTATCAAATTGTATTTTTCATATTACCATCAATCTACATGTAGTTAGTGTCGTCATGCTCTCCTTTTCTACTCAATACAAAATATATCAGATTGGTTTGAAAATGATTCTTGTGTAGGGCCATTTAGCTTTTATGCCTTTTTCCGATTGCAGCAGCAAAACTAGCAACTGCACAAAATCTTACGGAGAATGCATAATAACTATCCTGTAGAAGTTTCAGCTCAGTGGATAATGTACGTAAATGTTTAGGGAAAAAACATATGCCTATATTTCTGGGTGTCTTGTAACAAAAGATTCTGTTGCTAACAAAATGTACACAAAAACTGTGCCCATAGGCCGCATACTTTCTTGAACTACTTTTTCTTGTAGATATATTTTTACAGGGTGGGCCTAATTCGTACAAGGACTATCTTCATTTTGAGCAAGAATCTCCTCGTTATATCAGTGGGTAGGTACTTTTCTGGGTACACTGTAATTACAAATGTTCCTACTTGCCTTTAAATAAAGGTTGAAACCAAAATACATGTACTATAAAACGCATTGATAGCAAGACCTCATAATTGCAGCATTGTACTGTGTACAGGTTTCCAGCCTATTCCAACAAAGACATTTTGAATCTGGGGAACTTTAGCATAAGAAATGAGTGCACCATTGGGTTTACCAAATATACCACTGATAACACCATTGGATTCACTGAACGGTATACCATTGATAAAACCATTGGTTCCACTCACAGGTTACACTCAATGGCATACCATGGATCATACCACTGGTTCAACTCACTGGTATACCATTGATAAGACAATGGTTCCACCGAATGGTTTACCATTAAATGGAATCATTGGTTCCACTCAATGTTATGTACATAGATCATACAAATGGTTCAAATCAATGGTATACCACTGATAGCAAAAATGGTTCCTTTCAATGGTGTATGGTAACACCGATGGTGCAATTCTACATGGCATACAGTATATCATACTATTGGTTCAACTGAATGGATAATACCAGTGGTTGCAAACAACTCAGATGCATGTGTGATTCCTCCTACATGTATGAAAAAAACCCCACATTTAGTAAAAACAAAACGACATTTGAGTTATTTGAATTGATTTTTAATGTGAATGCTACTTTATTCATCTACTGTTATTGTTTTTAACAACTGATGATAAATTATTTTAAAGTTTGAACATTTTCTTCAAAACATATCCTTTGACTGCGGAAATAAAACTCATATGCACATAAACACACATGCTTCACTGTTTCCTGAAATTGTTTGAAAATTTAAAATAAAAATTTTAGTTTTGAATTGTGTTTGGTGTCTCTGGCCATGGATTTTTTTTGTAAGGGATATGCAATGTATTATTATTTCACGCTATCCATAAAAATGCACCTTTGTGATTCATTTAACCATATTTTCAATTTTTGTTTTGCCATGTACTTTGAAGGTGTTTCGATGCCTTTTTAATTTTATGCTACATGTAATGCCAATTTCATGATCAAAATCGTGATGTCGTTTCGGGCGGAACATCAATGTTACAGCTATTTCATCACAAGAAGTTGTTAGAATTGCTGATATCAGCTGTCATAACTTTTCTTTTCTTTTGTGTTTCATTGTTGTGTATGTACACATCAGTGACCAACTGGCAACCCTTTGTCACTGTGATGAATAAATTTGGGCTCCACAATTTGAAAAGAATACCCCTAAACTGAACATTGACATCACTCGCTGCAAGAGTGCCTTCAGTTGTCCAGAAAAGCACGAACAATTTTAAAAGTTTAAGGAAGCGCACTTCTAAGTAAAATTAAACAAAAAGGGATGTCATATAGTTTTCATACATTTAAGAGGAGTAGAAAGGTACACTCAATGTATTCCTCATAAAAAATTAATTGCATGGACCTTTTCAAATGACTGCTATTAAGAAACTATCCTCATCACCAAATGATATCAAGCTTTTCAATGGTTTTACGGCAATCTGCATAAGTTGTATTCCATTTCGTGAGTACGAGTATAAACATGATGGAAAATGATGGTGAGTGTACAATTTATTACATCAAAAATACATGTAGTGGGTACATTTAAACTATTGGGAAGCAAAAAGAAAAAAATCCAAACAAACAAAAACTGAAAACAATTAAATTACAAAGATTACATACAACTACAAGTACAGGTACAAACAGATATCAGCAGTTTCCACCAATGTAAACCATTATGTTTTCTGATAGAGTTTAGTTGTGAAAGAGCTTTACCATAGGTCTCATAATTTAAAGGTTTTTTTTCCCCGAGTGCGCACCCATGTCTTTTTCGATTACTTCAACAGCAGGTCTTTCACAAGCAAAATGGTTTCTCTCCGGTATGAACCCTCCCATGTTTGTGTAGATAACCTCGAGCTGAAAAGGCTTTACCACAGGTCCCACAAACAAATGGTTTCTCACCAGTGTGCACCCTCTCATGTCTGGTTAGAACACCTGGTGTAGAAAAGGCTTTACCACAAGTCTCACAAACAAATGGTTTCTCTCCAGTGTGCACCCTCTCATGTCTGATTAGAGTACTTTGACGAGCAAAGGCTTTACCACAGGTCTCACAAACAAATGGTTTCTCTCCAGAATGCACCTTCTCATGTCTGGTTAGAGCACTTCGTGTAGAAAAGGCTTTACCACAGGTCTCACAAACAAATGGTGTCTCACCAGTGTGCACCATGATATGGCTTTTAAGATGTGTCCTGAGAGAAAAGGCTTTTCCACAGATCTCACAAACAAATGGTTTCTCTCCAGAGTGCACCTTCTCATGATCGATTAGAGAACTTTGACAAACAAAAGCTTTACCACAGATCTCACAGACAAATGGTTTCTGTTCAGTGTGAACCCTCTCATGTCTGATTAGATCCCCTTCTGTATAAAAAGCTTTACCGCAGGTATCACAAACAAATGGTTTCTCACCAGTGTGCACCTTGTTAATATGGCTTTTAAGATATCTACTAATGGAAAAGGCTTTACCACAAGTTTCACAAACAAATGGTTTCTCAGTAGTATGAACCTTGACATGTTCTGTAAGTATACTCCGCCGAGAAAAGGCTTTACCACAGATCTCACAAACAAACTCTTTCTCTCCAGTATGTACACTCTCATGTCTGATTAGAGTAAGTCGTGTAGCAAAGGCTTTACCACAGGTCTCACAAACAAATGGTTTCTCTCCAGTGTGCACCCGGATATGGCTTTTAAGATTTGTCCTTAAAGAAAAGCCTTTACCACATGTCTCACAAACAAATGGTTTCTCTCCAGTGTGCACCCTCTCATGTCTGGTTAGAACACCTCGTGTAGAAAAGGCTATACCACAGGTCTCACAAACAAATGGTTTCTCACCAGTGTGCACCATGATATGGCTTTTAAGATTTGTCTTCGAAGAAAAGGGTTTTCCACATATGTCACAAACAAATGGTTTTTCTCCAGAGTGCACCCTCTCATGTATGATTAAAAGACCTCGTCTAGGAAATGCTTTACCACATATCTCACACATGAATGGTTTCTCACCAGTGTGCACGTTGATATGGCTTTTAAGATGTGTCCTCAGAGAAAAGGCTTTTCCACAGATCTCACAAACAAATGGTTTCTCTCCAGAGTGCACCTTCTCATGATGAACTAGAGAACTTTGACAAACAAAAGCTTTACCAAAGGTCTCACAAACAAACGGTTTCTCACCAGTATGCATCCTGTCATGTGTGGTTAGATTACTTTGAAGAGCAAAGGCTTTACCACACATCTCACAGACAAATGGTTTCTGTTCAGTGTGAACGCTCTCATGTCTGGCTAGAACACTTCGTGTAGAAAAGGCTTCACCACAGGTCTCACAACCAAATGGTTCCTCACCAGTGTGCACCCTCTCATGTCTGGTTAAATCCCTTTGTGTAGAATGCGCTTACTACAGGTCTCACAATCAAATGGTTTCTCAGTACATGTAGTATGCATCCTCTCATTAGACTTCCTTGCGGAGAAAAGGTTTTACCTAGTGCGTCACAAACAAATGGTTTGTCACCTGCATGCACCCTCTCCTGACAGTTCAGCTTAAAGCTTGATGACAAAGTCCTTCTACTTTTGGGTCTGGCCTTGTGAAGCTCTTAAATTGACGGGTGACATAGCTCCAACAAGTGTTAGAGCACCTGTCCGCTGAGGATTGTGAGAGTATGGTCACATTGGCTGGTTGATGATCTTCCTGAGGTCTGACAGTGAACGGATCTGATACACGAGATTCCACAATAGAATGCCCTTTACATTCGGTGTCGTCACATAACAGGAATCTGAAATTATTAAAAATGACAAAAAAAAGGCTGCATTACATGTATATTGACCCTTGCATGAGTGTTGTACAATGTACAGGGTGAGTCAAAAAGTGAAACCCAAATGTCGGGACTTTTGTTTCAGTGAAGTGTTGCATGTAGCTCTTTGAAAATCTAGGATATGAAAGCCCAATTCATAAGCTTTCTTTAGTACAAGAATCATTCAAATCACACGTGTAGTTATCAAGTTACGGAATTTTAAACACAACCGCTATTTTAAAGTTCTGTCCACAGATCACAAAAATGTTAGTGTTTTCTTCCGCAAAGCGAAAACAAATCACATAGGGATGTGTGTGAATTGTTTTTGTTTCGCTGAAAAAACGCACACTTTTTTTGTGATCCGTGGACAGAACTTTAAAATGTTGGCTGCATATGTTTAAAATTCCGTAACTTGAAAAGTACAGGAGTGATATGAATGATTCTTGTACTAAAATAAAGCTTACAAATTTGGCTTTCATATCCTAGATTTTCAAAGTGCTACATGCAACACTTCACTGAAACAATAGTTCCGACATTTGGGTTTCGCTTTTTTGACTCACCCTGTACACTGTAAGTCAGTTTAATACATGTACATGCTTGCCAATGCACTCTAGCAGAAGTGTACTGGAGGATTATTCAATGCAGCAGCCATGTGATTTTGCAATAGACATTGACGACCTTATTTTATACGATGGACTCATTTATTTCTAAGAGTTTTCTCACAGCATGACCAAGCATTCTATCAGCACCATTTGGCAGTTCTTGGAGAACACTCTGGTTCACTCCCAAAGCATTTTTTGTCAAATATTGGTGATAGAAGAGATTTAGCACTTTATTAACAGTATCTACCTACCCACCAAGTTTCAAGGCGATCAAATTTGTAAAACCACATTTTTGATGAAGACATTTTTTTTGTAAGTGTGCATACTAATACCTAACCAAATACAAACGTATTTTGAATTTAGCATGCTTTGTTGACAAGATACGGCTTAAGATTTAAAAATTCAAAAATTCATAAAAAAATTGCATGATGACGTCATTATGACGTCAACTCCTTTTCTACCTTAAGACCAAGATTAAACCAATCGGACTTACAATTCTGTAGATATATTGAAGTTTGCACATTTAAGATGACGTTACGTGACCCATGATGACATCATCATGACGTCTCAACGAAACATATTCCAAATGCCATATCAGCTCCCTGAGGAGTATACAGCTCCATGCTGCCTTTTCAGCACAAAGCAGCTAAAACCGACCACAACTACAATGTACATGTGTCTCTGCTCTCACCATTTACTGCTGGGTGGAGAGAAGCAATGAGTGACAAAGTGCCTTGCCCAAGGGCACACGCAACAAATCCGCAGGCTGGAGTCGAACCCATAACCTGCAGAATTACCTGCAGACTACGAATTCAATGCTCCAGACCACGATTCCAAGGCATTCCACTCACGGGGGTTGAAGATGCCCTGAATTGAAGTTGTACATTACATTTTACAGGTTCAAATGTTGGTTTAGTCATTGTGTGATGGATTACTGGAATGTGCAATGCCATGCAAGGTAATCAGGGTGACCGTTTTCAGCTAACTTTGACAGAATTTTTATTAAAAAACAAGTTTGACAGAAAATTTGACAGAATGGATTTTTTTTGGCAGATTTCTGGCAGAATTCTGCAAAAATGGTTATTTGACAGAAAAACAGCAAATTTGAACAAAAAATGTAGATTTGTTTAAATAAAGCTTCAATCCTTTCATACAAGCCCTTGCAATATGTGACAGGTTGGCTGGTCTAGGTGCTGATGTTCACTGGGAAACAAGACTTGATCGTCATGGCCGGATCCGCGTTTTGCCCGAAATTTATCAATAATTTCACAACATCTTTATGTGACTAGTTTGTTTATGTCATTTGAATCTTAGTTGGCAATACTATCAATCTGCATGTGATTTTATGTGTTTATTCCCCAGAATTACTCGAAATACACTATAAACTTTATAGTGTATTTCGAGTAATTCTGGGGAATTCGGCAGATTTTTGATAAATCTGACAGACTTTTGATGCGCATTTAGCAGAATTTGGCTGTGACCTTGCGGTCACCCTGAATGTAATAATCAGTCCTAGTAATCAGTAATCAAAATCAGTAATTCATGGCTACGATGACAGAATCATGGGCTGGATGTTACCTTCTAGAAGTTGTCTTGATGGATTCAGAGTCTCAGTGCTGATTCCACACAAGACAGGACCTGGTTGGCTGTGTTGCTACCTGGAGGAGACAACTGAAACACAACCAAACCAAAGTGATTAAATCGACAGGCTACAAAATGATGGTTTAATACATGGGTGCTGACCGCATCAATCAGGCCAAAATAAAAAGATTGATTGTTTCTGGTCCAGCGGCCGGGGGATTTTTTTTACCCTCGGGCTGTCTGCACTTGTTTTGTTTTTTTGTTTCCTTCTTCTTCCGGTATTATTTTGACGTCTGGTGAACAAATACAGTAGAAAAACACAACTAAGGCAGTTTCTGGTATGGAGCTTGCCAAAAAAGTGGTGCGGCGACACAGCTTCAAAATATTCCCCTGCCCCTAGAAATAAAAAAATCTGTGGGCAACATTGTTTGGAAATTTGAAACACAAAACAAAGCTGGGCCCCCTCCCACCAAGCCAAATCAGGGATGCGCGGCTGCGCCACTGGGCGAAGTGGTTAGGGGGAAGTGGTTAGGAGCAAAGTTATAGGGGGGGGGGGGGGGGGCAAAGTGTAAACAGGGCGAAGTGACGAGAGATTCCCATTTCTGGCAATCACTCATTTTTCCTTTCAGTAACCTATCAGCCATCAGAAAGTGATAATTTGTTCTAGAAAAAAAATACAAGTAGACTAGAAGTAGAAAGTCAAAGTTACCAGGGAAAATATTTAAGTATTTATTGAGAAAACACTTACACATTTTCCGGTGACAAATTTTAGTCTGGCTCCATGTGGTAATCGTTGTAACCTCGTATTCACAAGATGGGATTCAGACCATTTTATAATTTCGGACTTTATTTCCCTTTTAAAAAAAATCCTCCAGAGCCACAAATCTGAAAAACGAAAATGTAATACTCTGCAATAAAATGTTTGAGACATGTTAAAATAATAAAAGAAAAATATTCGTATTTATTAAGGGATGGGAAAAAACCTTAAAAACGCTCACTAGAGCCTTTGCTTAACCACTACACCAAACGTGCTACACAACTTTTGGTGGGAATTTAAAACATCTTATAATTCAGCCCTATCTTAAATAGTACAGCGCCCTCTGTTGGTATGGATTGCCACTGGCAAACCTTTAGTAAACGTTAGTTTGCCGTCATTACCTCCGGCAAAATATCCACTATCTAGCCTAAAATTATGTTTATTTGATATGCTGAGACTGAGAGGGTTTCCTTTATCATGTTTATCAATGTTTCTACCATATAAAGCGTCTTTTGATGTTCCAAAAAGGCAAAACTTATGCAAAATTTGTTGACGCTGCGCTGGGTTGACGACCGTTCATTTTTTGACGCCAGTTGACGCTTGTTGACGCATTTTGACCCGGGTGTGGTACTGTCATGACTGTGCACGCATTTCCGACACCAAGTCAGAGTCTCAGAAAATTGTCAATAAAACGGGGATTTAACTTAAGGCCTACCTCTAATAATTATTCTTTATCATAATCAGGTGGTATTCATTCAATTTATTAATGAAGACTATACGGTAAACTGTTTTATTGGGGGAAAAACGAGTACTCACCGGTCTCACCTGAGGCTAAAATTCGCTTAAAATACGCCGTCGACTGCGCATTCTAGCCTGCAGTGACGTGCAGTCTCGCCAAGAGGTGGCGCTTTTTGGGGGTTCAAGGTGAGGTACGTAGCCACAGACATTCCGTAGCCGAATTACGGATTTATTTGACAGAATTTCGAACAAAAAGTTTGACAGATAATTTAGAAAAGCGATTTTTTTTTAAAGCAGATTTCTACCAGAATTTCGTAAAATTGGTGATCTGACAGAAAATTATGGCAGATTCCAAAAATATAGCTGATTTAATTAGTTTTGAAAAAGTTCAATTCGAGGCTCCCTGAAGTAGCTCCTATCCATTGCCACTGGCACTGATGATTGACATGTGCAATTTTTTTAATTGTTATTTTGTTTAAGGAAATGTTATAACATATTGGATTCAAGTGATGACATCCTACTTCTTCATCCTCAATCAGGAGATACACTTTTATGACTGTTTCCCAATTGTCAACATAAACGCAGACAATCTAGCCAGGAGAATACCGTCTTCTCCACATGATTCTGCCAGATAGTGAGGTTGGCGAAGAGGTACCTGATTTCGGGATAGCAATCGAAGGTCCTAGAAACTGAGGGCCAATGTGGGGTATCCAGTGGGTGGGGTGGGGGGGGGGGGACATGGGGGCACTTTGCCCCCCCCCCGGAATTTATCTTTGTCGGCAATGATTTATAAAGTGTTTATAGAGTTCTCGTGACATCAATCCCACCAAAGAAAACCCGCTCAACAACCATTACAATGCGGCGTGAAAATGTCCATAGTATGCATAATTATGGTCAGTTTTGAAGAGCGCCCCCATTTGGAAGATGGGTACCCCCCCCCCCCCCCACACTTTTTGATTTTACGGAGGGCAAGTGTCCGGAGAAAAAAACCTGTCTACATTTCGGCGCGGATGTGCGGTCGCACCCCCCCCCCCCCCCCCCCCCCCCCCCCGACATCAAAAGCTGGGATACGCTGCTGTTGAGGTCCTAGATCATACCGATTTGTTTTTTGAAGTACCGGTATAGTGAAAGACGCGGCCCATTTACTTCCGATGGGAAAGACACTTTGGAAACATCCAATCAGTTTGGTGCTTCATGAATATCTGAATAACGAGCACTTTTTTTAAGCAGTATTTCATTACTATTATTTTTCGGCATGATGGTGGGGGTGAGGTGGGGTGGGGTGGGGTGGCAAACGATATATCCGAATGGCACAATATAAGACCGACAGCGAGCATTATTGGCTTTATACATCATTGGCTTTTGCTGTAATTTTCAGAAATGGATGGAATTGGGGGGTTGGAAATATATAGCAAATATAGTTACACTGACTTTTTTGACATCAATCCCACCAAAGAAAACCCGCACAACAACCATTACAATGCGGCGTGAAAATGTCCATAGTATGCATAATATAATGGTCTGTTTTGAAGAGCGCCCCCATTAGGAAGATGGGTACCAGCTACCCCCCCCCCCCCCCACCCCATTTTTTGATTTTACGGAGGGCAAGTGTCCGGAGAAAAAAAACAACCCGTCTACATTTCGGCGCGGATGTGCGGTTGCCCCCCCCCCCCCCCCGACATCAAAAGCTGGGATACGCTGCTGTTGAGGGGCCTAGATCATCATACCGATTTGTTTTTTGAAGTACCGCCTGTACCCAGTATAGTGAAAGACGCGGCCCATTCACTTCCGATGGGAAAGACACTTTGGAAACATCCAATCAGTTTGGTGCTTCATGAATATCTGAATAACGAGCACTTTTTTTAAGCAGTATTTCATTACTATTATTTTCGGCATGATGGTGGGGGTGAGGTGCAGGGTGGGGTGGGGTGGGGTGGGGGGAAACGATATATATCCGAACGGCACAATAAGACTGACAGCGAGCATTATTGGCTTCATACATCATTGGCTTTTGCTGTAATTTTCAGAAATGAACCATTTGAGGGGAGGGTATAATAGATCAAATATTGTTACACTCACATGTTTGAAGTTTTGTGTTCGAAAATGCTGGAAAAACCAATTAAGAAAAACAAAACTGTTCAAGTAGTCTGGTTCCCTGACTCCACTAAATATAAAATGGATCAATTTACAGATGCCGGAATATTGTAAGGTGAGGGTACCAGTCTAGCTGGCCTGCACCCTTTCATGAACATGTAACCAATAGCGAACAAAATTTGGACTGAATTAATGGTGAATTTGGAGCAGTAGTTGAAAAATAGTTTTTACCAACGGTGGTCGGCCGACCACCGCTGGAAATTTTTACAAAAATACAATTTTCTTGAAAAGGACTTCACACCAGGTGCCATAAGTTTACAGGATGCTTTAGACTGTTATTTACCAACATCCTATTAAGGTATTTCATAAAAACTTGCTAGTTTTATTTTTCGATGTTTGCAAATGTTGTATATTCCCTTTAAGCATTAAGTGGCATAAGTTGTAGCAACATTTTTGGACAAAACAATACAAAGCCTTTTATTAAACATGTGGAATATGTCAAAAAATCGCACAGGTTATTAAGAAAAAATACAAGAAAAATACAGCAACTAAAAAACAAAACACGAATTAGGCCCCCCAAAAAAGTCTCTGGTTTCTGGTATGGGCACGCGTCGCCGTAGCCATGCGCGTCGGCAAAATGAAAAAGTTTTTTTTTCAATGAAAGATGATGTCGCAAAACCGCCAAACTCACTGGTTTGACTGGAATCCTGCTGTTGCACAATTTCAACGTGTTTTTAGATGGGGTTATGATCGAAAATAAGCTTTATGTGGCCTCTCTGGACTTCCATATATTTGCACTAAGTTTAGTTGGGCACCATTTGCAGTCATCAGCCGACATTTTGAAGCAAAAAAGTCAGGTTAAAAAAAAAAAAAGCCGCGTCGCCGCACCACTTTTTGGGCAAGCTCCATACCAGAAACCGGAGACTTTTTTTTGGCCTGAAGTCTACATGTAAAAAGTACAGATTTAAACAAAAGATTCACCGTTGTGAACCATTCTGTTTCCTTCGAGAATTTAATAATACATGTAAAGGGCCTTTTAGTAATCCACAGGCCTTTGTCACAAACAAATGGTTTCTTACCAGTTGTGCACCTTGATATGGCTTTTTAAGATATGTCCTAAGCTGCGTTACCAAAAGTCTCACAAATGGTTTCTCAGTATAGTATTAACATCGACATATTCCGCCGTGAAAAGGCTTTAGTATACAGATCTCACAAACAAATGGTTCCTCACGCAACCAATGAGCAACCTGATGTGTTTTTAAAAAGCTTCACTGAGACTACAGATCTCACAAACAGTTAATGGTCTCTTACCAGTATGCACCCTCTCATCATGTCTGATGAGATCATTTTTTTTTGTGGAAATGACTTTACAAAGTCTCACAAACAAATGGTTCCTCACGCCAACCCCCCCCCCCCCGGTTCGGCTTTCGATTACATGGCATTTGAAAAAGGGGTAGGTAGGTAGGTACGTAGGTAGGGAATTGCTCTTTTTTGGGGTACGATGATGTGGAGGCGTCTGCGTGTAGTCAAGGGTAAGAGGTAGAAATGAATGCTTTGGGGTGATTTTTTTTCTCATATTTCCAATAAAAAAATTAGGGTAGGGGCAGTAAGAATATGGTAGGTTGGGAAACCGGAAGCAGAACTATTTGTTTTTTGGCCTCACCAGAGTGCACCCTGTCATGTTTGCGTAGGTAACGTAGCAAAGCAAAGGCTTTCCCACAGGTCTCACAAACAAATGGTTTCTCGCCAGTGTGCACCTTGATATGTCCTTTGAGAGTACTCTGATGAGAAAAAGCTCGACCACAGGTCTCGCAAACAAATGGTCTCTCACCCGTGTGCACCCTTTCATGTTTGCGTAGATAACTTCGGCAAGAAAATGCTTTACTGCAGATGTCACAAACAAATGGTTTCACTACACCAGTGTGCACCCCCATATGTTTTTTAAGATTATTTCGCTGAGAGAAGGTTTTACTACAGATCTCACAAACAAATGGTTTCTCTCCACGGTGTCCCCTCATATGTACGGTCAGATTTCTTTGACAAGTTAAGGCTTTACCGCAGGTCTCACAAACACATGGTTTCTCACCAGTGTGCATCCTGAAATGTGTCTTTAGAAAACTTCGCTGAGAAAATCCTTTACTACAGATCTCACAAACAAATGGTTTCTCACCAGTGTGGATCTTGGTATGCTCTTTAAGACTACTTCGCCGAGATAAAGTTTTACCACAGGTCTCACAAACAAATGGTTTGTCACCAGTATGGTCCTTCTCATGTCTGTTTGGAGTACTTCGCACATTAAAGGCTTCACCACAGGGGCCACCAGCATTAACAAATGTTTCCTTTTCAGCCTGCATCATCGCATGTCTGCTTAGACTTCCTTGCTGTGAAAAGGCTTTAACACAGGTCTCACAAATGAATGGTTTCTCACCTGCAAGCACCTTCTTAGTGTGGGTAGACGATTAGGACTAAGAAAGCTTTTACAACAGGTCCACAAACATTAACAAATGGTTTCTCACCAGGATGCATTCTGGCATTTTTGGTTAAACAACATCGCTAATTAGAAAGGCCTTTAACACAAACACTTCTCGCAACCAAATGGTTCATCTATCCAGTACGCACCCTCTTCTGGCAGTCAGCTTAAAACTTGATGACAAAATCCCTTTATTTTCGTGTCAAGCTTTTGTCTCCGACAGTAGTTACAAGAATTACAAGCACCTGTCTGCTAAGGATCATGGGAGTATCGTCACAATTGGCTGGTTGTTGATCCTCTTCAGGTCTGTCAGTGATCGGATCTGATTCACGAAAATCCACAACAGAATGCTCCAACAGTCGGCGTAGTGTCACATAACAGGAATCTGAAATAATTAAACATGAAAAAAGGGCTGCATATATTTAACCTTGTCCTATCGAGTGTTGTTTATTGCAAGTTCAGTTGTACATGTGCAAATGCATTCCAGCAGACACTAAAGGGCTGTGCAAAAAACACAGAAGAGGGTGCGCACTGGATAGATGAACCATTTGGTTGGAGAAGTGTGTTTAAAGCCCTTTCTAAGCGATGTTGTTTAACAGCAAGAATGCGTCCTGGTGAGAAACCATTTGTTAATGTTTGTTAATTAAGGGGTTAATCTACGGTACAAACAAAAACAAACAAAACAAAAAGGCTGCATTGCTAGCCACAAAGCCTGTATTTTAACTTTGAATACATTTCATTTGTTTCATATTCTATGAAACTGCATTTTCCACAATTTATTTTACAATATTTTTTTTATAAAGTATTTCTTATATTACCATCAATCTAGTTAGTGTCGTCATGCTTTCCTGTCCTAAATCAGATTGGTTTTAAAAGTTATCTGTTTCTACCAAAAAAAAACCCTGCACCCATAGTTACACTTTCTTTTTCTACCTCTTCAGGTACTATCAACGGTACTGAACAAAGAAATCGATCGAGCTTAAATGCTACATATTGCCGGTCTCAACTCGAGAAGACCAGCCAAATTATCCAGACCAAAGGGAGCCAAGACCAAGACCAAAGCTCCCGAGACCATGGAGGAATGACCGAATGACCAGCAAGAAATGGTCTCGAGACTGTCTCGAGACCTACAACCCAGGTCGGGAGGCTTCATAAATGATATAATTTGGTACAGTTAAAATTCATAAGGCAAAAAAAAAAAATCTGCTTCTGCTTTTCCTACCTACATGTATACCTACATGTATTCTGACAGCCCCTACCCTAATTTTTTATGGGACAAAATGAAAAAAAAAAACACCAAAAACCATCAATTTTTACATTTTACCCTTGATTTCACATAGGCACCTCCATATGATCGTACACACACACAAATACAAAAAAAAAAAACCCAATTCCCTACCTACCTACCCTTTTTTCAAATGCCGTGTAATCGGAAGCAGAAATATTTTTTGGTGCCTAATATGATACCTGCACAGTCTGGATTTTTGTTGCCAAAACATTTTGAAAATAACGATTAATACCCTAATGCTGTGTAACTTATCTATTCCAAATGATCATGAAATGCCTAACTAGACTGTGAGTCAGGAATAGTCTCCCCCTAAATCATGGTACCTAGTGTGCTGCCATTTCAAAGAAAAATGAAATGTTTGTAATTTCCATTCCAACCATGGTCGGCTGACAATTTTTGGGGGAAAAAATTGTTTGTTTTTTTCAAAACACTGCCAATTTTAATTAGTCCACATCTTGTTTACAATCGGTTACACATCCGTTAATGGGTGCCAGCCAGCTTAACTGGTTCCCTGACCTTACAATTTACCAACGACCAACCATTGCTCAATTTCATCTGAAGTGGGGTCAGGGAACCAGACTACAAGAAAGGCACCTTTTTCCCTTGGTTTGTCCAGCATCTATGAGTACAAAACTTGAAACAGTTAAATGTTACAATATTTGCTATAAACACTAAGCCCCTAATCTATCCATTTTTGAAACATAACAGCAAAATTAAGCAAATGTTGTATTTACTTTTAAATCAAAAGATTTTTCCAATTTAAGCATAGGGTAGGTGGCAAAAGTTGTAGCAATGAAATCCGTGATTTTTTGACAAAACAATACAATTTTCCATTACTTTAACAATGTGGAATGTGTCTAAAAATCGCATTCTTCAATGTTTTGAACACGTCATTTAAAAAAAAAATACAAGAAAAACACAGCAACTGAAGAAAAAATAAAACAAAGACTACATGTACAAGTACCGATTTTTAGGGCCTTTCCATACTAGGTCTTACCGAGGGCCTTTCCATAGGTCTCACAATTAAATGTTTTCCCCCATTGTGCATCATGTTATGTCTGTGTAGACTACATTGTACATGTACATGTACCTTGCTCTGAAACGACTTAAACCTCAGGTCACTCATAACTGACTTCTCACCCGTATGCACCCATTCATGTACAGACTTTTTCTCCGACTAACAATGGCTTAACCACATGTCTCACAAACAAATACGGTTTCTCACCAGAATGCACCTTGATACGCTCTTTAAGAGTAAAAGGTTTTACCACAGGTCTCACTAACAAATGGTTCCTCACCAGTGTGCACCTTGATGTGTGTTTGAAGATTAATATGCTGAGGGAAGGCTGTCCCACAAAAAAGTAAAGGTTTTTCCGCAGATCTAAACAAATGGTTTCTCACGTGTGCATCCTGATATGCGTTTTAAGATGACTCTGCTGAGAAAAGGCTTTACTACAGGTCTCTCAAACAAATAGCTTTTCACCAGTGTGTACCTTGAAATGACGTTTAAGATTTGTCCTTTGAGAAAAGGCTTTACCACAGGTCTCACAAACAAATGGTTCCTCACCAGTATGCACCCTCTTATGTGTTCGTAGATTACTTAGACAAGTGAAGGTTTTTCCGCAGATCTCACAAACAAATGGTTTCTCACCAGTATGCACACTGTCATGTTTGCGAAGACTACTTCGCAAAGGAAAGGCTTTACCGCAGATCTCACAAACAAATGGTTTTTCACAGGTGTGCACCTTGATATGACGTTTAAGATTTGTCCTATGAGAAAAGGCTTTACCACAGATCTCACAAACAAATGGTTGCTCACCAGTGTGCACCTTGACATGCTCTTTAAGATTTGTCCTTTGAAAAAAGGCTTTACCACAGATCTCACAAACAAATGCTTTCTCACCAGTATGCACCCTCTCATGTCTGCGTAGATTACTTAGACAAGTAAAGGCTTTACCGCAGATCTCACAAACAAATGGTTTCTCACCAGTATGCACCCTGTCATGTCTGATTACATCAATTTTTCTAGAAAAGGTTTTACCGCAGATCTCACAAACAAATGGTTTCTCACCAGTATGCACCCTGTCATGTCTGATTACATCAGTTTTTCTAGAAAAGGTTTTACCACAGGTCTCACAAACAAATTGTCTCTCACCAGTATGCATCTTCATATGTTAAGACTACCTTGATGAGAAAGGACTTTACCACAGATCTCACAAAGAAATGGTTCCTTACCAGTGTACAATATGATATGAGTTTTAAGATTTCTTCGCCAAGAATAAGCTTTACTACAGATCTCAAAAACAAATGGTCTCTCTCCAGTAGGCTATGCACCCTCTCATGTCGGATTACATCAGTTTTTGTAGAAAAAGCTTTGCCACAGGTCTCACAAACAAATGATTTGTTACAGTATGGTCTTTCTCATGTCTGTTTGGAGTACTTCGCACATTAAAGGCTTTACCACAGGGGCCACCAGCATTAACAAATGTTTCCTTTTCAGTCTGCATCATCACATGGCTGCTTAGACTTCCTTGCTGTGAAAAGGCTTTAACACAGGTCTCACAAATGAATGGTTTCTCACCTGCAAGCACCTTCTTAGTGTGGGTAGACGATTAGGATTAGGCATTTTTGGTTAAACAACATCGCTAATTAGAAAGGCCTTTAACACAAACACTTCTCGCAACCAAATGGTTCATCTATCCAGTACGCACCCTCTTCTGGCAGTTCAGCTTAAAACTTGATGACAAAATCCCTTTATTTTCGTGTCAAGCTTTCGTCTCCGACAGAAGTTACAAGAGTTACAAGCACCTGTCTGCTGAGGATCATGGGAGTATCGTCACACTGGCTGGTTGTTGATCCTCTTGAGGTCTGTCAGTGATCGGATCTGATTCACGAGAATCCACAACAGAATGCTCAGTCACATAACAGGAATCTGAAATAATTAAACATGGAAAAAGGCTGCATATATTGAACCTTGTCCTATCGAGTGTTGTTTATTGGAAGTCAGTTGTGCATTTCTGCAGGGAATACGTGCACACGTTGCGCTGTTTGCATCTGACGTATTGGCTTCGGTAACGCACTGGTATGGAATACAAACGCAGATATGCAAATAGCCGTACAAAAGCCGTACAAAATTTCTAGGTCTCCATAGGTTTGTGCACAAACATGGATGCGCCCATCAGGCATTACTTTGTACATGAAGTTAGCGCTCCAGTAATTTTATTTAGCTCTATGGGCCTAAGTTATTTACGGAGGTATTACAGTAAATTGACCACATTTATGGGGATTATGCATGAGGGCGCTATACCATGTGTGTATACATCTTACTTGGCTTCTCTCCGTCAGCTGACGGAGAGAAGCCTTCTAATTCTAGAAGTATATACATTATTCTTCGCTTCCGGCATTGTCCGGATGGATACGGGACAAAATTACTAAACATTACTAGCTGGAGTTACCCAGCCCTAAATTTTATCATTGGGTTGTCATTTAGGGCTGGAGGAAGTTTTTCACTTGAACCAGCAGCTTTGGCAGGTCCCAATTTTTTTTTCTCGAAAATGTGCAATTTTGTCCCTGTTACACACTAATTTCAACTGGAACTCACCCAAACCTTGCCTGGAATAACCATTACACAGGTCCTTGAAGTAAAAAACGATCCACGATGAAGATTCAGCCTACAATTGCAGTGAAAAAAGGAGGCAGAACCGACATTCCGACAACCGTGCGGTCATGGTGAGGACCGCAACTAGATATGTGCACAAACAAACTGCGTGTACAATGAATGGCGGTCGATTACCATGCACTGCAGCGCGCTTACCAGTCGTTCTTGCCGGCTGCGCTGCGCTGGCTGTTGGCGCATGACGTCACGCGGAAGCGTGATACCGGACGACTGTTTTATGCCCTAGCATGAGGTTTACCACTCTCATCACAGCCGCGGTACTGGAACTATTTATTGTCCCTGTCTTTAAATGAACGTAAATAACACTGCACTATGAATGCACGATAACCGGCCAACTTCGGTTGCCGTTCCAGTACCGCAGCTGTGATGCGAGTAGTAAACATCATGTTAGTGCATGAAACAGTCGTCGGGTATCAAGCTTCCGCGTGACGTCATGCGCCAGCAGCCAGCTCAGCGCAGCCAGCAAGAACGACTGGTAAGCGCGCTGCAGAGCACGGTAATCGACCGCCATTCATTGTACATGCAGTTTGTCTGTGCTTGTAGTTGCGGTCCTCACCATGACCGCATGGTTGTCGGAATGTCGGTTATTCCTCCTTTTTTCACTGCAATTGTAGGCTGAATCTTCATCGTGGATCGTTTTTTACTTCAAGGACCTGTGTAATGGTTATCGCAGTGGCTATTGTTACGGCAGCCGTAACGCATTTCCCATTTTCTATCGTTACGGTAGACTGCAACTTTTATAAAAACATGATTAGAAAATATAAAATTAGAAGGAAAAAAGTGAATTTGAACGTTATGTAATTCGGACTTTATTTCCCTTTTAAAAAAAATCCTCCAAAGCCTCAGGTTAGAAAAGGAAAAAAATTCGAGTGCAAAACTGAGATACGAACCCGCAACCTCGCGGTGCAAAATCCTACCCTCTATCGACTGAGCTGTCGCACTGCTCGCTAAATCACGGGGAAACAAATAATTATATACCTGCGTGCGTATCAAAAAAGTATCGTAGAGGGCGCTAAACAACGCCTGCCGTAACAATAGCCACTTTGAATGGTTATTCCAGGCAAGGTTAGTGTGTACTAACAGGGACAAAATTGCACGTTTTCGAGAAAAAAAATTGGGACCTGCCAACGCTGCTGGTTCAAGTGAAAAACTTCCTCCGGCCCTAAATTAGTCCGAGTAACTTGGACCCAACTTATCGCCTTTTTTAACATTCGGACATGGTCTGGCGATAGTAAGGTCCAAGCTAATAGTGCGAGCTGGACAACATCATCCTGTCACAGTCACTGTCCCAAAAACCAACATTTTCCAACAAAAAACATCAGATTTCACCCTCAAAACGGCCTCCAAATTACTAGATATGCCACCTGAGGTACAAGCAGACATCGACTCGAGGATTAAGATGGTTGTACTGAAGTTTACTTACGATCCGGAAGAAAAGTGAAATTTCCCGTTCAATTCTGAGAGCTCCCCTCGCGATCTTGAACACGTTAAATTTCCGACTCGTGTTAATGTTTGAACGACGCGACTTCTTCTTCATGCCCAGCGTACATTCGATGGTCCCCGTATCCCGAGTGCGATTCCATTACCGAGCGCGCGCGATGCATCGATTATGATAACGAGTCACGTTTGTAAACACAAGTGCATTTCGAACTGTAAAAGGGAATCGGGGACCAGCTTGAACTGGTATCCGCCATAAAAGCTGCGCTAGTTCCCGACTCCCTATTATCGTTCGAAATGCACATGTGTTTACAGACGTGATCCAGTCTACTCATTATCATAATCGATGCATCGCGCGCGCTCGGTAACGGAATCGCACTTGGGATACGGGGACCATAGAATGTACGCTGGGCATGAAGAAGAAATCGCGTCGATCAAACATTAACACGAGTCGGAAATTTAACGTGTTCAAGATCGCGAGGGGAGCTCTCAGAAATGAACGGGAAATTTCACTTTTCTTCCGGATCGTAAGTAAACTTCAGTACAACCATCTTAATCCTTGATGTCTACTATACTTGTACCTCAGGTGGCATATCTAGTAATTTGGAGGCCGTTTTGAGGGTGAAATCTGATGTTTTTTGTTGGAAAATGGTGGTTTTTGGGACAGTGACAGGATGATGTTTCCAGCTCGCACTAGTATTAGCTTGGACCTTACTATCGCCAGACCACGTCCGAATGTTAAAAAAGGCGATAAGATGGGTCCAAGTTACTCGGACTAGCCCTAAATGACAACCCAGTGATAAAATTTAGGGCTGGCATATGGCTAGCCCCATAAATGTGGCCTATTTACTAGACTGCCTCCGTAAACATAGGCCACACATCCATGACATCCACATGTACAAAAACGTGTCGCACTTTGCCAAATTTTGATTTTCACATTTAGGCTTACTTTGTAGGTTTTTATAGGCTATTCAGAAAGTGCTGCCTTTTTCAGATGTCTAATTTTTGTGAAATTTCATGTTGAAATTTTGATACGCAAAGGTGTGCAAATGTATCTGGAAATTTCACGAAAAATGGACATCTGAAAAAGGCAGCACTTTCTGATTAGCCTATACTATAATTTAATAAAGAGGCTGAGTATGCTTCTAAAGCAAAAAAAACCTACAAGCCTAAATGTGAAAATCAAAATTTGGCAAAGTGCGACACGTTTTTGTACATGTGGATGTGTGGCCTATGTTTACGGAGGCAGTCCAGTATTGGCCACATTTATGGGGCTAGCAAAAAGTAGCATATGGACTTTTATCATTTATGATCATGTAGACCCGTGAACGTGGCGTTGTAAAGTTCAAGTTGTATATGTTGTGCCCATTCTTGAAAATCACGCATTCTCGAGAATGGGCATGCACATTCTCGAGAATGGGCGCGCATTCTTAAGAATGAGCGCCCATTCTTAAGAACGAGCACGCGTTCTTAAGAATGAGCGCTCATTCTTAAGATTGGGTGGGAATATCATGTGCACAATTTATGAATTTTGCCCAATCTTAACAAACATTGCACGACATAATTATGTTAAATGAATTGTATAGCGGTTAAAAGGGAAACAATTCACATAAAGAGGAAAGAAAATGTGCTATGCTTCTGTACTCGTATAACTACGATAATTTGAATCAAATTAAACCTGTTATTATTGCTTTTTTTCTGCCCACTATGGGAAGTTTTGTAATAACGGAGGACTGGGAACTAGTCTGGGAAGTGCTTTGTTTAGGCTAGACAAGTTACAAGTCCCTGCATGTATCATATGCGTGCCACGAAAAAAAACGATGTCCAGAAGCTGCCAAAATTGCTCTTTTGACTAGAATCCTGCTCTGCGACGTTATGGTGGGATGTGAACAATAAATTGGTGGCAATTTAAATGGGAAATAGCATTAGCACTATGGGATGTCGCAGTATTCATTCTCATTCTTCACATTCTTCATTCTTACGTCCCCCCCCCCCCCCCCCCCCCGCTTTTATTATCCCAAAAATCAGAATTCTTTGCACTAGTATTATTATGTCTCTTATATTTTCCCGGTCCCCCCCCCCCCCCCCATATTAATACGCCTTTACTTATCATATCCACTCTACTTTTCAGCCTCTTGCGTTGCAACAGTATAATTATTGAGAATCAGTGAACGAGGATTCAGCTAGACTTGCCAAGCGCAGCCGGTGCTCGGCATCGACAAGACCGTTATCTTGTCGCGCATTCTCGAGAATGTGCGCTCAATCTGGAAGAGTTATTTTTTGCCAAGATTGAGCAAGGATCCAGTTGCACATTCTCAAGAATGTGCATGCCCATTCTCGAGAATGCGTGATTTTCAAGAATGGGCACAACATATACAACAAGCCACGTTCACGGGTCTAATAATGATCATGATGTTCACGTTCACCTTTCTCATCATTCATCAATCCCCATCATAATCATGACCATATCCATGTCGACGGCTGTTTTGTAATTTACCAAAATGAGTTCACTGTGCACTTCAAAATCATGATCAGATGATGTCACGTCTGATAATAAATTATGATGTGAGTGGTGAATGCACGACGACTCCATTCAGCTTCCAACTTCCACCGCCATGCTTCCGGATACGACAGCGCCCCCAATGATAATTCTTTTCCAAGTACGGCCGCGCGCTCTCTAGGGTGACCGTTTTAGCCGATTTTCGGCTAACTTTGACAGAATTTTTGTTTAAAAATGAGTTAGACAGGAAATTTGACAGAATGGATTTTTTTTGGCAAATTTCTGGCAGAATTCTGCAAAAATGGTTATTTGACAGAAAAACAGCAAATTTGAACAAAAGTGTGTACATTTGTTTGAAAAAAACTTCAATCCTTTCAAACAAACCCTTGCATAATGGGACAGGTTGGCTGGTCTAGAGGTTCACTGGGAAACGGACATGGCCGGATCCGCGTTTTGCCCGAAATTTTTACCAATAATTTCACAACATCTTTACGTGACTAGATTGTTTATTATGTCATTTGAATCTTAACTAAGGCAATACTACCAATCTGCATGTGATTTTCAGTGTTAATAGTGTATTTCGAGTTATTCTGGGAAATTTGGCAGATTTTTGATAAATCTGACAGATTTTTGATGTGCATTTGGCAGAATTTGGCTGCGACCTTATGGTCTCCCTGCTCACGCTCTGCTGCTCGAGCTCTGCATCTGTTTTGTGGCTGGCGGTCGAAGATCGAGGAGACTCGAGGATTTTTAGACCTCTAAAATAAGGTAACCCTGTGAAATTTCTTACATTATTTATCAGGTGATTTTTTTTGCTAAACGATTCTTCCAGACTTTATAAACTATTTACAAATCGGTGAGAACACATGACATCAGTCATCATCGAATTTCCGTCATCATCCTACTTCTCTACACGATCGCCCATCCATCCATTTTGTATGTTTTACTTTTAGACAGGTAGACCGTAAGGTCATGGCCAAATTCTGCTAAAAGCACTTCAAAAATCTGTCAGATTCATAAAAAATCTGCCAAATTCCCCCAAATCACTCGAAATCCACTATAATCAGTTAAAATCACATGCAGATGTTGCAGTTTTCCTTTAATTAAGGTTCAAATTACATTATAGTCGTGTTCCCTAACGTGGCGCACTTCGAAGCTTACCCAACTTTCCTCGTGTAGTGTTGCCAAACCTCTTTGTTGACAAACCTCAAATTCATGCAGTGAAATACTGGTACTTTTACCTTTTTAATGCTTGCTATTTAACCTCTGTGAACAATTTCGGTTTCATAAAATTTAATCCGAAATGCAAAAACGGTCGCGTCCGGAAATTGGGCACAAATTGGCGGAGTGTTCCCTAACGTGGCGCACTTGAATAAATCTCAGAAAATTCCAAAATTAACATTTAAGAATTTCTGTAAACTTGATAAATTCTGATAAATAATTTTTATCTTTACTTACAAACCCAGCAAGATGTTTGTCAGAAAATTATTTTTTTATTTTTCGGGGCATTTTCAAAGGGTTCACTTTGCACTTGAAAATAAAATCGGAAAATCACGCCAAAATAATTTTTTCTTTTAACTTTGTAACGGGTAAATAAACTCGCTATTTATGAACGGGAGTGTTTAGAACTTGATGAAATTTCACTTTCTGTGAAATTTCAGTTAAAACTTTTGCTCTAGGTAGGCGCTACAGGCGAAAAATAAAAGTGCGCCACGTTAGGGGCCGCGCCACGTTAGGCGAAGTAAAAAAAAAACATGTTTAGCGTCCCCGCCTGCTTCCTTTTTAGAGGCCGCCTCCTTTTTTTTTTTTTTTTTTTTTTTTTTAAAGACAAAAATTGATAAATTTTAACGATCTCTGACGAAAGAAATCATATTTTTAGACTTTTATACCGTGTTTAAAGCTGTGGAAATAGTCAATGAGTCCAAGTGGCGGCCATTTTGAAAAAAGCTGGTAACCATCTTGAAAAATAGCCCGGCCGCGTTGTCTTGAAAAATGTGTCGGGCGGCCATTTTGAAAAGAAAAAGAGGCAGGACGCTAAACATGTTTTTTTTTTTATTTTGCCTTAGGGTACATCAACAATATAAACAATCTATTATTCTATAGGCCTACGTTAAACATGTAATGAAATTGCATAAATTCCAGGCAAAAACGCGGTTGCATCACAACGAAGTCTGGTTTCCAGTGAACCTCGGGGAAAGATTTCCATATACGAAGTTCACTAATTTTCCTCTGTCATGTCTGTATTGACTAACAGATAGCAATTTCCCATTTCATGTCATCAAGGTCAATTTGAGCAGTGAGAAAATACAAGCATTTTCTTAAAAAACACTTTCAGTCCAATCTCATAGGGTTTGTACACAGGGTGTTGAGTGAACTTTGTGTATGGAAATCTTTCCCTTTTTCACACAAATATAAACCAATTTTGCATACATAATTCTGCCAGAAATCTGCCAAAAAATCCATTCTGTCAAAATTTCTGTCAAACTCGTTTTCAACCAAAAATCTGTCAAAGTTAGCTGAAAAACGGCGAAAATGGTCACCCTGATCGTAATTGTGATACCACTTACCAGCCATAATGGCATAAAGTGTTCTTCTTTTGCGGACGTTTAAGAAACCACATTTAAGCAGTAAGGTGCAGTGCTGTACACGTGTATAAATTTATGCGACACAACCATGACAACGCGGAATAAAAGGTTGCAACCTGACGCCACTTCTGCGATTGTGTACAAAATCTATGGAGGGTCACGAAAAAATGTTTCTCATTCCCAGATTCATGTCTTATATCATCGTTTTTGCAGTGAATGCCCTTCGTTGAGATGATATACAGGTAGGCCTATACTGTAATACACGAGTATGAAGAAAAAAGTGACATTGGGCCAAAAAAAAAAAGTCTCCGGTTTCTGGTATGGAGCTTGTCCAAAAAGTGGTGCGGCGACGCGGCTTTTTTTTTTTTTTACCCGACTTTTTTGCTTCAAATGTCGGCTGATGACTGCAAATGGTGCCCGACTAAACTTATATGGAATATATGGGAGTCCAGAGAGGCCACATAAACATGATAAAGCTTATTCTCGATCATAACCCCATCTAAAAACACGTTGAAATTGCGCAGCAGCAGAATTCCAGTCAAACCAGTGAGTTTGGCGGTTTTGAGACATCATCTTTCATTGAAAAAAAAACTTTTTCATTTTGCCAACGCGCATGGCTATGGCGACGCGCGCGCATACCAGAAACCGGAGACTTTTTTTTTGGCCTTAGGTTCAGGTTGCAACGTTTTTAATGTACATGAAGGGCCTATACTACCCACTGTGACTATCATTGCGACTTTCAATTGCTATCGTTACGGAACTGTCTGGTTCCCTGACGTGCTGTGGGAACAGTATTCAACGACACAATCTTTGGTTGTTTTAACCAGACTATCATCCAAATGGTTCTCGGACTTTCTTTCCCCTTCTAAAATAATTGTCCAAAACCACTGATTTCAAATAAGAAAATGAGGCCCACTTGCATCAAAAAAAAAATTGGTAATCCTTACCTTAAAGACCCCGTTCCTATATAAGGTTAAAAGACTCACATAAACAGCTGACTAAATGACACTCAAAAGTGACATTCTGATATTTCTTGACACATCTGAACAGTTGGCAATATTGACGCTTTCAAAATTCCAACTAACATGAGTTTATCTGAAGAAAGAAGACTGCTTTAGTCTGCAAAAGTCGATTTGGAGATGGACAGTCGTCTGCAAAAGTCAGTTTTGAACAGAGACTTGTAAAAAAAAATAGAGGTGACCTAAAGATAAGGATTACCAAAAATTTGATTAAAAACCTACAACTTGAGAAATCTAATTGCAAAAAAATATTAAGAAAAACAACAACTAGAAATGTTTCGACCGTTTTAGCAACAACTGCCGTGAAGAGTTTCATCCAAGTCGCATGTACATGTGATATGTATTCTTCTAAAAGATATTGGATTGTGTAGAAGTGAATTTGGTGTTATTAGCAAAATGTAGATTCATGACGTGAGTAACATTGATGACGTCATCACAACATAACTTAGCTGATGGTGTTGGTCTGTGCCTATCTTGAAGTCAGTCTGATGTATTTTATGCAAGTTTTTGTAATTGAGAGAAAAAATTAAAATTTTCTAAATTAATTAACAAATCAGATGATTACGTCACGATGACGTCACTTCAGATATTGAATACTATTATCAATACCTACCTACCCGTAGGGCCTACCCACTCAGTTTCACAATGAACGGACATACCATGTTTTTCAGAAATTAACGTTTTTGATGACGTCATGATGATGTCACAGATTTTTCGAAATTTTCTGTATAGATCTATCTATGACAAAACAGACCTCATACATGTCATACAAAAAGAATTTTGAATTTACAACCATCCGTTGATGAGATATGACTAAAAGTCCAAAAATTGAAGAAAAAAAATCATATAAAGTCACATGATGACGTCATTGTGACGTCACTGCAATTTTTGTCTATAACACGTCCCGGAATATATGCATTCCGAGATAGAACCCTATCGGACTTCCGGTTGTGTAGATATAGGGCCTTAAAATATGCACATTTATAATGACGTCACGTGCCACTTGATGACGTCATGCTGACGTTATGATTCGGCATACATCTTTAGGTGTTGTTCTAAGTGTGTGCCAGGTTGGAAGTCGATCGGATCATATTTTATGTAATTGTTAGTAATTAGAAGAAAATATTAAAATTTTAAAAATTAATTAGAAATCAGATGATGGCGTCACTTCAGATTTTGAATGCTTTTATCAATACTACCCACCAAGTTTCATAATGACCGGACTTAGGGGTCATTCAAAATTTTCAATGTTTTTAAATTTCGACTTTTTTCCAAATTGTGGGTGGGTGGGTCCCGCTAAATAATTGAAAATTGAAATTCACTTGTCATTAAAAAAAGGGCAAAATAAAAAAGCTAGATCTTTTGACTTGCCTGAACTACGTGCAAGTGTTCCGATATCGCGATATGCATGTTTCTTTTCCAACTCCCCCTGTATGTACTGTACATGTACGTGTGTATAGACCCACTGTGTGAAACACTGTGACAAAGGAAGGAGGTAGTTTTTCAGTAGACTTTGTCGCCAGGCGTTTGTAGCGGTTAGGCCGTGCAGAGGCAGCTACATGTATATAACACACCGCGATTGCCAACCACTATAAAAACTGGACTGTTTAACCACTGGACTCCAAGACTACGCAGACCGCAGCCTGCGCTCGCTAGAGCAGTCGTTTTCCTAGTTCCGACAGTTTTGACAGAGGGCTGTATACTGTACGTGTACAGTTCATTGACTAGCCCAGGTTGGACTTCATAATGCAATGAAGACATCGTCCAATGGGCTATTCATTGACTGTGTTCACAAATTTGCTACATGGATAGTGCACGTACATGTACATTGCTAGATTAAGATTTTGGACAATGTTGGAACTTTTTCTAGCGAAAACGCCCAGGCTCAGTGCAGTTGGTGGAATACTGTCCAGCCAGTGTCATGCAAAGGCTATCAACCTGCCATGCACGAATGAATACACCTGTTTCTTAGAATGGATAATAAATATACCCTTTTTATTTTCAAATCTGTCAGTTGTCATACAGTGCCTTTCAACAATTCAATATTCCTGTTTATTTATAGACGGCTTGCACGGTGTTTCAAGCCGTGCACAAACTGGCTTGCAACATCCTGTCTGTTCCTTTTCCTCCATCAATATCAGATTACTTGCCCACGCTCCGCACTCTGTGAGTCATCACTGCCCTGGGTGATGAAGACATTTAAAATGTGCATATTGTAAGAAAAATTAAATGAAATCCGCATTTTAAGATTGCAGCCAAAGAAAGCCAAAAGGGTGGACGTGGAGATTAAAGGGGCACTAGGTCCTGAAATCTCCGAATATTTCATGTTTTGGATTGTTTACTTCTGAAGCCTATATCAAATATCTGGTTGAAAGGAAACCATCCTAATGTCTTGTAAGGCCGTTCCTGAGAAAAGATGAACAAAAAAACCTGCTTGTTTACATCGGACACGACGGAGTACGAATACGTTTTTTCGTGTCGTTCTCAGTGTACGATATACACGTTGCGTGTCTCGGGAACAGCGGTGACCAATCACCAGTGCAGAAAAAAAAAAGGTTTCTTCAACGTCCGCAAAATGCGAACACTTTACGAATGAAATCACAACTGGCATCCAAACAGCTCGAATTTATGGGGTCGCAAAAGTGGAGCCCGAAATTCGTTCTCGCACGCATAATACAGGAAAAACACAAAACGCCCAGTTTTGAAAGCATACCGGTAGTTGTGTGGATATTTATATCCTACTTTTATTTCCGATTAACATCATCTCGTTCAAAGCGATTTTTGTAGCCCAATTGAGCTGTTCCAGGACCTAGTGTCCCTTCAAACTAGATTTGGTGTTCCATGTCGGATACATTTGTACAGTGTACAATGGTGTACACCTGTACACTGTTGGAATTACATGTAGTCATGGTAGTAGAGGGATGTTCAGAATTTACAATTTAAAATATAATTTACATTGTACCGGTAGCTGTATGGTGTTCTGATATTTCTTGTGGGACATCTCAATCAAAAGCTGATCACTTATTTAGTGCTGAAAAACAGCAATTCATTTTGAGGACTTTCAAACATAATTATGATATGATATCAATGTTTTTCAATTAAATAATTGTAGGGCCCTAATGTTTTATTTTTTTATTTAAAAATTTAAGGTATAACATTCGCTTTTCTGTAATTGTCAGAAATGGATGGATTTTGGGGTTAGTGTTTATAGCAAATATTGTACACTGACCTGTTTATAGTTTTGTGTTCATGAATAGATGTAGATGCTGTACTATGGGGGGGGGGGGGACCAGAAGAAATGCAGTTCTTGTAGTCTGGTTTCGTGACCAAGGCAAAATAGGGCAATGTACAGACGTCCTGGAATTGTCAGGTCAAGAGACCAGACGAGCTGGCTTGCACCTGTTCACGGATGTGTAACTGATTGCAAAAAAAAATGTGAACTAACTAAATTTGGTAAACTGCAGGGAGGGGGGGGGGGCAGTATTTGAAAAAAAGGTCATTTTTTTCCAATGACGGTTGGCCGACCATTGTTGGATATCAATACAAAAATTCCGCTTTACTTGTTCTTGGAAATGACAGTACACTAGGTGCCGTGATTTCACAAGATGGTTGAGACTATATTAATACAGTCAAGTAAGGTATTTCATAATAATTTTTTTTTATATATTTTTTTTAATGTTTGCAAATGTTGTACATTGTACATGTACAATGTATGCAAGCGCTAATGTGATGCGAACAATACAGCCCAAGTTAAAGAATTACCGAAAAACCCTTGAATTCTTCAGTTGCGTGGATGACACGAGTGCGGTAGTTTGCGTGCTGAGTCACCCCATGCCCAGGGGGTTTCAAGTCTTGAAATGACCCTCATGGATGTGACAAGAGGCGCGACCGTACCACGCTCATCTTGATTGAATATTATCATACGCTGGCCCAAATGTCCCCATGAATGAATCAATTTGCTTGCATGTCCCCATGCAGGATGTATCAAATTGTGCTGCCTCCTGCCGTGAAGGACTGAAAGTTGTTCACAGTTCAAGGCAATTTTCATCCTTTTTGATTTCCACCGTGAAATCAAACTTATAAAATTTTGCTTGCTCTGCGGATGAAACATTGTAGGAAGGAGTATTCAGTATTAAAGAATCGCTCACAGTATTACTTCAAATCTGTTCCAAGTTCCGTAGTGCTGCACATACATGACATATGACATTTTAAAATTAATTTTGTGTTCGATTATTGGATTCAAATGAATATTGAATACTCCAAAAATGTGCTGATCAAGTTCTGCACGCGCCAGCCTAAATTGCATGCCCCAGTTGGCAATTTTGCATGTGTCGGTCACGAAACTTCACGCGCTGGTTCCAGTACAGTATGCGTGCACAGTGAACCAGTTCGCGCTGGATGACATAATACCAGTGAAGGTTTTGCAGTATTCGGAACGGATGACAGATAAACAGGCGGGGAGCGAGGCCGGAAAATATGTCAGCCACCCGTTCGCAGCGAGTGAGGCCGGAAATTTGAGTGTGCTGCCCGAGGGTGATGGCTTCAACCCGCCTGGCTTGAGGTCGAGTGAAAAGTAATTCCGCGCCTCGTTTCATTTTGGGGAAAATGTTCCAGGTGTGAACTGGTTAAACAGCATTGATTTGGATCTGCGTATGGCTGTCTAAACAGCCATACATGGTACGTGATGGATGATTGACTGAGAGGGGCATACATGTATGTGGTGGATGGGGTACATGCATGTACATGCACGTACGGTATGGAACCTGTAGCAGTGACAGTTGTTTATTTTTGGCATCAGAAGACTGCTCCTCTAAGCCAAATTCTGTCCTTTGTTGCTCGGCCATTTTCCAGGATGTCACGTGCAGTACAAATTTACTTTACTATCCACCCTACCCTTGAAAGAATGTATAGGAAAGGAATGGCGAAAAGATGAATGAACCTTTAAAGCATTGTTCTGTGTTATGTAACGCAAGGTATTCGAGATCAGGATCATTTGGGATAAGGACTGTCTGGCTAATCCGTGCTGAAAGGGGGAGAACAACTGGGAAGAAGGCCAGTTTGAGTTGCTCGCAAAGAAAGTGTCATGTAAATTGACACCTCAAGGATTGTTTTGTATGTGTGTACATCATCAGTGGCCCTCACAAGGATCACACCTGTATGCATATATTGTCTTCAGTGAGGACAAATTGTAAGTTTAGGGCTACACATAGCTATGTATTTTGTGCTTTCTATCCCCAAATTAGGAGTTTTACATGTACAGTGCATTGGGTAGGCAAGGCATCTGTTCACAGTATGTACAGCTGTAGATTTAGAATTTTCTACAGCCTGTCAACAAGCCATTCTTGCTACATGTGGTGTTGACTGAGGCCCAGTATGGCAATTGAGGATCTATAGTGTACAAGGCCCAGAATTTAAAGACACTATACAATGTATCATCCTTCCACTTCCTCCAACTTCTGCCTCCCAAACAATCCTCAGCAGCCCTTATAGTTATCCTTGACCAATCCTTATTGTTGTCCACATTTCAAGAGTTCATTTAAATTGGCCCCTGAATCATGAATGGCTCTCTCATCAGAATGACTCTCTCGTACTACAGTGAATGCTTTTGCCATCAGCCCACTTCACTGTTCCAAAATTGGTCTCCCACTGAGCTGCCATTCAGGCTAGTTTGTTAATGGAATGCGCGTGGATGAAAAGGATGCACATTGTGTGTGCCAAATGATATGTTTCACACTGTGTAGAAAATCAATTGTGAAGCTTCATTTAACTTGAAGATCTAACTACCGTATAGTGCTGTAGCTGCTTAGCAGAAAATATTGTCAGTTTATTTTACAACCTTGTCCTAAGGATTTACAACATTATCCTAAGGATTTACAACATTGTCCTTCGGATAATTTACAACATTGTCCTAAGGATTTACAACATTGTCCTAAGGATTTACAACATTGTCCTAAGGATTTACAACATTGTCCTATGGATTTACAACATTGTCCTAAGGATTTACAACATTGTCCTATGGATTTACAACATTGTCCTAAGGATTTACAACATTGTCCTTCGGATAATTTACAACATTGTCCTAAGGATTTACAACATTGTCCTATGGATTTACAACATTGTCCTAAGGATTTACAACATTGTCCTATGGATTTACAACATTGTCCTAAGGATTTACAACATTGTCCTTCGGATAATTTACAACATTGTCCTAAGGATTTACAACATTGTCCTAAGGATTTACAACATTGTCCTAAGGATTTACAACATTGTCCTATGGATTTACAACATTGTCCTAAGGATTTACAACATTGTCCTATGGATTTACAACATTGTCCTAAGGATTTACAACATTGTCCTTCGGATAATTTACAACATTGTCCTAAGGATTTACAACATTGTCCTATGGATTTACAACATTGTCCTAAGGATTTACAACATTGTCCTATGGATTTACAACATTGTCCTAAGGATTTACAACATTGTCCTTCGGATAATTTACAACATTGTCCTAAGGATTTACAACATTGTCCTATGGATTTACAACATTGTCCTAAGGATTTACAACATTGTCCTATGGATTTACAACATTGTCCTATGGATTTACAACATTGTCTTTACGATTTAAACGGATGTAGACAGTGGTCCAAAATCAGAGGCAGATTTCTCAAAATTGTGAAGACATGTTAAAATGCGTCTACAGCCAGGTACACATAGAACCTTTCTACCTGGGTTTTACTGCAGCATGAGTCATGGAGAAACAAAATCCATCACCCATGCGTAGCCTTTAGGCCAACTGTGAACTACCCCGCATTTGCCAAAAGCCAATTTCTGATCATGGTTTCAGTTAATAAATTCAAAGGCCACACGAACCCTGTAACATACATGTATGCAATGTACCGTATACCATGTATACATACATGTACATGTGTTTGCTGGTACGTGCATACGCAGTGAATGTTATGTTGCAAGATCTGAATAGTGAATGTGATACTGCCTATGCAAACAAGTAATGGCTTTTTTCAGCAATTTTGTACTGAATCATTATGTTTGTAACAAATACTTCCACCAAACGTACATTATATGTGGATTACAGATTAAGAAAATTCTAGGCCAACTTGCCTAGGGCTTTTAATAGGGAGTTAAAAAAACATGAACAGTATGAATGAACACGATGAATGGGTTGAATACAGTACGGTAGTACAATGCAGTGCACCAGAATAGTCAATTGAAACTTGGGTTTTACTCCGCTGTTCCTGTGCTATGGTAGCTGTCTGTAAAGACAGAAAAGGTCAATTTCAGTCTCCTTTTTATTAAAAAAAAAGGACAGGGGAGAAAGCATTTAGGCTAGTTCACATGTAAACCAATTTGACATGTAAAAACGCATCTACCTAGCAAAAAAAAATACTTGCTGACATCACATACTTTTATATGACTTTTCATCACAAAATGAGCTTAAAGTAAGAGTTTGTCAAGATTAAAATGTGTATTCGTATGATTCTGTAGAACAAGAGCTTTCTAATAGTATACACAATATATTGTTTAGGGGTACTGAGTTCAGTAACGGAAATATAGACTAACAACTTACCGGTACTTGAAGCTGCAAAACTAATTCTTGAAAAAAAAATGTGAAAATCCTGAAGTCATGTTAAAGTGAATGAACAGTCAACTGTTAGGGAAGAAACAGGATTTAAAGGTGTTTGCCAAAACAACTAAATTGGAGAAAGGTAAAACAGGATTTGGGCAATTTCACCGTCACTCACGTCACATTTATATGCCATGAGGCTACTTTGACCTCCCAGTGCTTCAAAAGTATTTGATCAAGCTGAATCAAACCAGGCATACAACAACCTTGGGGTCAGGGGTACTCAAACATGGACAGAAAAATTCAATCCACTCATTCACTTTTTGAAACATGTGTTTTGTTAGTCGTCACTCACGTTACAAAAAAAAAGGACATGGAAAATTGTCCTGCAATTTTGTTGTTACAGTCTCCTAAAACTGTAGTCTGCAACACAGTAACATTGTTTTACCTTTCATTCAACCAATAGTTGAAGATATAAAAACCCATTATGAATCAAATAGGCCTAAGTGTGTATTTTAGATGCAAGACGCATGAAATTACAGGGAGGTACCGTCACTCACATTACGTCACTCACGTTACTTCCTCTTCATGGTTTCTAACACGGCATAAAATCTGAGTTTGATGAACTGCAGCATTATAATGAAACTCTTTTCTTATTTTACATGTATATGAACCTTTCTCTTTGCCTTTAAAAGCACAACAACTCTCAATACCAGTCTCATTTTGCATGTTAAAACAAAGTGTTAAAATGACTACCCAAATTTTTTTACCCAAACTCACACTTAACCATGTTAACTACATGTACATTCCATATCATCGGCACACCACTCAAATGAAAGATCTTGTTGTCCCTTTTAATTTGACACCACATTTGATGTTGTGATGCTTGTAGTTTGGAAGATTTCATACAGTTTCCACTCTTCAGCCTTGTCCAGTTTATCGAGGAATTGCCCATTTACAGATTTACATACATGTAGGCTCACCTGAAAACCAAAAATCAATCTCCCCTCAAACCGTTGGCTTCGTCCCATTGTAATGTAAAATTGTAGTTTCCAACTGTAAGCTCATTTTGTGGTGACTGGTGACAGGTTACGTAGTGCTGATCCATGTTTATTCTCTTTTGCGCCAAAATGAAACTTTATTTGTAGCCATGAAGTTGCTCTTACTGAGTTAATTTCACGTTTCACCCTGAGAAAAACATTATTTTAAAAACAAATTGTTATTTTTCTAGCAGGGGAGTCAGTTTTGCGTAGCGGTACTTCCCTTTGCCTCAACCGCTGAGACCGGGGTTCGATGCCTGTCTCGGCCAATATTGGGTTTGGTTTTCAGTCCCTATAGATTCCCAAGGGTACATGCGTTCTTCTAAAAGTGTAATTGCTTCACATTGTCTAATCTTTTGGCCCCATGGGAGACCAGTGGATTCTACAGAATGGGCTTAGCAGTTAAAATACGAATTAATTAATTAGCAATACGAAAGCTTTTTACTTTTGAATGAGACATCAATCCAAAAACATCAGCCAACGTTTAGTTATGGAATATTTACTTTCAAACAAATTTTGATACAAAACAACCCAATGTTGTGTATTTTCAGAGGGGTAAAAATGTACCCAAAAAAAATTTAAAAAAAATTATAAATAAATTATTGAAGGAAAAAAATTGAAAAAGTTCAAAACAACTGAAAAACAATGTTGAGCAAACTGTATTCTACTGTTTAGCACGACATTTGCAGGTGTTTCTAAATGAAACACATTCCTGTTTTTTCAACAGTACGTTCATGACATTCCGTAAATATTGGAGTGTTTGCATTTCTATAGATATGTCTGTGCAGAGATTTATAGGATTCCACACTTGGCCTCTTGACCTGGAAGCGGAGTGGCATTTTGTAAACATTGACAGTGATAAACCTGTCTACTAAAGAAATGATTGATGATCTTGTATGTTACATTTAAGCTAGTTTAGGTGGAAATATAGACGAATTCAGGCAAGTTACGTGTACAATGTATCACTGGATCCTTATAAGGCCAAAGCATTGTGCTAGTGTTCAGGTAGCACTGTGCACAATGCTTTCGCCATAATCCAGTTGCTTTGTGTCAAAACATACACAGTTGTTTTTCCATGGAAGGGGCCTCAAGTGTATGAACTTATGTACAGTAATTGCGTGCCTGGATTCACGCAGCAGAATCACCGTTGTACAATTATTTGTGTATAATCTTTGTATCTCCAGCACCCGATTTCACGAAGCGCTGCGACGCGTCGCAACTCAAGTTACGACGTATCTTCCATTTCACTAAAGTTGCGATGTGTTGAACGCGTCGTAAGTTCCTTGACAACGGCTTAAAACACGTCGCAAGTTACGACGTGTCTACTGGTCATCGCAAAATAAGAAGAGTCATTTCTAAGCCAGTTTTATGCCACAAACATTACATTAACGAAATTATAATACCAAGGCAATGTGTGTAAAGTTGTAAATTCATTGAATAATTATGAATTAGACCGGAATATTGCAGTTGAAATTTCAAAGTAACTATACAGTCCACTGAGAGCTCGTTTTCCTTTAAAATTGTATCGCACGGCCGCCATTTTGTCCTACATTTTAACAAATTTCGAGCGGAGATCCGACGACTCTTTGTTGAATACCAGACGACTATTTACTGTATGCTGACTTAATACATAAAACAGTCACCGAATTGTGCTATAAATACACCCACGACGCGTCGCACTTACGACGCGTTTTGTGAAATGGATCGCAGGACGCGTCGTAGCTGCGACGCATCGTAGGGATACGATGCGTCGCAGCGCTGCAATGCATCGTAAGTTGCGATGAAATCGGGTGCTGGATTCATGCAGCAGAATCACCGTTGTATATTTGTATTTTTTATATCTTTGTATCTCCTGCTCTGCCCCAAAAAGTTGGAACTTAAAACTCATAGAGACCTTATGTTTATGTGTAATGGCAGAGCAAAATGGCAATTCGGGCGATTCACAGTGCAGTGCGCCACCAAGAGTTGGCCATGGAGAGTCAACTTTTCAAAATAACGGTCGACAAAATATGGCCCAAAAAAAGGCATTTGAATGAGTGTCAGTAGATACTTGCGGTAATTTGTTATACACTGGGGCATAGCGTTCTTCCGCCTTACCAAAAATCACCATAGTGATACAAAGAAAAGAAAAGGGCAAACGTGTACAAATCAAACGCTTACGAAACTACTGACTGGAAAAAAAACGAACAATTTCAAATGTCCCGCTTTGCAAATTTGTCGACCATCTCCCACAATGCACTGGGAAAAATGAACTCTCCGTGGCAAACTATTGGTGGCGCTCTGCATTGTGAATCACCCGAATTGATGGTTTTGTATCGTTGGGGTAGGCATGAGTAAATCTTTTGTGCATGCATAGATTAAAACAACACCCTAATATGTTAGAGACACGTACCGGGGTACACATTGTTGCAGAGGGCTGCACTATTAACAGAGCTACATGTACATGTGTATTGTATGGATGTAGAGACATTATTTTCAGCGCACAGGTATGACTTTTGGCTGAACAAAATTTACTGTGTGGCTATGCGGGTGTATTATCTTTCAATAATCAACCATTTCATTATCCTTTATTAATGAAAACTGCCTTGCCCAGCGTGCATATTGTACACACATACATACGTACGTGTACATATATGTACGTACGTTTTACACTGTACATGTACATGTACATGTACAATGTACATGTATGCATGACTTGGCAGGAACATGTATTCAGGGAGTCGATGCATAGTGTTTATAGATATCTTCAAGCAAACTTAAATCGTCGATGCTGAAATTATTCAATCCATGGTAACAAACCTTGCTACATTATCCCATGTTGCGCAGTCCATATACCGCACTCCGTGCATATTACTGCATGCATACATGTATGTACTACATGTACGTATAACAGCTGACAAGTTCATGTACATGTACACTGTACAGTGTGCAGCTTTTATCTATAATACACCTCGTGTGCTTGACGATGAATTCTTTATCCCACTTGCGCTCGTGGAACAAGGAAAATGTAGTGCATCTGCATCCCACATACACGTACCACAAGGCGGAACAGAAAACAGACACACTTCATCAGAACGAAGTCTTGTTAAGACCAGAAAATCAGGCCTACTTACTTTTATAATATATATAAGATAATTATTATATATATATAATTTTTGTCGGTAACCAAGATCAAAGCAAACATTCCTGGGTTAACATTTAAGATGTTTACCTTTTCTTTTTACCCATTTACTGCTTTGCGAGTAAAATCCATAATGTTTGCCTTGACATATTTCACCTTTGCCCTACAACTACACGAAACTGTTGGCCAGCAAGCTAGGACACACCCACATGATATATGAAACTACATAATCTCCATGTGTAAACATGGTAAATGATAAATTATATACACGTTCATGTACATGTACATGTATGGTACATGTACATTAATACAAATTCATCATGCATATGCATGGAGTAAATGATTCACCATAGTGCAGTCAGTCATTTGATGTCGCCATAAAACTGTATTGATTTCCTATTCTGGCAGATTGAAATGGACACGTACGTTTCCAGCTCGTGTTGTTTGTTTATGAGAGTATTATTTACCGGTTTACAGTTCCCATTCTGAAGCTTGATTTTACAATTTTAAAGGTTAGTGCAGCCTTCATACCGGTACATGTATGATGTAGGCGTACAATTTACCGGTACTACATGTACATGTACTGACCAACTTTTTATTTTGTGTGTACATGGCATGTACATTTCATGGCATGTATTTCAAAAACATGCATGTCATGCATGTTTTTAAAATAAAACATTTAACTTTTGCAAGGGTGTGCACATGAATTTGTACATATTTACAATATTTGTGTACTGATTGGCACGAGCTTGTGACAGAATTTTGTTAACAACTTGCACATACAGATGTACTGTATGTAAGTTAGTGCAAGCTAATTTCGGCCCTTAAAGGGAATGTACAACATTGCTTTTGCTGCAATTTTCAGTAGAAGGTGGATTTGGGGGATTAGAGTGTTATACAATGTAGCAAATATTGTTCAACTGACTTGTTTCACATTTTGGGCTTGAGGATGCTGGAAAAACCAAGAAAAACAATGTTTTTGTAGTCTGGTTCCCTGACCCCACTTAAGATGAAACAGAGCAGTTTTTAAACTGTGGGGAATTGTAAGGTCAGAGAATCAGTCTAGCAGGCTAAGTACCGTTCACAGGTGTGTACCTCAATTGCAAAGAAAATGATGTAAAACTAATTATGAAAAAACAGCTTTTGAAAAAAAACCCAGTTTTCTCCAACGCTGGTCGGCCGACCAATGTTGGAAAAATACCAGTTCTCTTGAAAATGTCAGCACACCAGGAGCCACGATTTTACAGGGTGCTTTTAGAATGTCATTCCTTAAACATTCAGTAAGATATTTCGTGATAATTTGATCATTTCATTTTTTGATGTTTGCAAATGTTGTGTCCGTATTCCCTCTAATCAAGACAGTATGCCTACATGTTCTTTCAGTGTTGGTTTATTTACATTGTACATTCATGGATGTGTCCGTGCATTTTTTCAGTGGGTGTGGCAGTGGCTGTGTTAATTTTTCAGATAATTGTAATAGACATGCTCAGTCATGTCAGTACTTGTGCAAACTTAAGTTGCGCACACCTAAATTTAATTGGGCTCTGTAGAAATTGTTCTTGAAGTTAAGCACAAGTACCAAACAGGAAATTCAGTTTGGGCAGGTGGACGTGGAAAAGTCCATTTGTATTCAAACTGGCTTACGCTTACATGCATTGCCGGCATACATGTACGGTACATCAGCCATTTTGTGGCTTTTATTGAACAGTGTTCTACAACATTCTTGCAATAAGAGTTATGACATTGTATGGTAATTCTCTCATCATTTACACAGGGTCGTTTTCATCTTAATCTGCAGGGACATTAACCTGGTCCAATGAGGCTCTCCTCTCCACCATCATGAGCCAGACAGCTGGCAAGTCGGACTCTGCGGCCGGCTGGTCAGAGATCCAGGACCTCCTGCAGCAGACCCAGCAGGAGAATACCTCCATGAGGCAGCAGCTGGACACGCTGCGCCAGGAGAACCGCATCCTCAAGGACCGCATCAAGACCCACGAGCTGGAGACGCTGGATTCCAAGACCGACAATGAGAAGGCCATGCTACTCAGGCTGGAAGGCTCCGCCAGCGGCGATGACCGCTCCCATCACACTGACGAAGACCTGGACGATACCACCAACTCCTTCGTCATCGCTGATTCTAATGGAGACCAGATACTTCCCGGGTTTCCCTCCTCATCTTCAGAGGGATCCATGGTACCAGAGGAGCCCCCTAATATCTCTGAGAGCAACTGGGAGATCCTGAGTAGCGAGGGCGAGGGCTCGGTGGCCTGTTTGCAAGACCGCATCCACCAGATGGAAGAAAACCACTATACGGTGAATGAAGAGCTCCAGGCCACCCTCCAGGAACTCACAGACCTCCAAGATAATGTGAACGAGCTAAATTATGAGAACGAAAAACTCACTGAAGAAAAGAGTGTCATTATTGAAGCATTGTACAGACAACTAGAGAAGGTGGAGCATCTCAAGAGCTACTTGGAGTCTTTGAAGGGTCGTCTAGAAGAAAGCAGAGTCGATATTGAACTGGATGACCTCGATGACACTTTCAATACAGCTTTCACAGATATCTCTTTACAAAGTTTGGACCTGACGGAAGCTTGCACAAGCATGGCCCCAAGCTTAGGGGACAGAAAAAGGCTGTCAGAGATTCTAAGCGAACATCGGAAGGAGAGCCAGTCAGAGATAGCAAAGCTGAAGGAGAAGATACGTGAGATGGAACAGTCCTTGGACAACGCCCTAGTAGAAATGGAACAGCAGTCTCAGGAACTAACCGTGGCCAAGGGGAAGCTGTCAAGCACAGAGGTGGAACTGGAGAGGACCCAGGTCATGATGGAGGAGGAACGATCCCGCCTGACGGACATGCTGCAAAATCAGGATCCTGAAGGTAAGCTTAATCTGGTCAACCTGATGGACCAAGCAAAGCAGGAGAAGGAAGCCCTGGAGCAGCGCGGCGCCATCCTCCAGCGGGCCTTGCAGGAGAGTCAGCAGCACGCTGCCAAGCAGCAACTGGAGATAGAGGAGTCAGATCAGGACTTTGAAGCAGCCAGAGAGCACATTGAGAGAGAGGTCAAACAGATTCATGAACGCATCCAGGAGATAGAGGGCGAGAAGCACGAGCTGGAGACAGAAGTCATCAATCTGAAGGAGACTGTCCTGGAGCTGGAAGAAGCTCGAGAGCGGCATGAGGCTGACAAAGTCAAACACCTCACCACCATTGCTGATCTCAACCAAGCTGTGCAGACCCTCCGGAAAGAAAAACATGACCATCATAAGGAGCTGACCGACCTAAAACGGGTCAGCGCGCGGGATGCCGAAGAGTGGATCCAGTTTCAGAAAGACTTGCAGTATGCCGTAGTCATTGCCAATGACTACCGAAGTGAGGCTTTGACTGAGGTCGAGCAGCTGCAGAAGGACAAAGAGGAACTCATGGGGAAGATTAAAAGTCTGAATGCTGAAGTGGAGCGGCTGCGGAAACTTGAGAGGAAGAACACAGCTCCCAATCTGAGTCCTATTCACTTGAAGCCCACCTCAACCGAAACCGAAATCCGACAACGGATGCATGCGTATATGAAGTCGGACTCCGATATCGTTGGAAGCCGGGCAACAAGAAAGGCCAACTCCACTAACACCCAGCTGTCCGTGAAGAGCCTCATCAAATCGATTGAGACAGCAGCAGCAGAAGACACACCAAAGGTCCCCCAGAGTCCTACATTAGTGTCTCCTGTGAACACCTCCTTCTCCCAACCGCTCCTATGCAGACGGAACACCACCACTGCCTCGACGAAACCCTTTGACTCCAAACCGGCATTCACACGTCGCAACACCACCACGTCCATGATTTCCACCGACACCAAGAGCTCTATCACATATCCTGTCCGTGCTGCCGATGACTTGAAGCTGCCCAAGGAGCCTCTGCGTCCACTGTTTGGCCAGGACACGCCCGTCCGGTCACCGACCAGCAGGTCACCTGGGGCCACTCGCACTGACGCCAGGCAAACTATCGGAGATGCTCTCTTCAGGACTGCCGACTTCCGTCCCCGTAAAAGTGGCAGTCCGACAACTCCTGCGGCACGGGACTCACCGGATAGTAAGACATCAGGAAGTCAAAGCAATCCAAGGAGAACAAGGTAGGCTGCAGTAAGGTGATATTTGATCAAATTATAGGTTTTGCCCTTCACCGACGTTTAAACACTGTATACTCAGTGTGTTACCTCCCGAGTGAAAGTTGGAAAAAAATCACTCGGGTGATATTTGATATTGGGATTTAATTGTTTTGTCCACTTTCTCCATAGCTTACAATATCTGGTGCTGCGACTAATGAAAAGGACTTTTTATTGCAAAATGACGGCGTGTGCTCATCGATTCACATGCTTCAGTCAAGTCCCGTGCAGTATTGGCACAATGTGTGCCAGTGTTGAATTGAATGTGCTCAATCCTGTAATATTTTTAATTTGAGTTAGTGTAGCTGAGTTGGTGTTGAAGTGCCCTCAGCAAACAGAAGTTTTTAGCACCTTTTTCTCTACTAAATAGGCACATTTTATTTTAAATGTTATTTTTAAATTAATTTGTTAAAACCAAAAAAAAAAATATCAAATTGTCCAAAAGGTTGGATAACCTTCATAAAACTCACCAGGCTTCAGTAAAACCCTTTTAAAATCATTTTTCTCCTTCGCTGTTGATTTTGTGGACAGTGATTCTGAGAAGAAAGACCCCCTGTCTGCTCTGGTCAAGTCCGGAGGTGGAGGATCCAAGAGGAACGCACTGCTGAAATGGTGCCAGGCCAAGACGGCAGGATTCAAGGTAGTGTCCAGGCATTTTTGCTAGGTTGCAACCTCAATCCTGCAAAATCCTCCGACTGCCTTCATGTAAAAATTGCATACAGCCTCAATCCTCCAAAATCATCTATTAATTGTGGTCCTTGGAGGGGTGACCACTGCCTCAATCTTGCAAAATCCTCCAGCAGTTACTGTCAATGTGTTGAGGCAGAGCCAATGACATCCTGGAGCAGTGTGGAGGATTTCAAGTATAGTCTAGGCCTAAATTTATGCACGGCTGCATGTTCCAATAGTGTGCCTCAAAGTGTGAATGCATGCATGTCAGACTTTTGTTTGATATTTGGTTTTGCAAAAACTGTGATAGGTCAAAATGTCATGGGGAGGGGGCTAATTGGTCAGTATGTTTTGATTGCAAACACGCAGTTGACGCACTTCAGGTAGCTTTGCAAAATTCGAAAGGGTCACTTGTGGATATTTTGAACAGTTCAGCAAGAATGGTGTTGAACTTTGGGCTTGAGTCTTTCATACCCTGCTGAGGTGGTGCTCAGTCAATGCAGCATTCAGCAATGTAGAATAGGTCTCTCTCAAATGACGTCACTTCCTACAGATTGTCACGTGCATCGGCAATTTGGTCGTCAAATTTTTGTAACGCACATCGGCTGCGCCGTTTTTCGAAGGAAGTTCAAGCAACATGCACGCGTGTTTAGAACATTTTGCACACCGCATGCACACGCATCTGATGGCGTTGAACACGCAGTTGTAATTTTCCTATGACAATGGCTGTCTATGAGAGGGGTCTATAAACGATAGAATCAAAGTTGGAACAATGTTCATGATAGTGTTAATTATGGTACAGTTTGTGCTACAATACTTTGGAAAATATGGTTGCGAATAGTTAATTTGGTTATCAAGAGAATATTTGTCATGTCTATTATTTGTTGACAGTACATGTATGTCACAAATTGAATATTGCTTATTGTGGTTAAAAAGATCCTAAAATACATCTATTATTTTTCTGTTTCTTCTTTTGCCCTCACTAGAATATCGACATCACCAACTTCAGTAGCAGCTGGAATGATGGCCTGGGATTCTGTGCCATCATACACAGCTACATGCCCAGCAAGATCCCGATGCATGAACTGAACAGCCAAGACAAGGTGAGTAAAGTCTGTCACGAGCCAACATGGCCCATCGGGCCGGCGTTATCTCCCGTTTCCTTGGCATGAAATAACTGGGAATATTTCTATCCCCCCTGGATGGGATGCTGGTCCATCGCAGGTTACTCCCTAGCTAATGCCGGTACCAATACTCCTGGGTGGAGAGAGGCGAGTGGGGGTTAAGTGGCTTGCCCAAGGACACAACATATAGCCGGCAGCTGGATTCGAACCCCTAACATTCTGATCATGAGTCATGAACCCTGACCACTTGGCCCAAGACAAGATAGTGTAGAGAAAATAGTGTAGGAGTGAGCATATGTATAAACAGGCACACGTCACATTTGGTAAAAATGTGAAAGCTCGTCAGTCAGGGGTAATAATACATTATGGGTTTTTGATCCTCTGGTAAAAGTGCTATAGATCCTATTATGCCTCTTTTCCTCATATCTCGTTTGTCGTTTCCCCAATTCGATGTAAGGCCAATAAAAAAGTTTCTGGTGTGCGCGCGCGTCGCCGTAGCCATGCGCGTCGGCAAAATGAAAAAGTCTTTTTTTTCAGTGAAAGATGATGTCTCAAAACCGCCAAACTCACTGGTTTGACTGGAATCCTGCTGCTGCACAATTAAACGTGTTTTAAGATGGGGTTACAATCGAGTATAAGTTTTATGTGGCCTCTCTGGACTCCCATATATTTGCACTAAGTTTAGTCGGGCACCATTTGCAGTCATCAGTCGACATTTGAAGAAGAAAAAACGTAGGGAAAAAAAAAAAAAAGCCGCGTCGCCGCACCACTTTTGGGGCAAGCTCCATACCAGAAACCAGAGACTTTTTTTTGGCCTAAGCTGCGAAACCATTTAATGTTATTGACAATTTAGTATTTAAAGTAGTGTGATATGGTAAATTCCATTTTCTCTTGTTTACAGAGGCGTAACTTCACACTGGCATTCCAAGCTGCCGAGAGGTTGGGTATATCGTCCATTCTGGTAAGTTCTTCCTTGGAGTGATTTCTTTTCAGTTGGTTGGCTTTGTGTTTTGGTAATCTCTTTTCACACCACAGGATTGTCATCTGTAATGTCAGGTTAAATTGAAAATGACTTTTTGGTTTTTTTTGTGAGAAATGCTTCCAAAGGACCTATTCACACTGGGCATGGATTCAGTTGCGCTCCCAGGTTTGGTTTTTCTTGGGGGGGGGGCTCACAAATGTTTTTTTAATTTGTTTTTAGAAGTTTGAATTTTGTCAAAAAATGTTGCCAAAAAATTTTGGCCGCAAAAAATATTTTTACCTTTTGGGGGGGGGGGGGGGGGGGGGAATGGACTATTTTGATGTTGGTGGCGCCATTTACACCCCAATTATTCTACTCAAAAATAGACCACATACATATCACCATGGTCAAATCGTGGGACTAAAAAAATATTTTGAACCCCCCCCCCCCCAAAAAAATTGACAACCTCTTTGGGGGTCAAAACCCCCCCCAGCTCTGTCCAAAATTTTTTTCTTCCATACAAATTCCAAAAAAAGTTTACGGAGGCCAAGTGTCCAGAGAAAAAAACCTGTGTACATTTTCAGAATTTTTTGCTGATGAAAACCCCCCCCCCCTGTGAACATTTCTGGATCCGTCCCTTGGGGGGTTCTAGAGCCCCCCCCCCCCCCCCCCGGGTGCTCAACTGCATGGATTCAGCCTTGATGCCCACATGAGATGATCCCATAAAGGTTTTTGCTTTCAGCTCTCCTTCCCCCCCCCCCCCAAAAAAAAATTCAAAACCTTTTGAAACCTCCATAGATGCATAAATGTATACAGGAATAGATACATACAAGGCTGCTGTACACACTGCTCACTAAACCGGGATTACCTGTGGCCGATATAAGTTTACGACAAACCACCATCCTGAATTTGATTATTTATTTATAGGCGGTGCATCGGAATCGGGTACCTGATTACCAGACAGCTGATGTCAGGAATCGGGTACCCGTAAACAACTATACAGGGTGTTTCAATAAAAAGGAATCCCAACTTTGAAGAACCAGTATGGACAGACTAAATGTTTACTGACTATAAAACTGGTATCATCTGAAAGCGTAATCTCTATGCTTTTCAATGATACCTTGTTTACATTTCCAGGGTCATGCATCACTGAGCGCCATTGTCATTTTGATGCAAAATTGCAGTTCGTTCACTTTCATATCAAACACAATAGGCATGGTGTGCATGAGAGTAAGTATTCAAGAAGAAGACACGAGTGCATAAAAAGAACCAAAAGACCAAGTCAAGTTGGTTTCAAAACTGGATTTTATTGTTTGTCATGAATTTTCTCGTTTTGACCAAGCCACGTTCAAAACAATGTGCCATTTTCCCGAGGATTAACATTCAAGCCATTTCACAGACATTTCCGTAGCAATAGGCACACAATGCCCAGTGGTTTTTTTTATGAAAGTGAACCAACTGCATTTTTACATCTAATTTTCAAGACAACGATACTCAGTGATGCATGACTCAGAAAACCTAAAGACGGTATCATTGAAAAGCATAGAGATTACACTTTCAGATGATACCAGTTTTATAGCCAGTAAACATATCGTCTGTCCATACTCATTCTTTGTAGTTCGGTTTCCTTTTTTTTTGAAACACCCTGTACAGGTAACTTCTCAGACAATGAAAAAGAAAGGTTTTGAATGTCATTTGTGGGGAATTTTCAAGATGAAAACCAGGCTACATGGAGAAACGATACAGATGGTCACGTTTATGACGCCCGTGAAAGTTGCAGTTTTCACCAAAACGCTACAAAGTTCACTGTACAACACATGAATTGCTGCACTGGCACACCGATGTGGTAGTATTATCGCACAGACCTTTATGAACAATCTGAACAGTAACTTCCAAGATTTGAACTTTGAGGTTGGGTTTCTTTAATGGATACTACCTGTATTTTTTTTCAATCGGTTTCCCGGTTCCCGTAAATGCACCGGTTCCCTAAATTCACACACCTAATCATTTAGCCTTCTCAAAAGACACTGCAAGGACCACATTGTTAACATCTTTTTGTAAAAAAAAGAAGAAAAAAAAGTAAAGGGGGGTTGAACCTGTGTTCACAGGAATGGAGTGCCTATCTCTCTTTCGAAGCAATTGGACCAGACTCGAGTCTATGAAATGCTGCTGTGGGGGGATTGCCACACCTCCTCCACAGCGAGTCTGTTACCTTCCCAGCATTGAATAATGCCGGTACCCAATAAAACACCTAGGTTGAGAGGAGTTATTGAGGTAAAGCGCCTTACTCAAGAGCACAACAGGAATGGCCACGGCTGGGCTCGAACCCACAATCTAACGATCATGAATCCTGTGCCCTGCTGCTAGACAACACGCGACCACATTGTTAACCTCTTTTTGTTAAAATTTGTAAAACCTTTTTTTTTTTGCCCCCCTGATCGAATCACAGGATATTGATGACATGGTGAAGATGGAACGACCGGACTGGCAGTCCGTCATGACCTACGTCACCTCACTCTACAAGCATTTTGAGACGTAGTAAACATTCCCTCCAAGTTACTATGTCACGTTATATATGACTTGAAGCTTGGCATGGCGGATGAGATAAATTATAAAGTTTGTGGGTAACACCATGTGGAAAGATATCTCTTCTTGAAAGAAGAAGAAGAGATATCTTTCCTCCTGAGGACGGACAGAGCACACCGTCCGAAACGTCGAGTTCTACACTCAACCAACCGGTTCTTTTCAGAACCACACTTCTTCCAAGAAGAGATATCTTTCCACATGGTGTTACCCGTAAACTTTATAGCTTACTATTTCACGTAATCTTTAAAACAGGGTTGAAAGGTATCGGCTTTTAAAGCAGCACATTCTAATGGCAATGCATGCAAGTTGCAACATTCCAAGTCAATATGTATTCAAGCATATATGCTAAAAGGTATTCCCTTATAATGCATGTGTAACCATCACATTAACATAATATCTGCATTATTGTCACATCATTTGTTCTTGTTTGGCATAGCCTGTTTGGTAAACATACATGTATTACTGATTATTTTTTATATCAGGCTTTCCCAGTGGTAAAGAAAAGATATCAGCGTATTGTATGCTTTCGTAAAATGTACCCAGATGACTGCAATATTATGTCAGTAAAAGAACCCAGATGGGGACATATTATGCCTCATCCGGGCATTTTAGTAAATTTCGCAGGTTCCCGCACAATCAAGAGTGAAGAAACTCACAGTTGCCAACCAGTCAACAGAGCGCCGCGCACGTTACCGTCGCAAGCAGACGCAGCACGCTGCAGGGTATATGCGCACTGTTGTCAACAACCACAATGGCAGCTTAGAGCAGCGCAAAGTATTTTCGGTAAGCGAAGAATATTTAACAAAATTTGAGAAATAAGGAAATTTGAGAAATAAAGACATTTATTCATTTGCGGATCAAGTCAGCCTGATATAAATAATAATAATAATATTGGATGGCTGATACAAGAATATATTACACTCACTATAACAATATTGCACTCGTCTTTGACTCGTGCAATACTGTTATTGTTAAAGCTCATGCAATATGATCTTGTATCCCCTCGAAAGCCTTCCAATATTATATAACTATGTGTAGCTGTTAAAGACCATTTATGCCAAAGGCATTTTCTATGTGTATAATTACAGTTAGACTGGCATCCTGTCGTCAGGCGTATGGCTTGAGTAAGATGGCTGATGTGGTTTTTGTTGTATCCTAACACTATGGTAGACTTGTCCAAGTCTCATGCAAGTTCAAAGACTGGCATGCAGTATGTTACGCACTATTGAAATTGATTTGAACCAATACGGTCGTTACAGCCAACCAGCTGCATTGATGCAAGGCTGGGCTTTAACTCTCGTATGAAAGTGTTGGGACAAGTTCACAATACACATTACAGCTGAGATGTGAATGCTGGTTCGCTTAAAGGGAATGTACAACATTTGCTTTTGCTGGAATTTTCAGAAAGAAATGGATTTGGAGGATTAGTATGTTAGAGAAAATATTGTTTAACTGACTTGTTTCACGTTTTGGGCTTGTAGATGCTGGAAAAACAAAGAAACCCTATCATGTTCTTGTAGTCTGGTTCCCTGACCCCACTTAAGATGAAATGGAGCAATTAATTCACTTTGGGGAATTGTAAGGTCAGAGAATCACTCTAGCAGGCTTGTACCTCTTCATAGGTGTGTAATCAATTGCAAAGAAAAGTCAGAATAACTAAATATGAAAAATTAGGAACAGTTGTTGGAAAAAAGTCAGTTTTTCTCCAGCGCTGGTCGGCCGACCAGCGTTGGAAAAATGCAGCTTTTCTTCAAAATGTCAGCACACCAGGAGCCACAATTTTAAAGGATGCTTTAGACTGTCATTCCCTAACAATTCACTAAGGTATTTCGTGATAATTTGATCATTTCGTTTTTTGATGTTTGCAAATGTTGTATCTTCCCTTTAAGCTGTGTTTCATTGTATTTTAGAATATATAGAAATAGAAAAGTTGGTGTATGTAGAAATTTATTTTCAAGAAAGTACATATCATTAAAAAAAAATATTGATTTGAGATTATAAAGGCTGAAAATTTGAGGCTATGTGACAGTAAATGTGGAGCTTTTCTTCAGCTAGAAAAAGAAATGTGATTGTAATTTGGACTTGCGGGCACCAAGTAGTGTTTGAAGAAGAAAAAATGTTCATAATTGTTTGCAGGGAAGAAAATAATAAAGGGTTTCCATGTTTAGAAGAGTCGGCTTTGCTGGAAATTCCACTTGCCTCGTGGCTCTTGGATTGAAGAAGACTTTTCAAACTTCCAGATTTTCGAGCCATTTACATGTATCATTGCAGTATGCATGTACATGTACATGGTGAAATTTGGGAAAAGTTGGAAGTTCTCTTGTCTGAGCCTCAAAGTAAAAATATTGATTATTCTATAGTTGAAATGGGATTAAGTGTGGCCTGTCATCACATAATGAGCTTAAAGTCAAAGTTTTTAAGAATTTAGATATTATCTGGATTCTGTAGATCAAGAGCTTTCAAAAGGTATACAACATTATAATAATAATAATAATTTGGGAGGCTAATCATCCTTACTCGCAGCTGGTATGCTGAATTGTGAAGGATGCGGCTACAACGTGGTCGGGCCGCTGGCACGTAAAGGCGCCTATGGCTGCCGGCCACATCGACCCATATATGACCACAGAGCACAGCCTGAGATCGAAAGTGTTTGATTTTTGATTAAGGGGCACTGAGTTCAATAAATATAGACCACCAAGTTATTTGAAGTTGTAAAACTGATTCTTGAGAACATGACATTTAAAAATCCTGCAGTTGTGTTAAAGTAAGTGAACAGTCAACAAAAAGGGAAGAAAATAGGCATACAAATATTTGACAAACAAAAAAATGTGAGCAAAGTAAAAAAAGGACTTACAGATTGAGGTTCACATGCAAACAAAATCCATCTCCGCTTCAACTTTTGGTTTTATCCCACTGTACTGCAAAATGGCAGTTTCCAACTTTAAGCTCATTTCGTAGGGACAGGCCACAAATGACTGGCAACATTTCTATGAATGACATATGGTCATGACCAGCATCTACAACAGAGCCATACTCTCTGGCGAGTCACCGTTTCTAACCAAAAAAACCACCATTGTGAACATTTTTCTTTCTATGAGAATAAGCTCTAGAAAGACCGTTTGGTGTATATAATTTATAATAGGTATATGTCTGAATGAATTCCTGTATTCAGAGACTGCCATTCTGTAAATTAATCAAACTTTATGTGGATCATGGAAGAGTCAAGAAATATCTGGATAAGATGATTGTTTTTTTTTTTTTTTTTTTTTTATTTGCTGCAGTGGTGCTTAAAGTTACTGTAATAAAAACTGTCCATACATTTTGTATCAAAATTTATTTGCATGTGAATTAACCAAGAAATAATCCATTCCTTCTAGAATTAGATTAGTTAACACGGTGTTAAACATTAACCCTTTTAAAAGAAACACTTGCATTCCATTTTCCCATTAATATTGTAGAACTTGTGAAGGCAATAACAGATTTTTTTTTTTCATATAGCCGAAAAGCAACTCTACAACTTGTGCTTGCTTTTTGAATTTGATATTACTGTTTATTGTTCGGATGATTAACAATTTTTTCCTGGATTTGTGTACCCTCATGTGAAGAATATTAAAATATTTGTATTTTCAGAATTATGTAAAATAATGTAAAAGACTGAATCAAAAGTTCCAACATCAAAGAGCAGTACATATATGTAGGCAGGAAAAAACGAAAGTCAAAGTAAGCGCAAGTTTATTTTAAAATCAGTATTATTCATATTTAGATGAAACAGAAATTGTGATCTTGTCCATATAACTGCACTTCTCATTGGCTGTATGATTCCTGTGGCTTATATGCTTAAAAAGTCCACCAATCAGTGGCATTGTACTAAATATGATAAAACTTAACATGTATTCATGTATATAGATGCGTTTACTTTGCCAGTATCTGGCGGTTGCACGTTCAACAACTTCAGTTCCTTCAATTTTTCCCTTTAAAAAGTGACAAATTCTTTTACATCTTGACTACTTCCATTTGAAATGCATATCTCTGTCCAATTAGTGCAGCAAGTGGTATTTGCTAGTCATGTGATCTATAACAGGCTTTTGATTGGATGGTAATCTGGTCGACTAGTTGTAATTGTATTATGCAAACCTTCCTAATATTTGTGTGGTTTTTTTTTCAATTTGTCTTTCAAAAGTTTTATTGTAACTATATTTAGTAAACATTAAACCATTTTTGCGTCTGTTTTGAGAAAAACAGTAGGGCCTAAACAAAAGAAACTGTGTTTAAATGCAAGCCATGATCTTAAATGCAAAATAGCAGAAAGTAACACGTCGGTCCATCTTAAAGGGGTTGACATAATTTTCTTAGGGTACTTACAATGCTTACTATTTGAGCTTTCTTGATAGATGTTTATAGGTTTTGTGGGCGGTTTGTTTTAACCAGATACTTACAGAAGTGTTTTATTTTATTAATTTGCCTGTGAGAGAAACATAGTTGTGAATATTTCGAGTGTATTTGTGGATATATTTTGTTCATATAAGAGGTTTCATTATTGCGGTGTGTTGTTTTTCGTTTCAAGTTGTATTATTTTTTATACTCGTATACCTATAGCGTTGTCACTGAAGTAGATATATTAAGAAATGCTGTATTTCCAAAATATATGAGTAGAACTTCAAAGTTTTTTGAACGTCAATACCATAATTTGGTCTTCAGATTTTACATTGGCTATACAAACATACTTAAATGGAAGTTTATTTATGCAGACATTTTATTTAATTATCCGGAAACAGTTTTTGTATTCACGTATGCAAGTCTTTCCCATTCCTGAGTATATCTTTAAGCAAACCTGAATTGATAAGTCGGAATATATTACTTTGGGCCAAAATTTGAAAAGAAAATCACATTCCAAAAAAAAAAAAAACCACGGTCATTTTACAAGTATCCATCTATGTGTAAAGAACGTGATTTAAATTTAGCAAATTTCCTGTTTACTTAAACTTGTATTCCTTATTTATTTAAACTTCGGCACATTCAGTGTTATTTAAGCGAGTTCACTGGACCATATTTTTATCATTTCTTTTCAGTCCATTACAAAGCATGATGCAACCAGTTTCTGATTATCGTATTTATTGGCTGCAAATATACAAAAACAAATCGGTGTAAAACAATTACTGGCCTTTGAAATGAACATTAAATAAAAGCTATTGTTGAAGAGAAAAAAAAGTACCGCATTGTTATTTCCAGTGTGAGACTGGCGCAAACTTTACAGTTGGCTAGTCTGGTCGCCAGAAGTGGGTTGTTTTGTTTCTTTTATTGACCTCTATTTCTAAGCAATTGATTTTTTTAAGGGGCGCGGGTGTCCTTAATGCTTGCACTGTTAAATCCGCAATTCGCAAGTGTAGATTAGAAGCATTGATCTCCATATATACACAGACTGGATAGGACATCGCGTACGAACGTGCGTCCGCGCGCGCGTATTTTGAAAAGGGTAAAGAACACAATTTCGCATTCGAGTTGTGTACACTTTCGAACGGAGGATTAAAAATGAAGTTGGGTTTTCTTCGGTTTCGTTGTCATTTTTGAAAGAATAAAAGAAACAGAGATCTAAATTGATCAAAATCGACGAGGAGTATAATCAAGGTGTGCGCAGCATTGGATTGCTGGAGTCGGCAAGTAAGGAGCGTTGAAGAATAGGACAATTATTCGCAAGTAAGTTGTTTTTTAACGAGGCCTATACAACATGGCATGGAGGAATATGAACATGGGAATGACAAAGCGAATTATGTCGCTCTGAGTTTGAGGGGACGGGCCTGTGTGGTAGCTAGCGAGATATTCTGTTCAAATTCCATGCGATCTAGGCCTGTCATGCTCAACGGTCGGCATCATTTTTCTTTAAAAGACATAGGCATAAACGTGCATGATTGACCCGGCAATGGCAATGAACAAAAGTTGACTTGTTTAAGATAGTTTATTCGAATAACTTTTATATGCAAAATCTGATTGAATTATGTCTGCCTTGGCTTAACGCCTACCGAAATGTTTCTATTCTTTTCTTTATAAAGAGAAACCGAGGAGATGGTTTATGCTAACTTACTGCACAACTGGCCGATTGACCTTCATATCAAACAAAGAACTTCAGCAAAGCCATATAGCAAAAACCACCAGCTGCAGGACCGAGCCGGACGAAAATGGAGAACTTCACGGAGGGATGGAATCGACTGTATTATCCACTGAATGGAACATGCGATGTGATAAGCATCTGAGCGTTTGACTTAATCAATTTTTACGATGTGGAACTGTTAACATTGATTGATTTTTGGTTTTGGAAAGAAGCTGTGGAGTTCAACGCAAGTATTTTTATAAGCTCCCAAGATGACTGTCACATTATTGACAATTTGTATGGTGAAGAAAGCAATGAGTACTTTTACGGTTTGAAATTATGTTGTGTACGCTGTTATATAAGATTACTAGCTATAGCCATAAACACCGTCATATTCGCTCACAAAAACGATTCCCATTACACTTACAAGTAATTATATTTATTTTCAGAAGTATAGCTAAACATTTAATTGCAAGACCGTGCGTAGCTTGAATTTTTCTTTGACAAAATTAGTATAGTACTATTTTGGTTTGTGATTCATCTCCTTTCACACAATATCACAAAGAGGTAAACGATGTCATTCCCTGATCAATCTAGGGACGGGAAGAAGTTTTTACTGATTACTTTGTAAAATTAAGGGGTTTTTTTTCCTTTTAGATTGTAACTGGTTTATGTTCAGGTTTTTTAATAAATATATCAATCATTTGAATGAATCTCCATACAATTTCTCGTGTGAGTGTTCAGTTAAAAAAATATGATGTCATTCCAGCATATTATTAATACAATTATTCATTTCGTTGATGGAGTAATTCAGTGTGCTCTAATGACCAATGTGCCAAAAATGAAATGGCAATTTACTTACAATCATTTTTGGGAGGGGAAGGGATTTTTAAAAAAAATAAGGGAAAAGGAAATGGGGGGTTCTTGAATTTCGAAAATGCATAATAAGAAAGTGTATATCAAGAAAGTGTGGAAAAGCTGTTTGGAGGGTAACTCTTCATCGTTCAGTGTTTTTTTAAGATTGTTTTGGAGGAGCGCTTGAACTCCCTCCTGTTTGAAAAATTTCACTAAACAATCCATTTTCCAAAGTAAACAAAGTGAAAGCACAATGCGCGTTTACCCGTCTGACAGTAAACGCGCCGCCATTGTTCGGCCGCGCATTCGTGCACAAACACGGCGCGATGTCCTATCCAGTCTGTGTATATGGAGATCAATGATTAGAAGCTAGTCTAGCGCCCTCTTAGGCCAGCTGTTTCCAATGCGATCAAGCTGCCGTAGTATCATTAACTTTCATCCAATCGACGACACGCTTTGAAAATTATTATCCAATCAACGAATGACCCTAGTCTGAGTGGAATGCAGCTGCCGTAAACATGCTGAGCGTTCGACCAATGATATTCAGTTCTTAAACTTTTAGCCAATCGAAATGCACGCACAACTGCAAGCGTCAAACCCAAACCACGCGCGCGCGCAGCTGGCTAGCTAGCTCGCTCAGCTGTGTTTTCATTTGACTAAATTTATATTGACGGTACGGTACGGAGACGTAGACGTGATTTATAAATCTTCGATAACTTTGGCAAGACGTCGAACGCGGGATTTAGGAATAAGACGCCTCACCTCAAATAAACTACCATATCTTAAAATTTCGCCAACAAGATTACCCTTGAACAAGAAACTGTCACCGGCGAACTGTGGACGAGAAGCTGTGGCATCGACCTTGCGAATTTTCGTGAGAGGGGAAAAAAAGCTCGAGGAAACTTGCCTGAAACTTAAAACCAGGCTCAACAACAGCAGGTAGGCTTGGCAATGCTTGGGTTGTAAAGAGGAAGAATTATTTTCTCGCTATAAACACAAATATTCCAGCTATCTAAAACAACATTAACAGGTGCTGAAGCAAGGCTAGTTTTACTACAATACTATTACTACTAGGCCTACACCACCATCTTTTTTTTACTCAAAAAAAATTGTTAAAGCGGTCAGAAATTGCCTCATATCGCACCAGTCCAGAGTCTCAGAGAGCATCTAGAATCCAATTTTTTTTCGGGGCCCTTAAATAGCGGGCCCCGAACCCCTCGCCGTATTTTTTTTGGCCCACTTTTTGGAGGACCAAAAATGTTTTTGGCCCCCCTAAAATTGTGTTCTGGATCCGTCCTTGTAGGCAGCCAAACTATAACTTGCTTAAGGCTAACGTTTACTCGAGCAAACCAGCTAGGCTCAGCTGCTGCTTAGCCCTACTCTGTGCACAGAGTCTACTCCAGCATGTCCAGTGCGAGACCATAGAAATAGGGCTAGGTAACACTTTATAGTAACAGTAACCATGGTAACATGGCTAAGCAGCTAATATAAGGTCTAATGTTGTTTTTTAGGCCTGTGGCTGGTTTCTTGGGATCCCAAAGAAGGCAGTCCTAGACCTCCGAAGTACAATTTTCCTGTTACTTTAACTACAAGTTTTACAAGTCTTATTTTTGCCTTAGCTGGAGTTACCCAGCCCTGAGTTTTATCATTGGGTTGTCTATTAGGGCTGGAGCAAATTTTTCTCAAAACTTGTAGTATTTGCAAAAAAAATTTGAAAAATGTTCAATTTTGTCCCCATTACACACTAATTGCAACTGCAACTCACCCCAAACTTGCCTGGAATAACCATTACACAGGTCCTTGAAGTAAAAAACGATCCACGATGAAGATTCAGCCTCCAATTGCAGTGAAAACAGGAGGAATAACCGCTAACTTGACAACCTTGCTGGATTGGCCAGGACCGCTATTGGTTTGTGCACAAAAAAAATTGTGTACAATGAATGGCGGTCGATTACCATGCACGTACAGCTCGCTGGTACTAGGCGTTTTTGCGGTCGGTGCATGACGTGACGCGGAAGCGTAATACCCGATGACTGTTTCATGCATTAATAAGAGGTTCACTCGCATCACAGTGCGGTACTGGAACGGCAACCGTCGAGTTGGCCGGCTATCGTGCATTCATAGTGCAGTGTTACTGCCGTTCCAGTACCGCACTGTGATGCGAGTGAACCTCTTATTAATGCATGAAACAGTCATCGGGTATTACGCTTCCGCGTCACGTCATGCACCGACCGCAAAAACGCCTAGTACCAGCGAGCTGTACGTGCATGGTAATCGACCGCCATTCATTGTACACAATTTTTTTTGTGCACAAACCAATAGCGGTCCTGGCCAATCCAGCAAGGTTGTCAAGTTAGCGGTTATTCCTCCTGTTTTCACTGCAATTGGAGGCTGAATCTTCATCGTGGATCGTTTTTTACTTCAAGGACCTGTGTAATGGTTATTCCAGGCAAGTTTGGGGTGAGTTGCAGTTGCAATTAGTGTGTAATGGGGACAAAATTGAACATTTTTCAAATTTTTTTTGCAAATACTACAAGTTTTGAGAAAAATTTGCTCCAGCCCTAATAGACAACCCAATGATAAAACTCAGGGCTGGGTAACTCCAGCTATTTTTGCCTGTGAACTTGATTTCTTTTGCCCACTTTTGCTAGGTAGGTGGTATGCCCACTTTTGCTGTGGCCTACACTCCAGCCTCACATAGCCTATTGCTGCGCTGCCCAAGGACACAGCTCAGCAATATCCGGGCCATACTTGTGGAGCTGGGTAGGCCCTAGGCCCAATTGAAAAAAAAAAATTCATAGTCCTAGGCCTAATAAGTTTGCCTCTCTTTGAGAAAGATTCTCCTACTAGGATCAAGTCAGAGGTCCTAAAATAGGCCCTAGTCCATTTGTCATTTTTACAACTTTGAAATAGTTAACAGTTAGTTTATATTGTTCAAACAGACATCATGTCCGAGAGGAAAGCCGTCATCAAGAATGCCGACATGTCCGAAGACATGCAGCAGGATGCAGTGGACTGTGCCACCCAAGCCCTGGAGAAATTCAACATTGAGAAGGACATCGCTGCCTACATCAAGAAGGAGTTCGACAAGAAGTACAACCCCACCTGGCACTGCATTGTGGGAAGGAACTTCGGCAGCTACGTCACGCACGAGACCAAGCACTTCATCTACTTCTACCTCGGCCAAGTGGCTGTGCTGCTCTACAAATCAGGATGAAACTGCATTTGATGTGTTCCTTGCGACTTGTTTTTGTTTGAATGCAAAAGCATCTTTTTGAAGGCACAAATGATTGTTCCAATTTACAAAAACCAGCAACATATCTTGATAATTGATGTACAAGATATACTCATCACTGCTCATGCTGAGAGGATGTATTTATATCATCTTTATGCCTCATCTCATCAGCTTTTGATACTTTTCTTACCCGTCACTATTGCGAGTAGACTATAACAAAAATTATCTTAATACCATTTTTACCACACATATCAGCAGTCTCACCAAGGTTTTCATTCAGGGTGGGATAATTAAAACAGTTAAGGATGGAGAAACTTTCCTGTAAAGTGTAAGACTACGGGCAGGTAAAATGATTACGATTTTCCATGCAGCACATACTGAATGATTATGTATTTACATACCAGAATGATTGGGGGGGGGGTGTATTCTAAACTTTCCCATTCAGTGTGGGAAGTGCTACTTTGAGGTATGCCTCGTGAGACCGCTGACAGGTATGCATTTGATTAATAACTATTCACAAACAGAACACACAGACACTGCATGATATGGCATTACTTTCTTTATTTCAGGTTTACTAAAAAAAAACATTCATTCCAAGATTTGGGTCTTTCGTAATTTGTTCCTCAAATTAGCCCTTTGTAAATTCCTAAGATGAGTTCATAAAATTCATGTCAGCTTATAGATCTAACCTTGCTTTGTTTTCAGAGTTCACAGGATTTAGTTTCTAAATGCGGAATGGTAATCCTTTGTTAATTCCTGACGTCTTAGATTAAAATTTAAAAAAACTTGAAAACAATGAATTTCTTTATAAATACTTTAAAAAATGTAATTGTCTCAGAAAGGTATATTTATAGTTGCCACAACTGTAGTCCAAATTAGCATTTTGAAATTCAAACTTTCAAAGCTCTTATACCAATCTAGGTGCCACTTTTCCAATAATAGCAATTTAGAATAGACACACATCACTGACTTTTTCTTTGAAAGTATTGTTCAATCATTATACATGTATTCCTAAATGAATCCTGATACTATTCCAACAAGTTCCAGCCATAATGTTATTGCAATGCAATGTGTTTCTGATGTTTGGATAATTGATGGTTTTCCATAAAAATGTGATATTTTTAGCCTGCTATTATTGTTGTGCAATAAAACTTGTTTCAATTGACTAACAAGTTGTTGACAGTTAAAAAAAAAATATTTCCAGTCTCATAATTTAAAACCAGAGTGTACGGCAGCAATCCCGACTGAAAGGTTTTCATAAGTTACCATTGAGAATCCTGCATCTCGGATCATTGCTGCAAACTCCTCCTAAATAAAACAAACAAATCCAGGATATTACACTTTAGTTTTTGAAATCAATTCTTAAAGCTATAGTCCATCATTTGCAGCCATCCGAAAAGTAACTGGCGTAGTCATTGTTGAAAAAAATACTTGGTTGAAAGATAGTAAGTGGACTAAACTTCCTGTGAAATTATTCTTTCTGGCAAGCTGTCATTTTAAAGTAATCAACGAAAGAAAGTCTTAAGACGCACCGTAGGGAATTTAAATTAGTAGTTCGTTTTGTTATTCGGCGAAGCGCGCGCAAGCATTGGCACGACGCACACGCGCGCCCGGTTGCTATAATTCGTCAGATCAGTGCGCGACATCGCGTATAGCTGCAATTCAAAACAATTCAAAACTTGATTCAGCAACTTTTGATTTGAAATTGAGATCCTAGAATGCTGTTTTTCTCGAAATATACAGCTGAAGCTGAGCTGAAACTTCATTAGTTTAGTTGTTCAGTATCCTTCATTAGATTTTGAACACTTTTGTTGCTTCAAACGAACAAAATGCACAAATTACAAATGATGGACTATATCTTTAAAAAAAAAAAAAGTTTGTTCAAACAGTATCTTTTTATCATTTCTCACACAAAGTGGATTTTGTGTTGAAACTGAGCTTTAATGTCACTAAAAGGTCTGTTTTACTATTTGGGTCAGATGTCATGTAAATTGACCTATCGCCGTTTGCGAGTTAGCCACGCCCCTTGGACAACCCTATGGATTTTTGTACACTAAGTTTTGTTTGTCCCAGATTTTGGGCGTTGCGCGTCCATTTGTATATCATGTAATTGTGCGTTGATGCAATTCTAACGCGATTCTAACGCGATAGGTCAATTGTAAATGATGAGTCTCTTTCTTGGTACTTAAAAAAAAAGTCGGGAAGTTAATTGTTCATATTTTTTTTTTTTTTTTTTAAATCAATTTTTTTTAACCTTGATAGGTAACCCAAAACAAAAGTTTTGCAACAATCTAATCAATTTTCTTTTCAAAAAATGTTGACTTCGTCAATTAGATTTTCATTAAATTGAAGTACTAGTTAAGGAGCATACCTGGTTTGGAAATTGTCTGATGCTCTCCACAAGATACTGATATGACTTCCAGTCTGATGCTATGACTTGTCCAAGAACGGGTATAACTTGGAAGGAGTAGCTGTCGTATAAACTAGGAGTATAAAAAAAGATAGAAATTTACAAGGAGTCTTGGCATTCCAACTACAATAGTAGATGTTTTATCATCAATTTGAAGACTCACCTTCTAAGCAGTGGGTTACTGACTTGGCTGAACTCCAAGCACATGAAGCGTCCTCCAGGAACAAGTACTCTGTGTGCCTCACTGAGAGCCTACAGCAAAAACAAAGTTGTGCAGCAGTCTCAGAATAAAATATCACAACCCAAGAATATTTCATGAATTCAGGCTGCAATTGTAAACAATTTTTTTTTTTAAGCTATAGTCCATCACTTGCAACTATCCAAAAAGTAACTGATGTAATTATTGTTGACAATCATACTTGGTTGAAAGATAGTAAGGGGACTAAACGCCCTGTGAAATTATTCTTTCTGGCATCTGTCATTTTGAAGAAATCAACGAAAGAAGGCCTTTCCAACAGTGCGTCTTAAGACGCACCGCTGGAAATTTCCATTAGTAATTCATTTTTTTTATTCGGCGAAGCGCGCGCAAGCGTTGGCACGATGCACACGCGCGCGCGGCTGCTATAATTCGTATGATCGGTGCACGACATCGCGTAGCTACAATCGGCTCAGTGAGAACGTGTCTCGGACGCTGAATTGAGGCCCAATTCAAAACATGATTCAGCAACTTTTGATTTGAAATCGAGATCCTAGAATGCTGTTTATCTCAAAATATACAGCTGAAGCTGAGCTGAAACTTCATCAGGTTAGTTGTTCAGCACCCTTCTTTAGATTTTTAACACGTTTGTTGCTTCAAACGAACAAAATGCACAAATTACAAATGGTGGACTATACCTTTAAAAAGTCTAAACTTGAGAAAACTTTATTATTGGAGTTTTACATGATTATGATGAATCATAGTCTTGTCGTTGAGTGGCACATAGACCTTATTGTTACAAAGTAATATTGGGTCTAGTTTGTAACATCTTACTGAACAAAAAAAAGAAAAATTCTAGAAGTCCTTCAACTAAACAAAAAGCAAAAGCCAACCAACCTCTTCAATATGTGTGACATTTCGTATGCCAAATGCTATGGTGTATGCATCCATTGACTCGCTTGCGATGGGCAGCTCCTCTGCATTGCCAACAACCCATGAAATACCTTGGAAAGGAGAAGACAAGTACTAAAGAAATACTGACCAGCAAGTTCAATCTAGTACCAAATTATAGATGTCATGAAACTGAATGCACTACTTTTCAGTATGTCAAATAATTATAAAATGTCATCATAAAATGTCTTAGTTTAATTGCACCCTGCTGTACTAGATACAAGTGGTTAAACCAACAAAGTGACTAACCTAAGTCAGGTGGTGCCAACCAGTCAAAGAATATTCTAACTACAGTGGACCAGCATGTGTTCGAGTGAAGTTAGTCAAACTATGGTTACACATATTTCACACTCAAACTTGTTGCTAAAAAAAACCCCAAACTGATTAGAACTCAACGAACCTTCTGTCAAGCCCCTTTCTTCTGCTCTCTGCTGTCCGACCTGCAGCATTGACAGGTTGATGTCACAGACAGTCACCCTCGTGTCATCCCTCCATCCAGACCTCTCCTTATCTGGAACACGGTCAGAGTCTGAGTCAGAGGATGAACTTTCAGAGTCGGACGATGAGCTGTTGTCGGCGTGCTGCACCCTGGTTTGCCTTGCAGAAGAGATGCTGTTGAGTTGGGCGTTTCTGATGAAGTCCATGAAACGGAAGGCAATGTCCCCTATAAAAAAAGCAACGGAGGAATATTATTATATTTATATTTCTTCCAAACAAATAAAATGTCTTTGAAATGATAGCGAAAGCAACTGTGAATGAACAGGGGGAAGAAAAAGTGCATTAGATCTGTAAGCCGGTGCTTTATGAATTCTGGACCATTACATTTTGTTCTTTATCATCATAAATCTTTTTTCTCTTGTCTATGAAAAACAGGGAAGCAGGCTCCGTTGAAACAATGTGGATTACATTTTCACTTTATTTTCCCCTATTTTTTAGTATTTATAGACTAGCAAAGTGGCCATTAGGGGTCTTCTTATGACAAGGGTTTACATCCCCTAGAGATACAAAAGACCAGCTCTAGAAGTTTCATCTATAAAAATATCTGTCTTTTTGGAACTGCTATTTGTTTCTAGCATAAGTTATTACTTCTGAAGCAGATGTCAAATGAAAACATCGAAACATAGTTAGTTATGAAATAATAATTTTACAAATTAATAACTTAACTGCAGCCTGACAGTAAGTAAATTTTAAAGGCCTAACATTTCATCATTTATGCACTATTGTGACCACCAAACACTGCAATCACAATTTACGGCCAGGGTCGTGTATCAAAAACATGACTCTCTCTGTATACCTGTTCCACCAGCTACATCCAGCAACCTCGTTCCCTGAGATGGTTTCAGAACCTGCATGAACCTGTCTTTCCATAACCTGTGGATACCCAGGCTCATTGCATCGTTCATAGTGTCGTAGTTCCCTGCAACATTCTTGAAGACTTCATATACTGAAAAAAAAATTAAAAAAATAACCAAGGAATCATAAAATATGTTTTAAAATTTGAAGCAACACATTTACCTTTCAGATTGAGAGTCATGAGAAATGATATATTTATATTTCAGTACAAGTAGCTGCTTACAAATTATCAAGTAAAAAGTATGTTATGAGTAGAATGCAGTATCCATATTATTTGTTCCATTTCTCACACCAATCCTAGTATCAGCATTTTTAGTCAGTTTAAAATCTTCTGTTAAACAAGCTCAATAGGTTTTTCCCTCTCCTCTTAAATAGTATACTTTACTTTTATGTTATAAATCAAATGCTACTTTGTTTTGATTTTTTTTAAGTAGACTTTTCCAGCTTCGGATGATTTTGTTAAAAGGGAAATAACGTCTGAGAACCAATCGATTGACATTCTGGTTCCGAGACCAAAAGATCCTGATACGTCGAATATTGTCCAGTCAGGGAACCAGATGGTCAACTGCCATAGCAATAGTAGCACGGATTTTTCCAACAATTTGTTTTGCAGTGAATGACCATCAAATCATTGATGTTAATTAGGGCCTACTTGTTACTCTTTTCATGCTGCGCACACTCAAGTTCGACTTGTTGTCATACAATACAATAATCTCCCAAAATATAAGAACTTTCAGTTGCATAATTTCAGACATTTGGCGCAAGTGTTCCAAGTGGCTAGATCGCGGGCTTCGGAGTAGGCCTAGGCCTAGTTGTATTCTATAATTGTTATTAATGTATTAATTACAATAAAATAGTAATGTCACGATGATTGACTTGTACTGTTGTAGTTGTATTTGTATTGTAACCAGCGTCATTATGTCAATGGCATTGATATTTACTATTTTCCTCAAATTTCGATCAGTGCGTACACAATACATATGTAAGTTAACACAGCACAAAAATACACACAAATGACACACCTTTCCTTGTTTTCTCCGATTCTGTCACAGCCTCGAATCCAAAGTGGGTTTCCCTCCCTCCCAAATAATCACCATCATCATTAGAAGTTTTACTCGAAGCACATCTACTTGTACGGAAGTATCTTACTGCAAAAGTAGGTTTAGAAAAATGCCGAAAACAAGACCGACAAAGTGCCATGGGCGCTGCCATCTTGGAAATTGATAGTCTCTCTCATTTATACTAAAATGTAATTAATATTTTATTAACACTTAATACACATTTTCTGTGAATAAAGTTCACGTAAACGTTAATTTAAACTTTCCAATTAACTGAATTGCTTTATGAACTTTATTTTAGTAGGTCTAATGGTATTTTGCAATTTTTTTTAGTTCAACTTTTAGAAATTAATGAGAGAGGCTAAACATTTTTGATAAGTTCGAGTGAAAAATGGCGTCTGCTAGCGCAGATTTCGCAATGGAGGAGCGTCAAAGATACCGTCATTGTGCCGCCAGGCTACTTGCAATGGTTTCGGAGTCGGGGGAAAAGCAAAAGAACGAACTCAACTCACTCCTGGATGAGTTGAACTCTCTGGCGTACTCTGTGCAGGGCCTCGTGGAACAAGTAAATAATCTGGCCATGCTGCAGTGCTGGTTGTCAATTAATTAGCCTAGCTTGAGTAACTCCAGCTGAGAAGTGACATGCTATATTCATTCACATGTAGCATGTGAATGAATATGAGCATGTCAGCTGGTGTTACTCAAGCTAGTTGTCAATATGTCAATTGTGTTTGTTGTTAATGCTGTGGGCGGGGTCGGATTGGGAATGGGGGGGGGGGGCTTCTGAGCCCCATAATGTGGCCAATTGACTGGACTACCTCCGTCATGTCCGTAAATTAAAGGCCACACTTGGGACATGTACCCGAAAATGTAGAACTTTGTCAAGTTTTGATTTTCATATTCAGACTTTGTTTGTAATTTGTACTATGTAGTTTATTTTTGCTTTAGAATTAGAAGCACACTCACCCTCTTCATTTATTTATCGCAGTAGAAAAAAATAATTTTTCAGATGTCTATTTTATGTGTAATTTCGTTTTGGAATTTAGATACGCAAATGTGTGCAAACGAACCTGGAAAGTACACGGAAGTACACGAAAAATAGATGTCAGGAATCTTGGGGTCATGTTTGACTCTGGGATGTTTACATGTACATGTATGTCTGCTCAGGTGTCCAGTATCATCAAAGCTGCAAATTTCCACCTAATCAACATCAGTAGGGCCCGTAAACTGCTGACTGTGGAGGCCACCAAGTTAGCAGTACACACTCTGGTGACATCACGACTGGACTACTGTAACAGCCTCTTGATTGGTATCAGTCAGAAACTGAAAAAGAGGCATGAAAATGTTCAGCGATCTGCTGCCAGAGTAATTTCAAACAAACGGAAGTTCGACTCCATCACTCCTGAACTTATCAAATTACACTGGCTTCCAATCACACAAAGAATCAACTACAAGGTCATCATTCTTATGTTAAAAGCGTACTGGAAAAAAACTCCCGCTTACCTCACGGACATGCTCCAAATTAGTTCTCAACAGAGACGACTTCGATCATCAACCGTCTGTTCACTACACTTTGTTGAGCCCAGAACCCATTGTGTCACTTTTGCTGATACATTTGTAGATCATTTTCTGTATACAACCCCAGAATCTGGAACAAACTTCCGGAATACATTAGAGATACACTCCTGAAAGCTCACCTGTTTCAGGAGGCGTACCATCAATAATTTTTCTAGCTCAGGTTTCCCAAGCTCAAAACGCTCATTGTAAATTTGACTATAAGAGCCGGGTGAAGACCCACTTCACTTCTCATGGTGGCAGTGCCCGTTTAATCAGTATTGTGAAATGACAAGTCCATGAAAGTTAAGGATTTATCATTCCCAATATACTGCTTTCTTGGCAAGAAACAAGAGAAATAATTTTGATACAGTCTGCTCATTTATTTTGCACCGTTTTTACCCAACAATTTCATCATGCAGGAACCTGGGCGGCTGCTGTGCCAGGCCTGCGTGCTGGTCCCCCTCCAAGAGGAGCTACTGGTCACCAAGGTATGCCAGCTGATTGTCATCATCACCCACCAGAAGGTGGCGCTGAGCCAGGCCACAGTGGAGACGTTACTGGAGTACATCACCTCAGCGATCAGACAGTGCCAGCCCTGGACACTGCCGGAGGCCCTGAGGGCTCTAGGGGCAGTGGTGTACGAGAACGGCCCCAAATGTTCCCAGGTATTAATTAAGCCCGGTTCGTACCTCACGCGGATTTCAGTGTGAAGCGTATTCTTTAGGATTACGACGAACGTCACAATGGAACTTCAGTTGCTGACGTCATGAAATTCACTTCGCTTCTGCTTTTACATGAAGTTTGAACCGTCCTTAATGATGATAATGTGGGGCTTAGGCCTGTCCTAGACGCTGTGCTACTGCCGCACCAAACTTAATTGAAATGAGTACGGTAGTAGCTCATCTACAGCACAGCAGTTGCTCTAAACGCTGATTAGTCGAACCTTAATGCATCAGCAGTAACTGGCCATGTTAAAGCAGTTTAAGCAGTTCCATGAACTTTTAGCGATATCAAGATATTCGGGCCAATTTTACTCCCTGTGATGTGGATGCGAGAGAGGGTATTGTGAGCATACGCATACCTGAAATGTTTGCCCCAACTTCGAATTGGATTGAGTTTGGCGCGGCAATGGTATGGCGTTTACAACAGTGCAATGCCACTGCTGTTTGATAGCACGGCAGTCCCATCACCCTAAAGGGTGTTGCTGTGCCAAACTCAATTTGCCAAACTAAATGGTTCTTAACGCCGTGCTATTGCTGTGGCGAATTTTAGAAAGTCATATTAATTGAGTTAGGCACTGCTGTAGAACGACATCTAGAACGGGCCTAATGTACATGTAGCACTTACATGTAATACCGGTGCCTCAAAGTGCTTCACAGTTAATGCATGTTATTAGACCATGAGAATAGTCATCTGCAACAGTTATCATTATTGAGGCCCCATGATGCTCTCGTTTTTAAGCAAGTTTTTTTGTAACCCCAAAAAGGTGCTCCTGCAGCGCAGTGGTAATTTCTGCAAGTCCCTGCTGCAGGCCCCGCTAACCCTGCTAAATGCAACAGAAAGAACAACAGTGGTTACACTTGTTGCATTTAGCAGTCGAGTCTCGTGCTGCGTTGCATGTTATTGCATTTAGCAGGGTATATACTCATAGTGCCAATGCTGATACAACAGAATCCAATGTTGCAGTTTGTTGCATTTCACACGGTAACTGCTTAGTGCCAACCAAGGCTGGTGTGTACTGGGTTCACTGGGCAGTGCAACAGAATCCACTGTTGCATTGTGTTGCATTTAGCGGGATTCTCATTTCAACTGAGTTGGATTTTGTTGCATTTAGCAGAGTACGTGAAGAAAACCCGATGTGGGTTAGGGATTGTAAGTTGCAGGAGTCTTTTATGGATTGATTTTTTACATGAAGTTTTCTGAAAGAAAAGTGCTCAGACAGGGAGAAGAATAATGTCCAGTGTGAAAAGGTTTAGAATAGAATTTTGTTAGGGGAATAATTCTATAGAAATTTACATTCAAACAACCATTGTCAGCGCTGTAGATTTGATTCGTAATCTTTTGACATTTTTCTCCTCAGTTTTGGAAGCACCTGTTAGGAACAAGCCCACAAGGCCTTCTGCTGAAATTGATCAGTTCCACAGAGGACGACATCAAACGAGCCGCGGTGCAGTGCATTGGCAATCTGTGCATGAGGTAAATTAGCATTTTCTAATGTCAGTAATTTCGTTTGGCTTGAACCGCATGGTGTGGTTTTTGCCAGGTTGTTCAAATTTACACTGGATGGTTGGAGAGTTTTTGTCCAAAATCTCATAAATAAAAATAATTAAACAGGGTGACTCAATTTATCCAGATTCAAAACATTGTGTCTATGAGACACCAGGCTACCGTGTAAATAGAAGTCTATTTTTTTTTAATTTGGGGGGGGGGGGGGAGGATTTGTTAGTGAAGAAGAACAAAGTAAAAATTTTAGAATATTTTTAGCAGCCCACTGGGATTGTTGACTGTGCTTTTAATGAGCAAACAGGAAGAAATAACCTTCGTGTTCATCTTCGATTTTGCATTGATATTTCAAAACCACACACCTAGAAACTTTTTACGGCTTATCCGATCAAACTGTATTTCAAATAATGTAGCACAATGTATATAATTAAGTGCTTTATTAACTTAATTTAAAGAGTAAGGTTGTACATTTTTACTGGCCAACCAGACAAGTTTAGAAGTTTTTTTTTTTTACTAGTCCACAGCCTACGTTATCTTTACTAGACAATATGTGACCTGTTCTGTCAAAAGCAGACGCTTCTGGGCAGAGGTTGAAATTGAGATAGGGCCAAACAACGCTGTGGGGGTGATTTTTTTCCATTTTCTAATTTTTGCATATTTGTAATCCTGAGCATGTCTAAAATATACTATAAAAGTTTGAAACCCTAATTTGATCTCTAATTATAGTATTTTTGATGATTTGTTAAGGTATATCAGTTAAAGAAATGTCTGTTTTGTGACGTTCGTGGCCATTTTCTCTGTTTTCTACTTTTCGACCCAATGAACTTCAAAATAGCATAACTTTGCGCAGGAATGACCGGTTTCAAAAATTAAACCACCTATTAAAATGAAACAGAACATATTTATGCAACAATCTCATTTTTGACCTTATGCCCAGAAAAGTCTGATTTTGACAGAACAGGTCACATATAGACCCAGCTGGTGCTTTTAAATAGTTGAGGTATGATGGTGTCTACTATTGTATTTATCTAACATTAATTATAATAATAATGTAATAATGTGGTACCATTATATAGCGCTTTGTACCAACGGTCTCAAAGCACTTCACAGTTGATACCCCTGTTCATCAGGCTACGACACCTTTTTCTGCAGCAGTTCGAGATCAGCGTGATCTGGTCTCTACCCTCACAGGCACCAAAACATATACACCTGGGTTGAGGGAGGCAATTGTAGTAAAATGTCTTGCCCGAGAACACAAACACCATGCCCCCCTGGCAGGGTTGGAACCCATGTACCATCGTACATGAGTCTGACACGGTAACCATCGGACCTTATATGCCAGAATAAAATTTAATGTCAAGTGGTTCTTAAATGGCAGGAAGTTGTAATTTTAAATATATTTTCACTATAATCAGATATTTTCAGAGGTAAATTTTGAAATGCTTGGTTTTTCTTTATGTAGAGATGAGTCAGGTGGGGTCATTGACACTGAGTATCTTCAGACGAGCTACAACACAATGCTGAAAGTCCTGCAGAGTCCCAAACCGCAGGGTGCTGATGACTACGGCCATTTCAGGGTAAGACCTGGTCCGTTTTCCATGGCTTTGCCCTATGTTGGGCGGTTCCCCATTTTCTGTCAAAGAAATTGACAGAAAACTACTTTTTTTCAAATTTCAAATTAAAAAAAAAAAAAAAATTAATACTTGTCCTTCTGGGTCTTCAAACAAAAATTAAATAAATCTGGAGGATTTTGAAGGATCTCGGAGGTTTACGGTTAATTAGGCAGGTAGAGCTCAGCCTCGAGTGCATGGGCTGCTTGCGCGTTCCTTCACTAACCCCTGGCCGTGTACAATACATAAACGACGATGATTAACTAATCAGAGTGTACTGCGCGCATATTTCGAAGGCTGCACTCCGTATATGCACTCGGTTATCACGTACGAACAATTTTTCAAGACTGTGTGATGCCTTTATGATATGGAGTCTGGAAGCCTTGTTTTTCGCCAAACAATACAAGTATGTTGCGTTTTAAAAGACACGAAAGAGGTACACCCATTTAATATAAATCCTTGGTCAGTACAACATGATGTTGAAATCTCATCTTTGAAAGGATTGATTCTACACAAAAAAACTTTCAACATTGAAAGCACTGCGTCGCGCGTTAAACGCTGTCACATCTCCGGGATGGCTTACCTATTAGCTTGACCTTCAGTAGTCCCCTGATAATTTAACTGACCAATGGCATTCAGAAATAAAATAAGGGCGTGACGCACTTTTCCTTAAATTTATATTATGTACAATGTATTTATATTTCAACGTTTCAACGCAAAGGTTTGGTCTCTAATTGTTCAAAATCCCCAAAATAAATATCAACAATTTATACAATCATAAATTCTCGATGCGTCCATCCCGGTGTATCTTGATCTTGGGATCTTGGGGTAGGATCAGAAGCGCTTGTGATGGTCCGTAACTTGTCCGCCGCTGCGGTCCGGCCCTATCGCTTCTGGTCCTCTGGCCAAAGGTTGCACTATTCTCAACCCCCAACAGCTCTGAAATTACAATCCAAATTATACTCCTACTAGGTGGATTCTAGCCAACAAATAGCTTACAATGATAACATTTCCCAATGTCTCAATAACCACAACTGTTATAAATCAGCACTAATCACAGGAATATTTTCTTTGCAGATCCACACAATCTTTTTTCATCCGATAATTACATTTTCCTTTAAGTTTACTGATATGAACAACACAAACATTTGATTGTTAAATCTCAGCAAAGTATATCAAATTGTCCTTCTTTCTACATACAAATGTGCCAAATATCCATTTTAAGGTTTGTATAAACAAATAATGCAATAAACTTACAGGAATGTGGGCCATTCCTAGCTTGTCCAAGGTTTAAGCGGCTTGGCTCTCACTAGCTCAAGCTTAAAATATACTAATGCCATAGGCTGGCTGAGCCCTCTCCTTTGGCTTCTCCGTATCAACAATTTCTCACAAATTATTTCTCAAAATCATAGAGGCTGGTCTCTGCCCTCTCCTCGGAATCTCATCTCAAAATCTGCCCCATTCCTAACTCGTTTTGCTTATAAACCCCGAGAAAAACATTTCAGCAATGCTACATACTAACATGACTAAGGCCCAAGAATTCAATAAATGCATTCACTTGGCAAAATAAATATTCAACACTTAAATTTATGCAAAGTACCAATACACTAACCAATGGCAACTCTACTGGAGTTGACTGCACCATTCTTTGATGGTTCAATAACTAATTCTAGAAATAGTTGGGTGTGGCGGCCCCAAGGAAAATAAATTGTGTTTCTCTAAAGTCTAAACCACTTCAGTTTAACCGAACTCAGAAATTGTAGGCCCCTAAAAATAAATTAGTGTTTGTCAGTTTTATTCGATTAAAAACCAAATATCACTTTGTGACAAACGCATCAACTGCAGTCCTAATTTTTAATCTCCCTTATACAGTTATAGTGGGATATTTGAATTACACCATTCCAGGGGTTAAGATCGCGCAAGGCATGATGGGAACCAACGGTTGGGTAAAGCCCAGTCACTCTTTCTTGACATGGGAGTTGATGCCCCTTTCAAAGTTAGTGTACAAAGAATACAGCATTGGTTTCCTGTATGTTGGTGGGTTTGGAGAACTCAGGAAGGGATCCTGACTGAAATGCCTTGGGCGCCGAAGATGTGAGAAATCAAACACATGTTTGAGTCAGTGTCACAGGCATTTATACAGGAATGGTAACAGTCATAATTTGTTGGTTATGGCTCTGATGTGTTGGGTGCGGTTTTGCCTTCTTTTTCCTTTGCACTGAAATGCCTGCACAAATGCAGCTCTGTACTGTGGGTTCATGGTTCGATACACAAAAGGATTGATGAATGTGTTCACTAGTTGTGGCAAGTACGAAACCCAGTGGGTGACAGAGGCAGAAAATGGACTCTGGGTATTCGCCATATGACAGGCCCAAGCAGTCGTGTTCAGTACACGATGAGGGGTCTGACAAACAAAGAAAATTACGCCATTAACAATCAACATGCGGGCGACGCGATTACGCAGTGTCACACTCCTACCGTGCTTCTTCCTTTGCCTGTGCATCTTCGCAACAATCCTGCCGTACATGAAAAAGGTGCAGACCAACGCAATGAGCCACGGGATGTCCTCCAGGGGAGGGGTGTAAATTTTCACCCAGGAGTTCGCAGGTTCGCATGTCGTGACGATTTGCGGAATCTCACCATAGTCATTCCCAACAGGCCGTAGCAAGCAGTGCACCGTTGGCTGGGAGTTGTCGGCCGAGGTTAAACTGGCAAACAGAAGGCCGACCAGCCAGCATGCAGCCAGGAGCCGGTAGGTCCGCCGTTTGCTGCGTAGCGCCAAGTGCTTGATGGGATGGCACACCGCCAGATACCTCTCCAACGAAACGAGGGTGACGATCGCAACAGATGTGTAGTATCCGACGTTGATTGCGATATTGTACACAACACAGCCAGCTGTTGTATTTCCCTGTAGGTTTATCGTTGAGATAGGAGACCGCTGATATTGGCTTACATGATTGGCCGAGGAGAGGACCAAATACATCAGATCTGCCAGTGCGAGGTTTCCAAGGTAGATGTTTATGACCGCCGACCGCAGCTCGGGAATTCGGATTGTGACAAAGAGGAAAGTCAGATTACTGACGATGCCAAGTGTTAGTATGATTGGTAGAATGACAGTAATAATGACGGAGTCTGCTGAAGAATAAAGCCATTGCCCTGCGTCCTCTTTACTGAGATTGTGGATTTCATGCTCTTCACACAGCTCTAAATGTTCAATTTCCATTTTATTTTTTGCCTTTTTTGTAAAGTCATAAAAATGTTTGCATTGCTAAGCAATGCTAAGCATTTTCTTGAAATTGAAGAAACACTACTCGAGCAAGATCAGCAATCCAGTCAGCAAACAGGCAAATTGAAGTGGTTTTGCCCAAACAAATACTCGGCTTTTCAAAAAGCCAGAGGATACCTTGCACATTAGCTACCGAATGGTCCGTAGTCCGGGATGACCTGAGAAGGTTTCGATCTTGGGCAGGAGTCTTCATCCAAATAAAGTTGGCGCAGATGATACAGTCTACAGGTCTCAATCCATGATGAGTTACATGTACGTTGTCTTTGCACATGTCCCAAAACAGACGCAGGTGTATGAACATTTCCCCAGCTGTGTTAATCAGTAACCTAAAGGCTTCCTCTTTGGTTAAACTTCAGTGGATGTTTCTGCCTTGTATGTGGCAATACTTGAAGCTGATTGATGTCAAGTGCTGCAGACATATTACATTGAGTGGTTTCAGGTCTCAAAAACCCTCTGCATGTTCAACATTTTAAAGTACGTACAACGCAAACACCACCATGACAGCAACTTATACAACAAGTGTATTGCATCATCAGTTACTCGTAGGTTACAGAATGTTAGAATTTCTTATGTAGTGATTATGGAATCTCATATTTGGAAACTTCTTGAAGTCATAGGGCTGTGCCAAATATGTGAGGCGTCTTGGCAAAATGAGACGGAACTGGGCATGGGCCGTAGTGGAGAAAAAATGCAAAAAACCCAATTGAGTGATTTTTAAAATTATTTTTATTTTTAGATTTATTGATATTTGTAATCTTTTTACGTTTACTACACATGTTTGAAAGAAATAGTATACAAATCGTGGAGCTCAAGTGTTATTACAGAAAAAAACAATCAGCATCTTTCATTTTCATGATTACAAAACTTAAAAGTTCAACAGCCTTTCATAGTATTTTACTATTTTGACATGTTGATAATTTATGCAAAATTCAAATATCCATGTAACTTGTCAACGCAATGTCCAATTGAAGTGCAACAAACAGTGTTTTAAGGAGAATTTTATTCTCTTTCCTAATACCTGCCAACCCTGATTTCGACCTCTGCCCAGTTCTGTCTCATTTTGCCAGAACGCCTCACATATAGCTATTGATCATCCACCAAATACCCAAATATGTGTTGGATTTTTTTCTATTCAGATATTCAAAAATTGTGAGCGGTCTTATTAATTTGTAAATCCGTGTAAATTCAATGCATTCAGAGAAAGACCTTCAGGTAGGAATGGAAGGATATGATGTCGATTGGAACTTGAAGAAATTATTGACTAAAATATTAACAGCTCTTTCAGAAAAAGTTGAAAAAGAGTGAAAAAAAATTAACAACTTTAATACAACTTTTCTTTTTTATTATGACTGTGTACCTTTGAGTATGGTCTGCTGTATATATGTCACCCTGTGAGGAAAAACATGAAACTTTGACCGTCAAGTTCTTTTACTTTGGAATAGATTCCACCGTAAAACACATTAATTCCATTTCCCATCAGAGTGTTACATTTTTACACCAAGATACACTTTTTCAAAATGTTGAGCAGGAACACAAAATCTTGCTTTGGAGGGATAGCTCAGGTTAATAGACAAAAGAACAAAAGAAGCCACTGGTCCCTATTAAGTTTTTCCTTGCAAATTTCTTGAAAATATAAACAATCCGAATAATCTCCTCTCCCCTTTTTAAGAAATGAAGCTAAAGTTTGAAATCTATTTAGCTATTTCCTTTTTCTAAAACAATTGTTTGATTAATAAATGTAAGATTAGAAATTGGCATGTGCGTAGTGTAAGAGAAATGTGCAAGTGAAGGGGGTGGGGGGTTGAAATGGCAAGGGTTGGGATGCGTGCATCCAACTGATCGACATTTCATTCTCACAAAATGTTGGACACACTGCCAGACTGCAAGACACAATCAAACAATATTCTGCATTCACCATGGCTCCTCGGCCAAACATTCATTACAGGGTGAGTAAAAAAAAAAAGAAACCCAAATGGCAGGACTAATTTTTGAATGACGTTTTGCCTGTAGCACTTTCAAAATCTAGGATATGAAAGCCCGGTCATTAAGCTTTCTTTTAGTATGGAATTTTGAACACAAACACCGTTTTAAAGCTCTGTCCAGGGATCACAAAAAGTGTTCTTTCAGCAAAACGAAATACAATTCTCACAGGGATTAATCGAGTTGCATGATTTTATTGTTTGCCAAATGCCACACTATATGATTTGATAGCTACCGTGAGGACCAACACTTACGGTAGTTCAAATTTCTTCTTTAAAATGTGGCAAAATATCAGCCATTTCGCTACCTGGAAAAAATATGCATGATGTTCTTTATATTAATTTAATAGGTTTCGACATGCAAATCCCATTAGTTTATTCAATCAAGTCCATGTTTAAGAATTACCAAATACTAACCCTCCTGCTGTTTGAACCGTCACAGACAGTCAAAAACTCAATCCCCTTCCCCTGCCATGCCTTTTGCACAGGCTAGTCACCAACAGTCAGATCATATTTCAAGCAAGCACTGTGACAAGTCACATTCAGTCAACAGACAAAAGCAGGCAAGAAGTAGGCACAGCTGGCTTATCAGTCAAAGCATAGCTGAATCAAGTTGCATAACACTTAACAGTCAGTCAATCCAGCTTTATGTAAGCTTGGAGCTTTTAACTGTTGAAAACAGTTACTTGATTGATTTTGACTGAAAAGACAACTTTGAACAGAATGTATGTTTGCATACATGGCATAGGAGGGCTGAATTATTCGAAAATGCACATCACAATTGAATTCAATACATGTACATGTACACACCCAGAAAGATATATCATCCATCAAAAATTAAATTAAATTTGAGTTAAATAGTAACTCGTCTCCCGACTCAGAAATGCAAACACCTAAGTTAAATCAATCAGTACTTACAGATGAAAATGATTAGTGGTTGTCTTCCGTCATTCGTATTGCGTTGAAACTGAAGACCTTTCTCTCTTGTTTGCTCTTTGGTTTTAAGATGCATTTGTCATGATGCGTTGCAGAGTGGCACTTTCAATTAGTCTAATGGCATGAATGGATATTTAAACAAACAACAAAATTCTTGTTTTGTAGTGTTTGTTTTTAAAAGGTTGGGTGGATCATTTGTCATATTTTGTGAATTTTTATGTTTGCTTGAAGCAACAAAAGTGCTCAAAATCTAAATGTAGCGGTACGCCATTAAGGAGGTCCGCAAATGATTAGATTTAAGGATGCCAAGAACAACCCAAGACAAACAGACAAAATCAAAACACCAGGAGGAGTCAAATTATGTTTGGTCTCATGAACTTGTTACAGATTACTTGTTTACAAAATCAATTACAATAGTTCTATATCTGAATCTCAATCTAACTCACAAAACAAGTGTTACAAAAATCATATAACTTAGATTCAACTTCCAGCTTTATAAATTGTAATAACGTTGCCAATGATAAATTATAATCACAAAGTTTGTATTTCTAAAGTTGCCCCGGTTCCTAAGATTCCCAGGTTCCTAATATTCTTGGTTCCAATATTTAAATCAGGTTCCCGGTTCAGAGGTTCCTAATATTCTTGGTTCTAATATTTTAATCAGGTTCCCGGTTCAATCACAGGTTCCTAATATTCTTGGTTCTAATATTTTAATCAGGCTCCCCGAACGCCTGGCCAGTGTACGGCTGTGTAGTGAACTAGGCCTCCAAATTGCACCTGGCATGAAACAGTCATATTGCAATAAATCAACATGTGACTTACACGATAAACACGGTGATTAAAACTTTGTGATTACGAAGACTAATTCACCCCAAAATCACTCCTTTCGTCAACATGAAATAAACTAACACCTAGCCCAGCGGTAGCAGAGAACTTGCATTGTGACATTAGAATGTAAAGAAAATACAAATTTCGCTCATTTGAAACTAAAATGTTGGTTTTCAAGCACAAATCTATGCACATGATACTCACACTTTGGTGTGCAGGCAGAAAAGGGCTGATATTCGCACGTTCATGGCACTGAGTGCGCGTTTGTATACATTTTTCTGGGCTGTGTGCCAATTGTACGGTGCCTTGTAAAAGACGTCTCACTACATAAAGATGGGTGCTTAACAACTAAAGTTTTAGCTCGGTGAATGCTGTATATTCCAAGAAAACAATATTCTAGGATCTCGATTTCAATTCAAAAGTTGTCGAGTCATGTTTGGAATTGCGCCCGAAGTCAGCCTCCGGGACACATTGTCATTCAGCTGATCGCAGCTACGCGATGTCACGCACTGAACTGATGAATAATAGCAATTGCTATTAATTTCACAGGGAGTTTATTGCCATTACTATCTTTAAACCAAATATGCTTTTGAACAATAATTTTGTCAGTTACTTTTTGGATAGCTGCAAATGACCTACATGTACTCTACCTTTAAAACAGAATGAAACCTACTTCGTTTATAGGGCTGACCTGAATTTACCAAACATTCAATCATTCAATTCAATATCAGTTACTATTTGGATAGCTGCAAATGACCTACATGTACTCTACCTTTAAAACAGAATGAAACCTACTTCGTTTATAGGGCTGACCTGAATTTACCAAACATTCAATCATCAACAGAATATTCGAATAGCTTTTTGCTAGTTTGATGCACTGTGTTTCACCTGGCTGGGTCAGAATTAGTCTGAGTATCATCCGTTGTTCAACGGAGCCTGCAGACACGGCCAAGACTCCCTAACAACATCTGATATCTGTGCATGCACATTTTATGCGCCCCCGCCCGCCAGCCAATTGGAGTCGATTTTTAGAAATTGTGATGTCATTTTGATCAAAATTTCGGGCTTAGCTGCTGATTGGTCAATTGGCTGCCATGTTTTTGTAATACAACAAAGGGTTAACGAAGACCTGAAAGAAGGTGTCCGCTGAATGGTCAGAATGTGGAGGTCGAGATGCAGTCTTGTTTTGCAAAGTTAGTCGCCGATCTGCACGCATATCATAGAGGCTTGCGGCTATTCCATAGACTAGGTTTAACAAGGAACCCCAAATTTCTTTTTTATTTCCATTAACAGTTGCTCAATCTGACTTTGCTTATTATTTGCAGTTGCTCCTCAGTACCCTGCGTGGTCTTCAGAACATCCTGGCTGTGTGTAAGGAAGTCCACAATGAAAAGCTGGGAGTGATCCTTGCTGCCCTCAAGGTAAAAGTACAAAGATATTCCTGAAAGCCACTAAAACGAGTGATGATGATGGATGTGGACTATATGTGAGAGAATGTCCTCATCATCATCATCAGGCTGCGCTAGAGTTCATCCAAAGCCCTCCTCATGAATGTACCATTCCTCTCTCTGTCTAGCCAACCTGGTCCATGTAGCCGTAATCGTAAATGCTGTGATGATGTCATCCCTCCATCTTCCTTTTTGTCTTCCTCTTCTTCGTTTGCCTGTTCGTGGTTGCCAATCACTCAGTGTTTTTTTAGTCCACCTGTTGTCTTGAATTCTTGTTACATGTCCTGTCCACCTCCATTTTGTCTCTCTGACCTTTCCAATGATATCGTTACCTTTTGTTCACTGTCTTATTTCCTTTTGGTTGACCTGATCTCGAAATGTTAAGTGCCACATTTTCCTTTCCATTGCCTGCTTTATATAGTCAGGCCAAACAATTGTGTTCGTACATAGTGTGTGTCCCAGAAAAAGTGGGCCCCTACAAATCATCTGTCATATTTTAAACAAATATTCATGTGAGACTAATCCTTTTTTTTTGGGGGGGGGGAGTTCAAATTTATCTTCACCAGTATGATATTATTTGTTGGTTCTCACGATTTAATGTCTTCATCTCATCAGTCTTACATGCTGTACGGCCTGCCTGGGGTGGGAACCAACTTCATCATCCCACCCACCCTGTACCCATCGCCCCTCTACCAGATCGACACCGGCCCCTCCCCTTCCAAGCCCACAGACTCCGCCCCCAGGAAACCCCCTCCTGGCTCTACTCCTTCAAAGAGATCTCCTCAAGCAGCGAAGCAAGGAGCGAGCAAAGAGTCCGATAAAGATGACACAGGGGGAAAAGTAGTAGAGGAGGAGCTCAGTCTACGCCCGGGGGGTGGTGGAGGCGGGGGTATGCTCCCCTTCACCCAGCCCAGACCCGGGCAGGGAAAGAAAGGGAAGAAGAAAGGGAAGGGAAGACAGGAGAAGGAAAAGGTCGTGACCCCAAGAAAAGGGCGGGACAGTGGGCGGTATGGAGCCACGCAGAGGGCAGAGCAACCGGCCACACCTACAGTAGATGTTGGGAGGAGTTCAAACATTCAGGTAAATTTCCTCACAAGAAGTTTGGACTGCTCACACATTTTTTTTTTTTTTTTAAAGTAGTGTCCGTGACGGAGCCAATTAATCATGATATTTAATTAATGATTCAGAGCTACGATCCAAAAACTCCTAGTTCTTGACCATTACAAGGTGATGGTTGTATAAGATTTCAAAAATACATAATCAGGTTTACTCACTAAGCCCCTAAAGTCCAAAAAAAATATTGTCTGTGACGCTTGAATTGCCAGTTTGTAGAGTAATGTCGGCACAGAATATTGTACACTTATACCAGCCTTGAGTAGAGGTGGAAGTATTTTGTCAGCTATCGATCAGAATTAATTTTAGTTAATTTGTACATTATCTGACACAATGTTTCTATCATAACTGGGGGTCTCCATATGTAAAACGTTATTTGGTGCTTAATCGATCTACATTTATCAAATTTTACAAAAGTTAAAGTGTCTTAACATCTTAAAGGAATTGAATAACTCTTCAGGTTATATTTTGTTTCTTTCCTTGACTCCAACTACCTCTTCAGAGCTCTTACAATACCGACCCATCCTCCCTCTTCCCAGCCTGGGGTCGGGTGAGCAGTTCAGAGTCTGAGTATTCAGATACAGAGGGAGGGCAGGCGTCTAAACTAAGATCGGCTGCCTCCAAAGTCAGGCAGGCTGCCCTGACATGCCTGCACTGTGTCATCAAGGTAAGCTGATCCTTCTAGAGTCATCGCTAGTAATAATTGTTAAAATTGGAGGAATTCATGTTTTGGCATGTGTTCCTGAAATAATTAATAAGGCTTGTCGATCATTGACAGGTGTCAATTACTCAATAGGAAAATTGGTCAAGACTGGGTTATTAGCTATGAGTATCTGCTCCGTTCACAAGTACCCCCCTCACCGGCAAAGCAAGTACAGTTGGGGGTGACCGACCAACACCATCTTGACTGACTGCAATTCATTTGCCGCGAAGCGCTACCACTGCTTGTGCATAATACAAATCCCCTGGTGTATGTGCGTCACACACAAGGAACGGTGCGCATCAACCAGTGAAATGTCCTGCCCATGGGACGTCATTGCTAGTTAAAAGGGCACCCTCTTTTCTCGGCGCACGGAGCCCATATGAACAGAACAAATTTGATGTCATAAAACAGAACCATGAATTTAACAGTGCAAATACTTTGACATTAAAAAGTCATGTTCGCATTAATTGTCTGAAGTATGAACTAGCCTTTAAGCTAGTGTTGGGAGATATCGGAGCTATCAAAATCCGGTTATCCCACTTTTGTTCAAACCGAATAACAGTTGTCCAATTTCACCGGAAGTTTCCATTCAGCTCACATTCGTGCCAAGAAAAGTGACGAGTGAGATGCCACAGGCAATGCGCACCAGAGCCGTAAAGGTGAAAAAATGGGTGGGAACTTTCTGATAAGTCGAATTAGCAGGCTAAGTACCAAGAAGACCGCTAGTCATGCTAGTGAGTGAAGGCAGTAACAATCAGAGACAATGGAGTAAATTGGGAAGGTTTCAATTGTTTTCTTTAGCCTATGTCATAAAAGCCTGTGTCACAAGAAATGGAAGGGTTCATTTTAGATATGGTTGCTTTTGAATGTAAAATCCAAAACAAATAGTGGAATTCAAAACAAATCTTCAAAAATGTGGATATTAAACCCACAATTTCTTTATTAAGCACATAATGTCTCTCACTAAATTTAGCGGGGAGCAAACCAACTGCAGTGTACATTACAAGGAATTTCTGTTGATAACATGTTTGAGCTCAGAATTTTGTGTTTGATTCCCAAGGAGCTGCGTGAATTTGATCCTATTGTATTGGTAGCCACTCGTTTTGTGATCTTATGCTGAACCCTATCTTCCTAGGTATTCTTGCTAGGGGCTTTTCTTAATCCTACAAAATATTCAGCTGTTATGCAGGTTACACAATCATTGTACTTAATACAAGGAACTTGAAGCTTTATGTGTAGTAGCTCTGCTCCACCTTCTGCAATCCCGCAAAATCCTCTAAACCTCAGACTAGATTGGAAGGATACGCAAGGTTCAGAAATTAAAAAAAACCTCTGCATCATTTGGCTTGATGTCTGAACAATGTGGTAATTTTATCTTCAGAATACAGAGAAGAAGCACATCATTGGATACTGGTCAGCCTTCATCCCTGACACCCCATCATCCTCAGGGTCATCTCAGTCTTTCTCTCTCTTCACCAGCATGCTCAAGGATCCAGCACCGAAGGTACGTCCCTCCCCCCCCCCCAAAAAAAAACACCCAACAAACAAAAACACTAATCCCAAAAGGAAAGAACTCCACACAATCCCTCATCCCAAGAAAACATCCTTCCAATCAACTCTTACCACTCAAGATACATCCTTACCAACCCTAAGTCCAAAAAGTGCATCTTACCAAAACTGAAAGTTTCGATGGTGCCTAAACCCTAACCCCCTAGGGTGTATGAAAAGTCATATTAAAATTAAAGGATTTCGGACTGCTATGGTTAATCTGTGATGACTGCCATCTCATCCATGGGGAATAGAAATGTTTTCTGTCATTTCATGCCATTAAAAGCGTAGATAAACGCTGGCCGGATGGACCAAATTGGCTTGTGACAGATTTTACTTTACTACTTACTTAGTTAATTTTGATATTCTGATTTGCAGTCCAGGGTTGGTAGTGTGGTTGTCTTAGCTGCCTTGCTGGATGGCTCCAGGCAGTTCCTGGCTGCGGCAGATGATAGGTAGGTTGCCGAGTTAGATGACGTCAGTAAATTAGAAATCAAGGCTGCCCTCAGGTTGACAAGGTAGCGACGACACAGAACAGTCAGCAACGGACTTTTCAGGATCAAGCTGCACCTGAACTGCGATCGTTGGGAACATATCAGTCGCTGATTTGTTTTGGGACCTTAGTGTAACTGCGACGATATTAAGACGATTGGAATCAGATATTAGTCTCATTACACTTAAAACAAAAGTTGTTGTGACCTTCTTGCTGCTTTATTAATATTAAATTCAGGTTGCAAAAATAGTCGGGCAACTTCTAAGCTACTCTCTGAAACCTGAGTAATTTGGTGTTCATTCTGTTTATCTTGGTTCTTTTTTTTGCCAGTGAGCTGAAGCACTCTTCCTTCACCCCGTTCTCACACACCCTAGCAGCCACCATCAAGGAGATCCATCGCTGTCTGATCCTGGCTCTCATGGCTGAGAGCTTCTCTACAACTCTCACACAGATAATTAAGGTTAGTAACGCCTGTCTCAAACTGGCATGCCAGAATCAAGCCAAACCAAAGAGTATGGGCTCTGCGGCCGAACGAGAGAGGGTGCTATTTTATGACTTTCGAGAGCCCAGTGGACGGGACGCACCGCGTGCGCGTACTTGTTTACGCAGGGATAGCTCGAAGTTAGCTCCACCTATTTTATTCGTAGTGTGCACAAAGCCATAGCGTCTTGCGTGAGCATCAGGTGTTTGGCATTGCGTTCGAATGTCTCTCCCAGTGGTCTCCCGCAACTCTCTCTTTCTTACCGTTGAGGGGGGTACTTGTGCACGGAACCCATTAGGAATGACCCGGTTTGACCCAAGTAGACTTCGTTCTCAGACATTGACCATTCCCTTGAGTCGTTTTGATTGGCTGTTACAGTCGATCGTTCATGTGTGGTCGCTCCCAGTTGTTTCAAATCTTGGAAATATTTTGGTTCCGCGCTATGCTGGATCGCCAGTCTGAAGCAGGTGTAAGCGCTCTTGTACATTGCATAATGGAAAAGATTATTGTATTGGTTCATAATTTGAATTATAGTTGTTTGTATTGCCTGATTACAATATCTTAGGCCCAAGTTTATGGCCCTGGTAACTGTGAGTGACTAATCTTTTTCCGTTGGGCATTTCCAACTCAAGCTGTGCTGTTGGGATACTCGCCATTTACATTTTTATATAGTTTGTTTATTAACAATATCTGTTATTTGTTCATGCAATCTACTTCAGGTATTTCACATTGGTATAATAGGAAATTCGTAAATTGCGAAGATATTTTTGTGAAAAAAATTAAGAAATACTCTAAGTATATTTCAAGGGTTGACAAGAAAGTTTTGCTTGAGTACACGTGTCCAAAGGGTTCTGTGCTTACATAGTTCTTCAATGCAGAATTCTCTTAAATTTGTTGACACGGAGTGGTTATCATGAGTGCAGAATTTTGTGGCAAGCTGAGTCATAAAGTCGGGTTAAGATCTTGATGGCTATTTGTCTTCTCGTTATTTTTTTGTACATGCAGTGCCTGTCCATCTTGGTCCAGAATGTTCCCTACCACAAATTGGCCCCCGGACTGTTGACCAGGATCGCCAAGGCAATCAGGCCCTACTTCACCCACAGAGGTATGCAGGACTTGAACCAGTCATTTTCCTTCTTTTTTCCCCAAATGTTTTTTCGTGAAAGGAATGCACTCCTTATAACAGGGCCCATGCAATGTAATTTTTTTAGTGCTATCCATGAAAATGCACCTTTGTGTCCCATTTAACTTTAATTTAAATGTTCGTTTGGCCATTTTGAAGGGTAATTTGGTGCCTTTTTAATTATGTAAATGCAAAGTTCCATATTTATGAGCAAACTGTGATGTTTTTCCGGGCAGAAACCTCAGTGTTACAGCCATTTTAGCACCAAAGTTGCCAGAATTATTGATATTTTGCCGTGGAAAAATTTTGTTTTCTTTGGTGATTCGTTGTTGTATCAGTACATAGCAGTAAGCCAATGAGCAAAGTTTTCTCACAAGTGCTTTCAATGAATACATTTTTCGGTTCACAATTTAAACAGAAAACCCCTAAACTGAACAGTGTCTTCCTGCAATGACGTCACGGCAACAGCGCCCTCAGTTGTCCGGAAAAGCATGGACTTTTTTATATTTTTAAAGAAGTAAATTTTAAAGAAGTGCACTCTGCAATAAAATTTACTGAAAAAGGAAAGTCAAATTGTGTTTGAAACATTGAAGAAGAGTAGAAAGTTGCACAAAATGTGTTTTTATTAAAGAAAATGTCATCTCATGGACCCTTTAATCTCTAATTTCTCTCTCAGACAACAACGTACGGACCGCCTGCCTGACCTGCATGGGGGCCATCCTCTCCACCAGCGTGCCTCTCCCCGAAATCACCACCCTCCTCCAATCCCAAGATTTCCTCAAACCATCCACCGTCCAACCCTCAGAGAGTGCCCCTCAAACGGGCATCAACGCCCCCTCCTGGAGGACACCGAGCGGGGCTGAGAGGACCCTAGAAGGGTACGAGAGCCCCCACGAGGAGGACTACAAAGACGACGAGTCTTGGAAGAGGAAACCAGATGAGGATTCGGAGGATGAGGATGGTAGAATCGGAGAAGAAAGACAACTCCTTGGGAAGCCTGCAGCATCTGTTAGTCATCACCTTGGAACATCCAAACTTGACTCTGAGGAATCGGTTGGACGTGGTCCCCAGGTCAGTAATCTGAAAACAAGAGATGGAACCTCAGACAATACAAGCGGAGCCATCACCAGTGGCCAACCATTGACGGGCACTGCTGTACCAGTGGCTGCATTAGGGTCCTTGACAATCCAAACCACAGTGGAAACTTCGGGACCCTCTAATGATAAGGTAGGTAGGGATGTGAACCCCCGACCTCAGAGTCAGTTGGATGGTGCTTCATCGTCCGGGCTGGCCGGGTCTGAGAATCAGTCCGCTGAGCACCGAGAGAGAGATGCGAACCACCCACCTGGGAGTCAGTTGGACAGTGCTTCGTTATTAGGGACGGCAGGCACTGGGAATCGGTCTACTGAGCAGCCAGGCAGGGATGTGAACCAAGGACCTCAGAATCTCTTGGAAGGTGCTTCGGTGTCTTGGCTCGTCAGGTGGTGCACTGATGCTGTCCTCCTGAGGGATTCTGTTTCGAGCATTGGTGAAGTTCACAGGTACTCCATCATTGTTGACATATTTTTGTTCTTCATTGAATTCTTTATTTCTGTATATTTTTTTTTAGAATCGCAGTGCTTCTTGATTCAGATAAATCAGGTACTTGTTATGTGTTGAAAGACTAGTGTCTTCAGTATCTTATATAGAAATGAGAGATCAACGATTGTTTCAAAAATGCAGGGTAGATCACAGTTTTGGTAAATTTCTTGAAAAACAGTAACGAAAAGTGCGTCTGCTAAATCTTCTCATATATGGCAGTTAACGAAGAGGAAAGATAAGGGCATCTGGTAGAATTGGTGTAGAGTATAGACTCCTGTAATTGTTTATCTATCTTGAATTCCCTTTTGAAAGTATTCACACAGTTTAGATCCAAGATCCTTTAACCCCCAACTCTCCGAAATCCTTCAAAATCCATCAGGAAGTGTTAACAATTTTGAGAAAGATACAGCCAGCCCAGCCGCTTTGCATGTTCTTTGTTGCCTCATGAAATAAGTTCAAAGAATGAGTCATTAATGAACTATACAGAGGAGGATTATAGAGGAGTGCAGAAGGTTCCCCGCAAAATTGTTCAGGGAGTTAGGTTTAAAAAATTGTTGAGTTGCATTGTTGTCTATGATCAGGCTACAGACGCCCAGTGAAGCCCTGCCGGTGAGGTTGGAGGCCCTTCAGGTCATGACCCAGTTGGTCAAGGGTTATTTGCCCATCGTGAGGGACATCCTGGATCACATCTGCACCATTGTCATCAGTTGCCTGGGCGAGGTAGATTCCTCCGTCCAGTTACATGGCCTGAAGGTAAGCAGGACAATGAAAATGGAGGACAAGGTTCAAATCCTTGATAGACCTGGGCCCAATTTCATCGCGTTGCTTAACAGTTAGCAGAAAAGTTTTGCTTACTATAGCAGAAAATCCTGCTGAGCTTAAGCACTATTTCATGGCGTGAATGTGCTTATGGTTGCGCGCATGGAGATTTCTATTGTTACGTCACTGATTTAAGCAACTTTTTTTCTGTGAGGTACGCATGCCCTTTGCTGTGCTTACTGCTTACGGTCTCCATGAAATATGCGGAGCCTCTGTTAGTAGAAAACTGCGTACTTAGCAGCAACATTAAATTGGACCCAGGTTGGTGTAGTGGTACCTTCCATGCCTTCCACCTCTGTAACCCTAGTTTGAATCCAACACCGACAGGCACATGGATTGGGTTTTCAGTCTCTTTCTGCTTCAGTGGGTTCCCCCAGGAATGACGTTTCTCCAGAATCTAAAACTAGAATTTCCTTCCTCGTCTATCAATTAACCTCACCGGAAATAAGTCCAAAGACTTTGGTGTCATAAAATGAAAATTATGACCTGTACAACGGTTTAATCGATCACACAGATAACATTTGGGTAAAGTCTTCTAGACTTGTCAGTGTTTGGTATCAAGACATTCACATAAAAAGTTGAACGTGAACTGGCGGGACTAACACGCTCTATAGGACATAGCCCATTCAAGCTGGAAATGTACTCAGAACACTGATTTTTTTTCCAAGAAAATAAGCCAAGTTCCCAAAGGAGCATTCTGTAATGGAAAGTTCTAAGATGTTCCCTAATAACAATGATTTATTACCGGTAAGTGACAAATTTTATCGGCTAATTTTCGAAATCCTGGGCGAATCCACGGATATGTTGATTCAAAATGTGAACACCAAATGGTCAACCAAAAATAATTCTTTAGAAGCAAAATCGAAACTCAGATTAAGAAGCATCACCGCTCTAACCCCTTGATTTTGGTTCAAGTTTCCTTCTTGGAAAAAACTCAAAATCTGCCCCAGCATCATTTATGTCTTTGTTTTTTTTTCTTAGGTTCTTGAGGAGCTTGGTAAGGCCATATTGTCTCAGCTGAATCCAGAATTGGAACCTCCCACAAGTCAACTGACTGTCCGGCTCACGCCAGAGGAGGTAGGCTGCTTTTATAGATTCTTTCTTGGATTATTCCCTTGTGGAAACAAATTGTGGATCCTTGGAAAATCAACCCCATCCGTGGCCAAAAAATACAGAAGGAAATGTTTGTGCATATAGATCTACCTAAAGCGTATTCACAGTAACTCTTCTATTTGCCATTGAAAGTGTTTGAGATTGCAAAGTGATGTAAGTACAGTGAACAGGTAAAATTCAAAGTAAAAAGTACACTCAACCAAAAAGAAAGTCCCCCCTTCGAATGCTTTTTTTTGTCTAACTCAAAAACTACTGAGCACCTTTTTCTCAAATAACGACTAATCAGTACAGAAATTCCTTAGCAATCCAGCCATACTCTTTATTTGGCCCAAAACAGTGATAATGTGTACGAAATTATGCAATTCATGACAAATGATATCGAAAACAGTTGCACTTTTCTATACATGCAAGTTATGGTTCACACTCGCCTTGCACGTATACAAAAGTGCAGCTTTTTTTCGGTACCATTTGTCATAAATTGCATAATTTTGTACACATTATCACTTTTTTGGGCAAAAAAAAGAGTATGGCTGGATTGCTAAGGAATTTCTTTCAGTCCTCATTTGAGAAAGAGGTGCTCAGTAGTTTTTGAGTTAAAAAAAAGGATTAAGGGGGACTTTCTATTTTGGTTGAGTGTATATATGTTGTATAGTTTTTTTAAATTAACTTTTCTTAAAAATTCCAATCCAGGCATGATACTAGACTGGTTAGCAGCTTGAAAAAAAAGTATTTGGGGGAATTTGGTAAAATATTGGTAACTTTTTTATTCTTTCTTTTTAAAAATGTTTTATTTAGATTTTTTGTGTGTGTGGGTGCATTTGTTTATGTTGTTTAATCGAGGACACACACGTGCAACATCATCGGTGAATCGAGGACAGGAACCAAAATGAGGACGACCTCGATTAGAAAAGGTGTACAAAACCAATAAGAGCTGTTGCGAAAAAGTAAGAGTACAAACAAAGGAAAAGGGAAGATGAACAAAAGAAAATCCTGAATTTATACCATAAACAAACGTGTGTGTGTGGGGGGGGGGGTGGAGCAAATGCCAAACAAAGGCTTTTAAATGGCTTTGTATTTTACTTTTTTTTGCCAATTTTTGTTCATAGTCCGTGCTCTTTTTTTGCCAGGTTGTGTTATTGTGGGATAAACTCCTGATTGGACCACTGCCGGCCATACTGCAAAACTCAGGCAATGGCGTTCTCCAGGCATCGGCATGTTACTGCCTGTCCACGATTGGACCACAGTGCTTTGAGCTTCTCAAGGTAAAACATTGCAGCTCAAGCAGTACTCTTCACGTTACATTTTGGTTGGTCTTTCCTGATGAGCAAATTCGTCTGCTATAGTGTCTCCATGAAATAAGAGGTTTGGGGCAGATCTCTGATTATGACGGCTGTGTCACACAAGGCAATTTACAAGTGACTTGTTTCAGGTCATCCCTAATATGAAAACTCGTTTCAGATAATCTCCAAGATTAAAAGTATGATGCAAACTTTTGATTAAATTCTCTTCTGAGGAATTTCCATGAACTTTTGGAAAAATGTAACTTTGTTCTTCCTGATGTTCTTTATAGCTTTGCAGGTTGTTTTGTATCCATCAAGTTGATGGGTAAATTGCCTCGGCCCTTCCGTGCACAAGTACCCCCTCTACGGTCACAAAGGGAGAGTTGGGCTAAAACATTGACAGATTCAGTGGAGGCCGGCCCCCTCCCCCGAATTTTTTTTTGTAATTTTCAGGAAATAAATTAAAACGTTGCGTATCTCCCTCGCAAGCCATCAGCTACACATACCTTGTAGTTTAAATGTTATAATTTGGAAATAGCGCATGGTTCCATTATACTTATCCCCTTGCCCTTCTTGAAAATAAAAATACACAAGCCCTCTTGGCCACCGAAAATTGAGTTCTGAATTCGCCCTTTGGGGGAGATCACTGGTAGGGATGTTTGAATGCGCTTCCGGTGGCTCTTGACGCTCATGTGAAGACGTTTCACATTTGTACATATTCAGAACAAAATAAGTTACGCGGACTTCCCGCCATATGCGCGCAACCAAGTCCATGTAATAATAGTGGGTATTTATAAAGCGCACGTATCTAGCAGGACTGGTGCTCAAGGCGCCACATCATTATTACCCCTGCTCATTGGGCCCATGAAGCATTCCTAACACACCATCTCAGCTCCCTGGGGAGTATACAGCTCGATGCTGCCATTTCAGCGCAAAGCAGCTACAATCAAGTACAATAACCATCTTTGCCCTCACAGGTACCCATTTTACTCCTTGGTAGAGTGAAGCAATGAGTGACAAAGTGCCTTGCCCAAGGGCACACGCACCATGACCCCTGGCTGGACTCGAACCCACAACCTGCAGCTTTACCCGCAGACCACGAATCCAGTGCCCTTAACCACGAGGCCACAGCACTTCACAAGTACATGCATGCCGTGTGTCCCTCCCACTTGGTTTGCGAAAGTTGTCACAAAGCCCCATATACTGTTCGTGCACGGAGTGCACAAGGGTTTACATGTAACTGATTATGTTGATGTGACTCATTCTTACAGATGGGCAAACGTGTCCTGTGCATCACCCTCCTCCTTGGTCTAAGCAATGACGATGACTATCGAGTCAAGGCAGCGGCCGTCAGAGCTCTGGGAGCTTACGTCCTGTACCCCTGCCTCAGAGAGGTAAGATTCAGACTCTAATGTTTTAAAGGCTGTTTTCAAAACTCGGCTTCATTTTTCAGCCATGACTTCATCTTTGTCTCTAGAATCCTTTAAAAGCCATTACTGTCCAAACCAATTTGAAGTACTCTTTGCTCTCATTTGAATAGCTTGTTAGATTTGAGGCTGGATGACTCGATGACTTGATTCAAGTGTTGTAGTCGAGTTCATCACAAGTCCTCACAAATCCATCACAGGTCTACCAATTCATCCTCATCCTGTCCCAAGTCAAGTCATAAGCTATTCAAATGATCCGGGACAAAAGCATTCCTTTGTTCTTGTTCATCTTCTGTTGCTTTCTACTTGACTTGTGGACTGACGTGCGATTTACTTGTGATTGTCTCAAGCACCTTGACCACAGCACTACTAGGTTTGATGGCGTATTTGGTATTTTCAGGTACTTTTCTGGGCAGACTATTATGTTTACAATAAGAATTGTGGTGTTACCAGTAGGGAAACCACAAACAGGCAGCATGGGCAGAACTTTATTGGCCTTGCTGGATGACTAGTAAGCACAAATTTTTATTGCTTTTGCACACATCAACCACATAAGAGGGAAAATTGTGGCAATGAAATTCCAAACCGAGTTTGTCGGTATTTTGCTATTTGACAACATTGTTCGGTATCCAAAAAAGTATTGTCACTATACGGTATTATTGAAATATAGTCGAGCCTAAACACTACATTTTAACCTGTGTCTTCTCTCCTTCCATCTACCAGGATGTCATGTTTGTGGCCGATACAGCCAACGCAATCCTGACATGTCTAGAAGATCCATCCATTAATGTCCGCATACGAGCCGCCTGGTCCATCGGTAATCTCAGCGATGCGCTCATTGCTAACAAGTGAGTCCAAAAGTTAGGATGGAATTTTTCTTTTTTTCTTTTGTGGTTTGGTAGCAGGATGCAGGTTTCAATATTATATTAGGTTTTGAACAGTGCTTAATATTCAGCGCCTAAGAATATTTCTGTGAAAGAGAAGACTATTTAAAGGGAATATACAACATTTTCTTTTGTTGTAATTTTCAGAAATGGATGGATATGAGGGTTAGCATTTTATAGCACATACTGTTACACTGAGCGATTTATAGTTTTGTGTTCATAGATGCTGTTCTCGTAGTCTGGTTCCCTGACCCTACTCCAGACGAAACGGATCAATTTATAGACGGCAGGGAATTGCCAAGTCAGGGAACCAGACTAGCTGGCTCGCACTTGTTCATGGATGCGTAACCGATTGCAAAAAAAATGTTGACTGGCTAAATTTGGTAAATTGGAGGCAATATGTGAAAAAAGTCCTTTTTTTTTCCAACGATGGCCGACCATTGATGGAAATTGATACAAAATTCCCATTTTCTTGCAAATGACAGCACACCAGGTGCTGTGATTTCACAGGATGCTTGAGACTATTATTCACTTACAGTCAAGTAAGGCATTTCATAATAATTTGGTAGTTTTGTTTTGTAAAGTTTGCAAATGTTGTATATTATCTTTAACATTAAAAGTGAGTCAAATATATTAACAGTCCAATAATAGTGCTCTTTAAGATGTTTCACTGTTCTAAAGTACTCTTAAAAGAAAAATAGAAATGAGGATTGTATAAATATTTATTTGGGGATTTTCAAATTTTTGTCTCACTTTGGAACTTTAATCCTGCAGTGGCGCTATAATATTTTTCACGATTTTTGTCGCAGCACATGGGAATGAATGCATAAATCAAAATTATGATATTTGTATTAAAATGTGATGTTTATTAGACGGAGGAAATAGACAGAGGCTCTGTGAGCAGAAAATCGTGTGCTTAGCAGCGCCGTGAAATTGGGCCCTGTAAATAAACTGCCATAGTCCCCAATGATAAATGCCCCCACTTCCGGAATTCAGGAAACTTACTTACAACTCTCCAAGGTGTTTGAGACACCCATCAAATTAAAGCTTATTTCATCATCTTTCATTTTCTGTTCAATTTTTTGGGGGAATCCTTTGACTTTTAGGAGAAATTTCCAACCAAAGATGATAACCCCTTAAAGCAGTCCTGAAGCCCATCGCCATTTTGAAAAATGATGCCTATGCTCCATTGCAAAATAGAGCACTTTTAGCTGTTTAGTGCCCAATTTCATCCATATTTCACAGAAATACAAGCTCACAGTCCTGTGCACGGCTTCCACTCTTCATTGTTACAAACCCTCAAGTTCATGGCCCACAAAATGCTCTAATAGCAGAGAATTTGAGGGCATGCAAATCGTGATTTGGCCAGCGTTGGAAATTTTGGGCCTATTTACTGGCCTGCAACCTTTATGTCCAAGCATAAGCCATTTCTTCAAACCTTGGCTTCACTCTGGTTTTGTCTTCACCGCTGAGGTGTAGAAGATCCCCGCAATATTCTCCCAATATATGTGAACTAGACTCCAGAGAGATGTACAGAGTGCCAACCCCTTTCAAAAAGTGAAACTCATCTCAGTGTGGATATGTTCTGGCAAAATCCCAGTAATTTCCCCTTGTACCCTCAAAGTCAGCTAAGAAAACTTCACTTTTAAAGCCCTGATGAAAATTGTAGTACAAAACCAAAATGGAACTGGAGCACATCAAATAGGATTGCATGCATAAACCCCATGCGTACACCTGTTTGCAGATCAATGTAATCCCGACAATTTACAAAACACCATTTATTTAACCTGACTATGCTGTATCCAGGACACCGACAAAATCAGCTGCAGTATATATTGTGCCCGTCGTTATGCATTATTCAGCAGCAATCACTCAAATTACCTTTCTTGATCCGCACTCGTTCCCGCAGCGCCGTAAAACATGACCCACAAAAGCTGCTTGTGTTACCAGTGCCTGGCCAAATCTCTCCAGGGATTGGCTGGCTTGTGAAGTGTCTACTTGGCCTACATTGTATGGTTGAATGGCCTATGCCCTCCCAACCCCCCCAACCCCCCCTTCTGTTGCGTGTTGTCTGGACTTGTGGCGTGTATGTACCAGATCAAAGATTCGAGCTAACATCCTCTTGGGAGAGTGCTTTCCAATGAACCACGGCTCCCAAAGACTCGACACTTCATCATAGGCGATATTACCATTTTGTTTTTATCAAAACAGAGGCTTGAGTAGCAGCCTGTGAAATGTGATGTGCGTTTGGGGGTCTATTTGAAAGTCAGATGACACCATTTCCGCGCGCTTGAATAAACCCCGACATTTTTACCATGATGCGTTCACCAATTACCATAGGTAAACTGTGAAACGCGAGCTAGATGGCTACTCAATTTGAAATATATACTGTTAAAATAAAAATATATAGATGATTTTGCGAAATGATCTCCAAGGCCCCAAGACATTTACAATTTTGTTGCATCTTTCCAGTAACTGATTATTATTTCATGAATTTCATACATCGGCTTAAGACAATTACTTCCTGAGCCAGTGGAATTAGTGAGTGTTGCAGTGCTAGAGCCTTGTACCTCGTTCACTGATATTAAAAGCACATAGAAACATGTGCAATTACCCTGTAATGTGCGGGTCTACCGATTTAGTGAGAAAATCCTTGCTCAAAGCGGAGATAGGACTGAAATACTCTGTGAAATTATTCTGCTTGAAATGGCATCATTCGGAAGAAAACGATCATTGAAGGTCGTTTAAGAAAGTGTGCCCGTCGGCATAGTTTTTTTTTACGAGCGTTAGTGAGGGAATGAATCCACTGAATCCAGTTACACCTTACCTAAAATTGTTTATAAGTTTTCCTGTCGTGCTCAAAATGTGCAGTATTCACAGAACTAAAACTTCAACAAGTTATTGTTATGCATCCTTGTAAATATTTTGAGCAATTTTGTTGCCTCAAACAAAAAGAGAATGCACTAAAAGCAAATGATCCTATTTTGCTCAACCCATCAAACCCCATCGCAAAGGCATGCTTTGTTGGAATCTGTCAGGATGGGCATGATGGGTACATGTACAGTACACATAAACTGGCAGTCTTTTACATTGGGTTGGCACTCCTCCAGGAACAAAATCAAAGGTGTGTGTGTGTGTGTGTGCAGTTTCCCAAAATGTTGTTGGAATTTGCCAGGATGGGGATGGTTCCTAGTAAATCATGCTAGGGAGTTAGGGTTAAGACAGGACTTTCCCTTCAAATAGGAAAAAACGTCTTTGACACTCCAGTAGATTGCAAACACTCACCCACAAGAAACAGCATCTTACTTCCTCCTCCCTAAGTAATAATGAACAGCGGACATTTATTCCACTTGACAAGCTCCACTTGAGTCGTCAGGGGACCGTGCTTTCGCGTGCATTCCCTAATTGCATCTCGGCGTCTGAGCTAACGCTGAATTTACGACCTAAGTCAGAAATTGCGGGACATCATCAGCCATATATTTCATCGGATTGATGTTATTACTTCTTGGTGAATACTCATGGGAAATGTTTCAGTCGGGTTGGTTTTCCCTGAACTCCACTTTTTGATTATCACAATTTTTTTTTTTTTTAACTGATGGACTATCTGTAAAGTAATTGTAAAAGTTTAACACATTTTTGAATTATGCTTTTGAATGCTGTTGTGTTATGTATCACTTTGATATTTTTATCAGCAAAAACTCTTACTTTTTAAAAAGGAGACAATATGTTTAACTGTGGCGTTTTTGTGATGTCCCTTTTTCGCAGTGGTCTTCTCTGTATTAACATGCAAATCCATCTTCTTTTTTCATTTTCTGTTTTGGTAGAGATGCGGGTGATACCACTTTCTTGGAGGGGTTCTCGGACATGCTCCTTCAGAAGCTGTTTGCGGCGGCCATCGCCGGTGCCTCGGATCATGACAAGGTCAAGTCTAATACTGTGAGGGCGCTTGGCATGCTCGTGCGGTTTGCAAGACCCCAAGCCTTGGGTGAGTAAGTGGGATTTGGAGTAAGGGGGTAGGGAAAGTGATAATGTGGGGGGTATGTGTGACATGTGGAAATTGAGATGGGTCATTGTATAAGTCTGGCGTCCACTTTTTTCCCTGTTACGTCTGACCTCTGTGGTTTTGTAAATCTGATGCACTCCTTAATGCAGTTATCCTCCAAGAGTGATTATGAGTAGCAAACCACCTACATGTACCCAACAAAAGAACAATCATTTGAAGTCATTCTTAATAAAACTTGTATGGTAAAGTACAGAGTTCAGAGATAACAGGGGCAGGAAAAATGTCACATGTTGGACCCTAAATGTATTGAATTACCCAGATACAACCCCAAAATCATGTTGTGGGTATTGTTTTCATTAATCAGGTTTTTTTTCACAAATTTCTGATCCATATAATGTCTAAAATATACCACAGAAGTTTCAGACTGTGATTTGCTTTCTCCCAAGAAGAGTTGTTTTCTTCGAACATGTCACATATTAACGCAGGTGCCTCATAAGTCTGTAAACTTTTGCGTCTTTTTCCTATAACTTTCTCCTTTTGATCATATCTAACTCCTATTGGTCAAGTGCCATTAACATGGGTGTTTTTTTTTAACTCTTAGGGTTTGGGCTAATAATCGCCTTAATACTGTATATGTATAAGATGCAAATACAACTTGATATACCAGTATGTGGCTCTCCGTTACATGTTTGTGTGTGTGTTTTGGACAAAATTGAATAAAGGGTCCATGCAATAATTTTTTAAAGAAAACCTTGATGTAGGCCTTTGTTCCTCATTTGCATTTCTTAGAGTGGCACGTGGTCTGTATGATATTTAATATTCCAGTGTAAATTTGCATATTCATGAGCAAACAGTGTTGACATCTAAATGCAGAGCCATACTCGGGGGCAAAAGTGCAAACGCGCATGCAAAGTTGTGATGTCATGGCAATTTTTGGCGCTGGGAATTCGCAAAAGTTGAACACATTTCAAGTCGGGCGAATTTCGCAGCGAATGCTCCGTGACGTAAGATTTGCATCGCATTTTTGCACTAACAGTAAGTATGAACCCGCCTTAAGGCCGATTCATGCTCAGGGCAAAAGCAAACGTAAACGCAAATTTGTGGCGTCGTGGCGAGTATTCGCACTGTGAATTTACAAAAGTTGAACGCATTTCAACTCTGTCACATTTGTTTCATATTCACGTCAATAATGAACCGCCCTTTAGGCAGAAATTGCAGCACGTTAAACACAGTTTGCATTTTCATTCAGCCTGAGATTTATTTGCTTTTTCATTTTCGTAAGTATTTTTTTGACTGTTTACATTATGATTTCTCTTGACAAGCAGCCAAAAGCAGCATCCAGGTTGTTGTGACCGATGCGATCAGAGCTCTCCTCAAGAACATCACCACTGGGGCTGCCATCAGGGTGAAGGTGAGTAACCTGTCAATGGATCAGATGATCAAAATAATATTTTGGTAAAACATGGAAAATGATGTTTTGATCTGTTACAAAGGAATACCTTTGACCTTGAGACAGGTTGACTTGTGTGACACTTCTTAAGACTCAAACAGAACTGGAACTGTCAGTGGATCAGATGATCAAAATAATATTATTGAAAAACATGGAAAATGATGTTTTGATGTGTTACAAAGGAATACATTTGACCTTGAGACAGGTTGACTTGTGATTGACTTGTGTGACATTTCTTAGGACTCAAATAGAACTGGAACGGTCATTGGTTCAGTTGATCAAAATAATATTTTGGAAAAACCTGGAAAATGATGTTTTGATCTGTTGCAAAGGAAGAACTTTGAACGTCAGACAGATTATTGTGACTGACTTGTGTGACACTTCTTAGGACTGAAATAGAACTCTGCAGCACAGCGACAAGGGAGGCAGGCACGCCCTGACAAGCAACTGCCCCCCCCCCCCCCCCCCCCCCCCGTGGCAAAAACCATAAGCGTTAACATTATATACAAGTGTGTTTTTTCTTGTGGTTCGCCCCCCCTAATTTGTACTGTGGGCCCCCCCCCCCCAATGCCCTGAGCTGGCGACGGTGCTGGCTTTACCGTCAGGTGCCACCTTTTTGTCGACAGTGGTTCATTGTTCACCTCTTTATGGTTATAAAATACTTACTGCAAAGCACTCAAGCTTCCCATACCGGCACTGCATGCTGTTGCAGCAGGCAGTTTTGAATATCCGAATTTTCAGTTCAGTTCACTCAGATACCTTTATTTCATGTCAACACCATTGAAAAAAAATGTACTAACAATTCTCATCATTTACACTACAAATTGTTCAAAATAAATTGTCTATAGCAATACATAATAAATAAATAATGATGTGATGTTAACATGTAGGAAAAAGGACAAGCAATCGCTTTTTGTTCCCCTTCTTTAAAGTTCCCATTTTCAGTCTAACTCAGTTTGGAGTAATCGAATACTAAATTATTTGAAAATGGACAGCCCTAGTGACAAGACAACATTCTGTTCTAAATTTTAGGTTCGATGGAATGCCTGTTATGCCATGGGCAACGTGTTCAGGAACACACATCTGGAGTTAGGCTCTGTGCCGTGGTCCACTGAGGTCTTCACCGCTCTCACCGATGTAGTCCGGGATTGTAAGAACTTTAAGGTAAAACCAACTTTCCCTCTGTTTTACGTTTTATTTCAGTACCATATGCTTCAGACATATTTGAACTCCAGGGCCCAATTTCATAGAGCTGCTTTAAAGCACAAAATTTGCTTAAGCACGAAAAAACATTGCTTAGTAAAATCACGTAACCCGTCAAAACTCCATGTGATGTACATTGCTTGTGACTGGTATTTAGCTGTTGTTTACTTCGCATAACAATCGAGTGGAGTTTTGGCCGGTGACCTGATGATATTAAGCAAGATTTTTTTGTGCTTAAGCAAATTTTGTGCTTAAGCAGCTCTATGATATTGGCCCCAGATCTTGCACGCTTTGATTACACATTCAGAAAATACCTGAGACAGTTTACCAATTCCTATTGGTTGAGAGCCTGTCACATTGGGTGGATATAAACCGCCGGTGAAACACCGCTACATTCTGCGTCACATCGCTCAGTACACGCCGCGTGCAGGCCAATTTCCATATAAGGAGATTTTTTAGCACTACGCGCGTGAGGCACATACCATAGACTTGGCCAGAGGGTTGTTTCACACAACCTGAAGTCAAATTGTTGAACAAAATCGTTGGAAATTTGAGAAATGTTGACTTTTTGACATGTTTGTGTGTGTTGTTTCAAAAACCAGCTGGGGGCCTGGATGCGGATAATGACCCAGAGGGGTGTTTCACACAACCTGAAGTCAAATTGTTGAACAAAATCGTTGAAAAATTTGAGAAGTGTTGACTTTTTGACATGTTTGTGTGTGTTGTTTCAAAACCAGCTGGGGGCCTGGATGCGGATAATGACCCAGAGGGGTGTTTCACACAACCTGAAGTCAAATTGTTGAACAAAATCGTTGGAAAATTTGAGAAGTGTTGACTTTTTGACATGTTTGTGTGTGTTGTTTCAAAACCAGCTGGGGGCCTGGATGTGGATAATGACCCAGAGGGGTGTTTCACACAACCTGAAGTCAAATTGTTGAACAAAATCGTTGGAAAATTTGAGAAGTGTTGACTTTTTGACATGTTTGTGTGTGTTGTTTCAAAACCAGCTGGGGGCCTGGATGTGGATAATGACCCGAGCTGATCCTCATCCAGGCCCCCGGCTGGTTTGAAACGTACTTGTCTGAAAACAGCCAAGCACATATTTATTCCGTTATTAACATCTAAGTACCGGTTGGGTATCCATTCGTGCGCAATCTGAAGGCATGAAAAGTCACCCAGAAACCTGTTTGAAAGGTTTTTAGGAGCACATGTACATGTACATTCATGAATCTACCGAAATCCACATGTTGGTCCAGACTGAAAATATGTTTGAGGAGTTTAATTTCATAACCCTAAGCCTCAATCCTCCATAATCCTCCAGGCGGTTTTGAAGGATTTTGGAGGATGGAGGCTGAATGGCTAAAAAATGTCAGTTGATTTTAGAGTACGTATTGGGTCAAGTTTGTAGGCTGTGCCCAGCATTTTTATGTTTAGTATACAAATATTTAACATGGTTTGAGGGTGGACAGTCGATATTCGCTCCCCGAGGTAATGGAAGTTGACAAACTAGTTCCAGAGGCGAAGCCGAGGGAACTAGTTTGTCAACTTCCAATACAGCACTGCCTCACCCCATTAACAGTGACTGTTGGAGGATTTTGAAGGATTGAGGAAATGGTCACCCCTCCACTGAACATATTCAGCGGACGATTTTTGAGGATTGAGATAAAATCCAATTTGTACATGATGGCAATTGGAGGATTTTGCAGGATTGAGGATGGTTCCTAGCCAACAGAGCCTTGGGGGGTTAGGGTTAAACTGATCAGTATGTTATATTATGATTTAAATAAAGTTTTGGAAAGGTCTACATTTGGGATAGGGACTGGTTCCAACCAAATAAGCTGTCAGCACTCGACAACCAACATTGGCAACAAAAACACTATATACTTGTAAAGTAATATTGTTTTCAGGGAAAATGGGTAGTTCTGCACTTTCAGTAAAGGCACCAGACAGCAAACAAAACTAAGAAAAAGTGTTATTTTTCTTGATTTCTTTTGTTTAATGAATTTTTTTGTTTGAGAAGGATTCTTTCATGCCGTTTTAAAATTTTGATATCAAAGAAAACAAACATTCTTAGAGCTCTAATGTTAATTACTAAAACACGAATCATGCAATGAATAAATTGATTTTTTTCTTTAAATCTTCAATCATGAAGCAAAAATCCGAGCTTCAAATCAAACAAAACATTCTAAATATACAGCTGCTAACTTTGAATCCAAAACGAAGGCTAATTGAAGTTGAAACCAACTCTTCCTGTTGATGCTTCTTGACCTTAAAGGGAATATACAACATTTGCAAACACCAAAAAATAAATCTACCAAATTATTATGAAATACCTTTTACTGGATTGTTAGTGAATGACAGTTTATAAAGCATCCTGTAAAATTATGGCACCTGGTGAGCTGCCATTTTCAAGAAAAGTGGTATTTTTGTGTCAATTTCCAACGCTGGTCGGCCGCCCAGCGCTTATTTTTAATCACTACCCCAATTTACCATTATTTAGTATTAAAGTCTGCATTACTAGTGCAATCTTATTTGAATCTTATTGACAGGAACTAGCGCCTGCTTTGGTTTTAATTTTCAAATTCCTCCTACATAAAACACTGAATATTCATTTCCTGTGTACTTCTTTTGAAGAGATTAATCTCGTCAAGTTTTATCTAAAGTTGTTAAATGTGTCCTTTGCAAAAACTAGTCTAAATGTGATTAGGACATGATTTTTTTTTACTCAAAAATTGCTGCATGCTCTCTTTTTGAACTTGAACCTCACTAAGTGTTAAAAGAAGAAAAAAAACCCATACACATGGATTATGAGAATATGCGTCATCAATAAGCAACCGTAAACACGCGCAGTAGTACACACATTGAAGAAGGGACACATTTTCGGCCTTATGTTTTAAAACTGATTAGCCATGTACAACTACAGAAAATCACAAATACAATCAAACCTGGTTGTGCTTTGGACGCATTTGACTGAACATGATAAATATTACATTATTATCACTATTTTTTTTTTTATTTTTTTTTTGGATTTTTTTTTTTGGATTTTTTTTTTTTTATCTCTGACCCCAAATCCTGTTATTTGAGCATATTCCATTTTCCATTTTACCTGTGAAAGGTAAACTTATGAACTGTATAATCAACTAGGTGTCGTAACTGTTTGTAAATTTCTAAAAAAAAAATTCAAAAGAAATGATCAAACTGCATGCAGCAAATTAATACCGGTAACTGTCTTGATCTGGAAATGGAGCTATATGGAGGTGTACATCTATGTCTTAGTGTATTTCATAAGGTGGGACTGCCTTTGAACACTGAGCTTCTGCTATGCCTTCAGACGCGGCGATAGACGTAAACCCAATTTTGGGCTGCTGCTACCAGATCACCTTGTGGGGTGAATGTAATGCCGTGTACATGATGACATCCCTTGATGACATGCCCAAGGTGTTTGCAGTCGGTACTGAATCGGTGGATCTCGTATGTTTCGTCCTCCTCGCTACCCACGGCAGCATAGATGTTGCCATCACTGTCACAACACACACCACGGAGGTAGCAATGCTGATAGGCCTTGCCAGTTAATTCTCCGAAGAGGACATCTTGGTCTGAATACCTGAATCGATTCAGTATAAGTTTCTTTTCACTGCTCTTGGTGTAGATGAGGTTTCGATTGTGGTCAGTGGTCATATGCATGTAGTAACCTACCCCTGGAGTAGCTGTCCATCCAAGGAAAGATCCATCTGGCTTATGCAGTGAAGTCTCATTCTCCATCCCATAACCCACTAGTATCTCATTGGTTGCGTCCACCGCAAGACATGTTGGGGTCCTCTCTGGTAACTTGTAGGAGCCAGGTTTGAAGCTTTGGAGGATCTGATATTCCCTGTTCAAGATCTTGATGGTTGAACCAGCTATTAAAACAATGAGTTGATCATCATTATTTACTGCCACACGCCTTGGACTGTGAAGACCATCGATCTTAAGCTCTTTAGAGACTGCAGGGGATTGGGGTGTCTTAGGTGTCTTAGGTGTCTTAGGTACGAAACTTATCAAGTTTTCACATGCAGTATCGACAATTACTACTTCATTGTTCGAGAATACGGCGACATCACATGCGAATTTAAATTCAGTCTTTTTATCCCCAAATTTGTTAATTTCTGTCTTTTTTTGCCAATTCACTTTGACTTGAGGCGCCTTTGGTCTTGCTGGTTTTGCAGCTTGAGCCTTCAATTCTGGTTTGTGTCCATCTTGGAGTAACAGCTTCCCCATCGCAAGTGGATTTTCAGACTCCTCAAAGTCCATGAAAGACAACTTGTCAGATGCTGTCTTGGGCTGTTTCTTAACCATCTCTCCGAGGTTATGCAGTAATTTCTGCTTGAGGTCCAGTATCTCATGACAACTTGCTTGATTCGCAAGTTGTTTCATCTCATCCAGCTTGAATCCTGCCAAACTTATCTCTTTGCTGTTAGAAGCTTGAACTTTGTCCAACATCTTGAGTCTGTCTTTGTAAATTTCTGTGCGTCCTGCTTAAGTTTCTGCTCCTCCTCTCTGATCCTGTCAATATCCTTATCAGCCTTTCTCGAGATTTTCTCAGTTGTATTATTGAACGTGCTGTTTAGAGTTTTGCGGATATTCTCAACTTTTTCTAATGCTGCACTCCAACTTGTTTTGTTCTTTTCAGCCTTTGCAATCAGTTTATCAACTTCCTGTTTGCTTTTCTTCCAAGCTTCCATTTGCCCACTGAGAGAGTGCTTAGCATGATCTAGGATGGAACAAGTGGTGCATGCCAGCTGCTCACATGTGTTGCAGTAGATGCTGACATTCTGGTCCGGATGCTTACCGCATTTCGGAACCTCTTCTCTCAGTTTACTCTTATAAGAGATCTCCCCTGAACGGAGCTGGTCAAGAGTGTTCACGTCATGAGTTTTCAATGCAGCCATTCGCCTGTGTCCCTTATCGCAATCCAGACAGAGGAAACTGTCACAGGTCATGCATCTTGACACAGCTTCATTTTCCTCATCACAACTTTGACATTTGATCTCTGACCCTTGACCTTCATCAAGCAGCTGTTCCTGCATTGTGAATTCCTCCACCAGGGCTCCCAAAGTAAAGTTATTAGGCAGGGCAGCGACATTGTTTCCTTTCAGCTTGGTATCACGTCTGCAGAGAGGGCACTTTAACTTGGTACTCTCAGGTTCTTGTTGCTGTCTGAGCTCTTGGAGGCATTTCAGGCAGAAACTGTGCAAACAGTCAAGAACTTTGGGCTGCTTGTAACGATAGGAGCAGATTGAGCATTCTAGATGATCCTGGCTGATCTTGCCCAAGACGGATTGAACAGTCACATTTGATGCCATATCCGTGGAAGTGGAAACAACATGATTTAGCCAACATGTACATGTACACAAAGTCTGTTAAAAGGAAGAAGGTGATATAGGCTTGTCGGTTTCACGTGACATCACATAAAAGGTTCATTTTTCGAAGCCATATACGGGTACAATATCTTTAGAAGTGCAAGTTCTATTGGTTTAAATTTTGTATGTACATGGACAGTGGCGTATGATAAATGTAGATGAAAATTACCTGGGCCCAATTTCACGGCGCTGCTAAGCACACAAATTTGCTTAGCACAAAAAAAATCTGGCTTATAAAAGCAGGTTACCAGCCAAAACTCCATGTGATTTTCACGCTAAGCAAACAACAGTTGAATACTTATCAAGAGCAATATACATCACATGGCTGATAACCTGCTTTTATAAGCATACTTTTTTTGTGCTAAGCAAATTTGTGTGCTTAGCAGCGCCGTGAAATTGGCCCCTCATGTCATGATGACATCCTCGTGTGATTTTATATGAATTTTTGAAGTTTTTACCAATAAACTTATAAGTATCTTTCAAACAAAAGTACTAAATTCATAATTCTTTTTGTAATAGGTTTGATACGATACACAAATATGCAGAAAAGTGTACACACAAAAACGTCATAGTTAATGACGTCATCAAAAATCATCATTTTTTTTTTTTTTTAATATATTTGGTTTTAATGAAACTTGATTGGCAGTTAGATAAGTATACTATTAATGCAG